TTAGAAAATCTAAGAATAAATGAACCTCTTTTTTATTTATTTTTACAATTATGAAACAGAGATTCAGATACAAGAACTAGCAATTGTGCTGATTTCAAATAAACGAACAGTTGTCTTTACAAAATCCAGAACAATTACTCTCAGATTTCAGATCCATTTGTGTATATGAATTTCACTGAAATCAAAACTACCAACCGGAATTCAATTTCACATCAGTCACTAATTCCCAGATCAAATTGGGGCACTACGATTGCCTAAAACCCAGAACCCAAATGCGATGAATCAAAGTCAAATGATCAAATTCATTATACAAACTGAGTCAAATTTTGAGACATCACGGATCAAACGTGAAAGACGCACCGTTTTGGAGGTAAGAGCCGTATTTTGTGGCAGAGAGGTGCATCTTGATGTCGTCAAGGTTTTCACACTGGCACAGATTGTTGTAATCGGCGGTGGTCAGAAGCCCAGCACGGTGGCCCCTCACGATCGCCTCCAAGTATCCGCCATGGATGTTGAACGTAAGCGCCTCGAATCCGTACATCTTTCTCTTCCGGAGAATTACAGGATATTCAGATCTCAAAGATGATCGCGGGAGATCTGAAGAAGAAATCGAAGCAGAGCCAGACAGATATCAACGAGAAGAAGATAGCTTTGAATTTGATGATATGTTTGCAACCGCTCGTACCTGGCAGAATGACTATTTTACCCTTAAAACCGGTCTACGAAATCGAAGAATGTACACTAGAAATTTGGAGACTGTTTTTTGGTTTGGTTTGTGGTCTCAGATTTACGGTTCCACTGTTTACCTACCTACCAGTTTCAGTATCACCACCTTGACAAAAGATCACTAAATTTCATTATGTATCTTTTGTGAGATTGTTTCGGTCTCTTTTAGTCACATCACACTGGTTAGTACAAACACATGAAAAAGCAAGAATCACTCCATTGTGATCATCTCTTCCTTTTGAACTCGAACAAATTTAAATGCTACAGATCGACAAAAATGTGGTGTTATAAAACATGTGACTCGAACATAAAGCAACAACTAAACAATTCCAAAGCTTTTTTTTATTACTTTTAGTGTTAACTGAAAAACGAACCAAAAGTAGTCTGAAAGTTTTGAATCTTTGTTACTGGAATGGAGCCGGAACGCCTTGGTTTTTGTTGACAATAGCCATTGCAAGATACCTCGTGCCCATTCCGATCGGCGTTTGTTCATCGGGTCCTTCCCAGAACGGTGCTTCGCCGTCCCCAACAAGCTGCCAGTATCCTGACCTTAAGGAATCAGCTTGCTCGTCGTCGCAGTTTTGTAGCAACGCATCCACTCTGAAGTTTATTCCAAGCGAACCCAAGAACTGAGACTGAGTCATAGGCCCATGGACTGAGACATTTTCTGTACAAGAACACACACGAGTTTGGATTTGGTTAAGTAAGCTCAAGTCTCTTCTATATCACAAATGACTAGCAGCGAGTGAAGAAATGAACCTGAAGCTTCCTCAGCGGAGTGTTTTAATGAAGGAAAATCAACGTAAGCACTTAGATCTGCAGATCCAGGATCATCCAGTATATTGACAAACTTGTGTTTCCTAATAGCCTAGCCATTTAGAGATAACACAATGAAGGTTAAACCCTATCCATAGATGCTTCATGAGCATGATGAGAAACATTGTTGATGCCACAAACCTGAAGACTGTCTGAAATGATTCCATTAATCCCATAATCGATTATAAGTGCTCCACCTCCATCAGAACCTATTCTCTTGGCCATTTCTTGGGTCAAATCCATTGATTTCGGGCTGATCTCGATGTGCTCGAGTTTCTCCCTTTCCTCAAGTGTAGCCCATGTGCAACGTTTCATGAGATACAAGGCTGCAGGTGTTGGCTGTGGTGATAGAACAAACCGGAACCTAAACCAATAGCGCAGAGATTAAAAAAGTGCATGACTTTCCAAATCTCACAAGCCAAATAATGTATATCCATTTTCTTTGAATTCCCTAATACTTACTGTGAACCTTCTCCCACATCAACCATTTTCTCACACCAACCACGGGAAGATTTCTGCAGAGATTGAATCTAGATAAGAATACACACATATTACACTGGAAAAAAACAGCTTCTGATTATAAGTTGATTCTACATCACTAACCTGAAACTGATGAACTGGAAGAGCATCATAAAACTCATGAGCTATGATTATTGTTGGCACTGCCGCATAAGCAAAAGAGACACCATGAGAAAAGATGCAAACATCATTGATAGTCACAATTAGAGTCTAAATTCCAAGTAAATGCAAGAAAAGATGCATACCTCCCGATGGAACCTCTTCAAGAGTAGAGTGCCAATGCACAGGCGTCCCAGCTAATGAACTTACAGCTTTCTTCTCCGAACTAGTTTCATCTGTGCATTTCAGGTTCTGGTGCTGAAGCTTCTGCAATGCAGGACTGCATTCCACCAAGTGTATATGCAATGAATCCGTGAAATTTCTAAACTTTGATGTACCCTATACGTCCAAAGTAGAGCAGTGAGATAGATTTCGCAGTTTTGTTGACAGAAATACAAATCTCAAGGATAAAGGCTTACACGAAGGAGATCGACCATGAGTGTTCCTCTCCCTGGACCTAGCTCAATGAGATTAACCCTCTCTGGCCTTCCCATTTGCTCCCAAAGACACACAGCCCAAACACCAATCATCTAATATCACAACACCGAGTAAGAACAAACGGATTCTCAAGCTCGGATATAGAACCAAACGACAAATTTCACAACTCCTAAAAAGCAAGAAATGCAAAGTAATTACCTCGCCAAACATCTGGCTAACTTCAGGAGAAGTGATGAAATCGCCTTGAGCTCCAAAGACGTCACGATTCATGTAGTATCCTGCTTTGGGATTAGTCAAGACCTCCTCCATGTACTCCGCCACTGAGATTGGGCCACCCCGAAACTGTGATGATGCATACAAAATTCATACACTTGATCAAAGCATATTTCTAGAATCATAACAAGTTTCAATTTTTCAATTATGAAGGTCAATATGAGTGAACCGAATATACCTTGATAATGCTCTTGAGGTGCTTAACGAGCTCCGAATCCGGCGAAGATTCATGAGAGTGGTCTAATATTTCAACAACCAGAAAAATCAATCAGACGCCAAATCTGTCAAATTGAATCTCGCATCGGAAACATATAGAGTGAGGGGTGAAATACGTACCAGGAGGGATGAAGAGAGCAGAACGGTCGACGGAGATGGTTGTTCCGGCGGCGGCACTTGCCTCCTCGACATTTTCAACGGAGCTACTACCCGAGAACGGTGGCTCCGGCGAAGAGGACAATGAGGAAAAAGGGGAAAGAGAGGATTTGGAGAAGAAAGGGCTCCTGGAGGAGAGAAGACGGCGAGATGATGTCTGCGTCAGTAGTTTTCTCAGCATCATCGCAATTCAAAATCTGCAGACTCCGACTTACCAAAGTCGAAGGAATCGGGAAGGTAAAGACGAGAACTGTAATATTTGTATACTTTTATTTACATTTGAATTAGAACAAACGATGGGGATGTAGCTCAGATGGTAGAGCGCTCGCTTAGCATGCGAGAGGTACGGGGATCGATACCCCGCATCTCCACATTTTTCTTTCCTTTTTTCTGTCTTCGTTTTTTACCCTCTCTTTTTGTTTACAAAGACATCTCCAACTTTAACAACGTTAGAAAAACAAACCAAGCTTTTCATAACATGGCTTTGTTGGCCCCAAAAATAAAAGGAATATAAATTAAGGACCTAAAACAAAACCAAGCTTTCCTAATCCTACAAGGAGTTGTAGATTTTTCTTTATAAGTGTTACATCATGATGTTGTGCCGTGATCTGCTTATCGAAGCAATAACGTTGTAGATAAAGGTGAAGACATTGTTGCACGTTAGCAGAAAAAAGTTGTTGCTTTTGTCGTTAGCATTTACATCAAACTTCATCACATAATTCCTAAATTTCTCAACGAAAACATGATTGATCAAGATATGAATGTTGCAGGAAAACAATATGGCAATTCTCATTCTCGGAAGAAATTGGTTGAGATGTTCGACACAAAAACAAACCCATCGATGTTACTCTCACGAATTCACATAAAACGAAAGAAAAAGAGAACATAACGTTAAATAAATTCAAGATTTATCATAGTTCATTACTTATTTGTCGACGTATTGATTTTAAGGGCATTGGAAACCACGTGGTGCCTTTGTTGGATAAAGAAAAACTGATGTTCATGAAACTACAACTTTCAGTTCTCTGGAAAAAAATCCAGAGAGAAGATCTTCAAACATTGATGAACAAAAGATTGATTACAAAGAAAAAAGGGAGGAAGAAGATACAATTTCACTCTTGATTCACAACACTCTCTAATTCTGTACACGACTGTTTTTACCAATTCAATTTCTTACTATAAGATATTCTCAATCTTGGCGTCCACGTGTCGTAGTCCCCCTCTACTTTCCTATAACATTATGCTGCAAACATTGAGAAGCAAGCCAAGGTTAATGGGAAGGTTGAGGTTAATGCCAAGAACACTAACCTTGAGGCAGTGCAAAGACAAACCGCAGCTTCGAGATCGACCAAACCCTGAAGCTAAATATATATGACTTCTTAAAAACCTACCATATTTACTAATCTACATACATAGTAGTCTATGAAGAATTTTGAATGTAATACTACTAGTCTCGCAAAATGCTCTTATATATGTTGGTTACTGCCTACAGAATGCTTACTTTCCAAATTTAACTTAAATATTGTTTATTTCTTACCTAATTAACCTTGTTTTTTATTTTTGTCATATTTACGGAGTTAACTTTTATCAAGATATTTTTTCTATTACATTGCTTTTGATCAAAAGTTTCACAATTACAAAACCAATCAATTATACTCGTACATGAAATGGTATCTTGTACTCTTGATGTGTGTATTTTTTTTTTTTTTTTTTCATTCCTGATTCGATCCACACTTCAGTTTCCTTCAATGAAGAATTCAAAATTTATGCAAAACAGGTGGTGGTGTTGGTCCCGGGCAGGTGAAACCTTGCGGAATTGTACGGCCGCAAGTTCTAAATAAGATTCCAAATGGTGGAGTCAGTGAGAAACGTCGTTCGTTGACAGATTTACACAGACATGTAACAGCATCAACATCTGAGAGGCCACGGAGGATGGAACAACATGGCTCAGCCCTTGCAACATTACCGTCAGCGACTACTAAGATACGATTGCATATCATTAATTCGGTATCATTCTTTGAGCATGTGCCAGTTGGAGGAGGGGATGGTGGCGAAAGGGGTGGTGGTGGAGGCGGTGGTGTTGGTCCTGGGCAGGTGAAGCCTTGCGGAATTGTACGGCCGCAAGTTCGAAATAATATCCCAAATGGTGGAGTCAGTGAGAAACGTCGTTCATTGACTGATTTACATAGACATGTAACAGCATCAACATCTGAGAGGCCGCGGAGGATGGAACAACATGGCTCAGCCCTTGCAGCATTACCGTCAGCCACAACTAAGATACGATTGCATATCGTTAATTCGGTATCATTTTTTGAGCATCGGCCAGTTGGAGGAGGGGATGGTGGCGAAAGGGGCGGTGGTGGAGGCGGTGGTGTTGGTCCTGGGCAGGTGAAGCCTTGCGGAATTGTACGGCCACAAGTTCTAAATAAGATCCCAAATGGTGGAGTCAGTGAGAAACGTCGTTCGTTGACAGATTTACATAGACATGTAACAGCATCAACATCTGAGAGGCCACGGAGGATGGAACAACATGGCTCAGCCCTTGCAGCATTACCGTCAGCGACTACTAAGATACGATTGCATATCATTAATTCAGTATCATTCTTTGAGCATGTGCCAGTTGGAGGAGGGGATGGTGGCGAAAGGGGTGGTGGTGGAGGCGGTGGTGTTGGTCCTGGGCAGGTGAAGCCTTGCGGAATTGTACGGCCGCAAGTTCTAAATAAGATCCCAAATGGTGGAGTCAGTGAGAAACGTCGTTCGTTGACTGATTTACATAGACATGTAACAGCATCAACATCTGAGAGGCCGCGGAGGATGGAACAACATGGCTCAGCTCTTGCAGCATTACCGTCAGCCACAACTAAGATACGATTGCATATGGTTAATTCGGTATCATTTTTTGAGCATGTGCCAGTTGGAGGAGGAGATGGTGGCGAAAGGGGTGGTGGTGGAGGCGGTGGTGTTGGTCCTGGGCAGGTGAAGCCTTGCGGAATCGTACGGCCGCAGCTCGTAAATAAGATCCTAAATGGTGGAGTTAGTGAGAAACGTCGTTCGTTGACTGATTTACACAGACATATAAGAGCATCAACATCAGAGAGGTCGCGGAGGATGGAACAACATGGCTCAGCCCTTCCAGCATTACCATCAGCGACTACTAAGATACGACTGCATATATTTAAATCAGTATCATTCTTTGAGCATGTGCCAGTTGCAAGAGGGGATGGTGGCTGAAGGGGCAGTGGTGGAGAAACTTGGGGTGGGCTTGTCGGAGGAAGTGGTGGTGTGATCGCTGGTGGAGGAATTTGTGGTGGGGTTGTCGGAGGAAGTGGTGGTGTGATTGCTGGTGGGGTTGTTGGAGGAAGTGGGGGTGGTGGGATTGTCGGAGGTATTTGTGGTGGGGTTGTTGGAGGAAGTGGAGGTGGTGTGATCGCCGGTGGAGTAATGTGTGGTGGGGTTGTTGGAGGAAGTTGAGGTGGTATTGGTGTTGTTGGTGGAGAAGGCGGTGTATATGCATTGGGTGGCGGTGCTGGCAGCGGCACTTGTGTTGTTGGTGGAGGTGGTGCTATGGTTTGCGGAGGAGTTGGTGGTTGGGCATTTGGTGGTGTTACCGGCAGGGGTTGTGTTGTTGGTGGAGGTGGTGGTGTAGTCGTTGTTGGAGACGGTGGTTGGGCTCCGTGTGGGGGTGCGGGTTGAATTGTTGGGGGTAAAGATGGTTGGTTATCCGGAGGAGGATGCGGTGGTGGCGGCGGTTGGATACTGGGTGGTGGCAGCGACGGTGGTGTGGGGTTACAAATACAAACACAAGGTGGTGGTGGAGGGCATTGGAGTGGAGATGGTTTATGTTTGTAATAGTTTTTGCCTCCAACGGAAGTGAGAAATAAAAAGAAGCTAATTATGAGGAAAATGCTGGATTTCATATTTATTTTTCTGAGTTTGCAGTTGCAAAAGTTAGACTATTTATGATCGATGAATGTGGGTTTGAGGATGAAGTTAGGCTTATCTTGGTAGTAAATTTATAGTATGATAACGTGTTGACTAAATTGTGTTTGCCTAACCTTGTGTATAGATGGAAGCTTGGAACTTCGAAGATTGGGTTTCATAGAGTTTTGTTTTGTTGTCTAACCTTTGATATTCATGAAATGAAATGTCAAATCTAATTTTGCATCGGACTAATACGTCCAAGCATAGAGAGAATCATTATTCTTATGTGGGGTTCGCATGTTCTTACAAGATCCCATGGTTTTTTACACAAGAAGACGAATTTAAAATCTATAGATCAAGGTTTTTAGTTTCTTGTTTTATTTAAACGCATCATTCCTTCGAGTTTAAAAACGTGTAACCAAAGCAATTGACTCAAATACTCATTCGCTTCAATATGTTCACATGGCTCCTGCTCAAGATCCGTAATTTCCACCAATACCTAAAGAGTCCCATTTTATTCCAACTCTAGTTTATTGGCTTTTTCTTCCATGTGCATCCATCTTTGACTCTTCGAATTTTGTCGTCATAAAAGAGATATATGCCCTCCTTTGTACTTTTTTTTTGTCTCAATGATATTTTCAGAAATATATCTTCCAAGAAATAAGTCCTCTGTTCATGAATCATGATGTCATTGATGTGGGTGAGTCAGGGAAACAAAGTGGTCGAATTACAACAGGTAAAACATAAACTTATTTAGTTTGTAACACACGCCCAGACGAGCACGCACATATATGAATCTCAGAGACACCCTGAATACATACCATGATTATTATCCTTTCAAAAATCCTGCATTTCTAATCTCCTAAGCGAATTTTACTATTCTTGGACATAATTTTGTGTCGTTTTTCTAGTTCTTTCATTCTACATTGTTTAAATGTTAGGGCGTCCTGTTAGGTCAAAAAACATGAATTTCTCTTTTATAAACTTTATTCATACCCGGCTTTGGCTTCCAAAACCGAGTTAATTGCGTGGATGCGAGAGAAAAAATATTACATATGAAATTCCACTCCCATATCTAACCTCTCTTCAAAGCTTTTTTCTCTTCACCTGCCTTTCTTCATATCAAGCAATAAAAAATAACCCCACATTACTACTATCACATGCACGAACGGATTTCAAAACCCTAACTTTATGCCCAAGTCAACGCCAAACTGCAGCTGCAAACAGATGTTTTCAGCTTCCATAACTATCTAAAGTCCTCGATCCTATCTCCATATCCTTCCCATTTCCCCATATCTCGCCATTTCCAATAAACAGTTAAAACTCGAACCCATTTTACGAATTCCAAACCGCTACAAACATTCCACAATCCATGAGTCTAAGCAGCAACAACTCCACATCAGACGACGTGAAGAGCAGCGAACAAACAAGGACATAATCAACGAGAGTGGAAGTAGAGAAGGATGATGTCGAACAGAAAATCCGCAAGTGATCTTCTTTAGAGATTCACGTTTGAGAAATGGTTTAAGAGAGGTCAGACCCGGTTTAGTACATTTATGGGCCTTGAGTTATAAAAAATTTCTTAAAAAAAATGGTGACTTTGAAAATTAATTATGCCTCATTTTTCAAAATTTTCAAAAGTTTGGACCCCCAAAGCAAAGAAATTAAAGCAAAGAAAGAGGTGAACCCTGTGATGGGTCCTACCTCACACATGCTAATAACCGGCGCTGAGAGAGGTCACTAAACCGAACCTCCTAACTCAAAACGTGACCCTTTAGTGAATGGATTTTGAGTTATTTACATCCAAAGGCACTTATGAGTTATAAACTTACAAAAAAGGTACTTCTCACTCCCAAGGGACTTTCGGATGGTGGAAAGTCTAAAACACCCTTATTTTCACTCAAACTTATCCGAGTAATCCACCGTTTCATTTTCTCTATTTCTGTTTTACTTTCGATCCGTGAAAACAGAACCGCCGAGAAACCCTAACTCCGTCGTCTCCGTGAATTCTCGACCCCGTTGATTCCTGCTCTTCTCGCAAGCAGACGAATCTCGCGATTTCCGTTGGTTCGTCGGTAGCAACTCGTGCCGTTTGTTGGTCTGTTGTAGTTTATCTGTCGCCGGAGAAGCTTGCGCCTTATTGGAGCTGTTATGGAAGGTAAGAACTTCTCCTTCCAATCAGCGTAGAATGATATCGAATTACTTAGCGATAGGTTTTTGTAACGAAAGTGATTGTTTGGTGTTGATTTCTCTGACGTTTTCTTGTTCTCCGTTTGTTATAGGAGGAAGCGATGTTGTTGTGGAAGATCCCCGGCTTCCGACCCGATTGCTTAAAACAGATCACTTCCCGAACCGTCGGTTGAACTGCTATTCGAAGGCAGATACGATTGCTTTTGTGAAATACACGCTGAGAGATAGGCCGGAGTTGTTTCAGAGAATTCGAAACTCCCGCTTTGGAAAGCTTTGGGATTTTCCCGCCGTCAGATGTCCCATTTTGTGCAAACTCATCCACGCTTTTTGTGTCGGCAGTTACTGACCAAGAAGCATTACGAGATGTGGACGGTTTTTGGTGGACAACCTCTCCGTTTCTAGCTTTCCGAGTTTGCAAGCGTTATTGGTCTTCATTGCGGCGAGTTCCCGGAAGATTATGACCCGGACTGGTATCTACCTGTTTCGAAGGGGCCTGACAGGTGGTGGCGGGAGTATATAGGAAATGACTCCCGAACGACAATTGCCGATATTTCTGTCACTCTGAAAACTGAGACGGATATGGATGATGATCGGAAGCTGAGACTGTGTCTCATTCTCCGTGTGGATGGGGTCCTTTGCGTGAGCAGCCAGGTACACAAGCCAACGCCGAAGTACGTCTCAATGCTGTCTGATATAGACGCTTTTTTAGAGTTCCCGTGGGGGAGGGAGTCGTTCCTCAAAACGATCGCAACAATGCGTCCAAACAAACAGATGGCGGTGAAAGACGAAGACCCTGTTCGCACGCTAGTTAAGAACTTGGGACAACCTTCGTTTAGACTGCTTGGCTTCCCTCTGGCTTTTCAACTCCTTGCGTTTGAGGCCATACCATCTCTCCTACGCTATTTACCAACAACATCGGATGATGACATCCTCCTGAATTTGCCGGACGAGAATTTCCCCGATAATCCGTCCCTCACGCATTTAGATGTCGTAAACGCAGAGAACCATCCAGAGGTTAGAAAGCTTTGCGTTTTGGTTACTTTAAGATCAATCCAAACATATTTTTGCTGTGAAACTGATTCTGTGTTATTTATGCAACTCGTTGTACAGCCCTTCATTCCTGTGGATCCGCCAGCTGGGTACATTGGTTGGGGTGAATGGGCTGAGCAAGAAGTGTAGGACCGAAAGGTGGCTTATCTGCATGACCTCTTGGCGAACAACCATCGGTTCACTAAAGCTGAATGGCCGGGTGGGGCAACTGACTACGAGCTTGTGGTCCACAGATACGTGCCACCGAGAGTTGCTCACAAAAAACACATCAGAAACCGCAAGAAGCGTCCGCTGAAGGCAAAAGCATCTGGAAGTGGTACAAGGAAATCCGCTCGAGGTAAAGAGAAGGTTGAGGAGTGTGTCAACTCTGTCGCACCAAAAGGTTTGGTGGAGTAGAACAAGTGGCTTGTGGCACAGGTGAAAATCCTCAAGGAGCAACAAGCGGCCGAGCGTACAACGAGATTGGAGCGCACTCGGTTAATACAGAAGTCGGCCCTTTATAGGAAGGTGTCCACGCAGAGAAGAACACGCAGGAACCAAACGCAAAGGAGACCGGACCCTTCACGCGCGGGTTCGGAGAAAATTCCCAGCGATAGTATTATCAGCCTTAAGGATGGTGAAAGGCCTGCGGAGGATTGGATGGACACCGGTTATGATGGGAAGACAGAGGTTGGGTCATCTAATGAGCAGGTATGTTCAACTTATCGCTAAATATGATGGAATTCGGACATGACCACTAACTGAGCAAGTTATTGTTTTTCCTGCAGGCGTGTTTGTTTATAGGCGCTGGAGATGCAATGCAGCAGTCGCAGTTTGTAAGTTTTTTGTAATGGATGCATATATATTTAACAACCTTATTGGATTGCTTGTTTAGAAAACATTATTGTTCTTTGGCAGTCGCCATCATTAAATCAACATGGGGGTTTAAGAGGAGAAGCATCTACTTCGAGGGGGCAGCTATTTGGTCAATCGACAGCTTTGGAAAAGGAGGAACAAGCTAAGGTTGTTTTGAGCGCTTTCTATACAACCGTTTAGGCATTTCTGTTGATTGTAGCGTTGACTAACAGAACAATTAACAGGCCGGAGAGGAGAAAAGAGTGAAACGTGGAGATGGTGAAATGGTAGTGCACGAACAACCTAACAAAGAGAAGTAGCTTGTAGATGAGGAACTCCCGTTAGAAGATGATATTTCAATGGATGGGATCAAGTGTACGCAGACGGGAGGTCTAAGAAACATAACGGAGGATGTTTGTGGGCGGGAGAATGTGGATGGGAGTGCTCGTTTGGAAGATAGGCAGGGCCGGGATGAAGAATCCCCTACCGAGATGCGTGGGCATGTGGATGAGATATCGTGTACACAGTCGGTGGTCAAGAACATTGTACAGGTTAATGAACCTATCCAGCCGTGTACGCATGGGGAAAGAGAAGGTGAGGCACGTACAGGGGGAGCTGATGAGAAGCATGAGGTTAGTGATTTTTTAATAAGTAAATACCGTTTGTGTCGGAAATAAAATGGGTGACAGAAGTGTGGTTGATGCAGAAGTCTATGGAGGACGATGGGGACACACAACTGCGGGCACTTATTGACAATATCGTTGCTGGATCTGCCGAACCTAAATCACTGAACTCGTTGGAAATTATCGCCAGCGATGTAAACGTGGAGAAGGTTGTGGACAGCAAGGTCAGTGACTCTCGAAATTTGAAGCTACAGCCCATTATCGGGTAAGTTCTAAAAAAAGTTGATAATGGTTGAGTTTTTATATCACGTGTGCAGGGAGTAAGAGAGGGGGGATCTAGTATGATGGAAATATGTGAACCTTCTGATGTTTCAGCGAGAGTTGAGTCAGAACAGGTAACTAAAAAATGTAATCCTTAACCCTTGAGGCTGGTGTAAGCGCAGTACCTTATTGTGTTTTGTCCGATGTACTCCAGCAGGGGACAGGCGTGGAGGGGATGGTATCTGAGCGGGAGAGTATGGGAGAGGAGTGTGTTTTTGATCTTGCGCAGACAGATCCGAGTGTTGGTAAGGCTCCAGTGGTTAGGCCTTCGGTTGTCGAGACGGAAGGCAATTCTCATCTACGAGTCCCCGTACACGAGAAGACGACCCAGGCTCCAGTGGTTCAGCCTTTGGCTGTAGAGACAGAAGGCAAGTCTCATCCGCGAGTCCCCGTACACGAGAAGACGACTCAGGCTACAGTGGTTCAGCCGTTGTCTGTAGAGACAGAAGGCAAATCTCATCCACGAGTCCCCGTACACGATAAAACAACCCAGTTCTCAAAAATAGAGACGGGAAGTAAGCCTCAGCCACGAGTAACTGTACACGAGAAGACTGTGATTTTTGGAGAAGAGCATTTGCGTGGTCAGTGTATGGTAGTACGGAAAGAGGTGGAGGCAGGTAATGCTGTTCTTCCAACGACGCCGCCAGCTGCGCGTGTACTCACGGTAAGTCTGTCTTTTAAAAATATTGGTTTAGGTGTACCCGACATATGATATTGGTGCTGTGTTCGTACATTTGGTCATGATCTTGTGTTCTGGTACTGCTTTTTGTGTATGCAGGGTGCTCTGGTTGTTGACTCATCTCCGACATCCAACCGAGCGACGCATATAACTGTTAGTGACTCATCACCCCCACCTAAACGATCGGCGCACATTCCTTCTGTGATGGAGACTGAACTTGCGAAAGCCCTTGTTGCGGCTCCAAGACTACCAGCCTCGTCACTTGTCTACCAAACTGATGCGCAGCTGTTCCACATGTTAAAGAAAACCCTTGCTGCCAACAAAGACTTGTAATATTTTCTGACCTTCCTTTTTTGGCCTATTTGGTGTGTTATTGACTGACAAATCTGTATTTTGCAACGCTAGCCTCCACATTTCGCAAGACAAATATGATCTTGATAACTCCTTCTTTCTTGATCTGGCGGAGAAGCAGAAGTGGGTGTCCACGAAGGTCTTACTACTAACCATATTTTCTTGGCCTTGCGCATTTGCAGAGTTGAAGTTACTCAATACTTAGTTTTTGTCGTTTTGTTTGCAGCATATGGAGGTTCTGATGACGTACCTTGGGGACAAGCACGCGGACCTACTATCGAAAGAGAATTCCATGTTTGCTTCACCTTGGCTTGTAAACCACTTGCAAGGGAAGTACAGGAAGTTCAAGGCCGCTATCAACAAGGGAATGATAAGGTGGGATGATTGTATCACCAAATTCGTGGTTACACCAGGACAGACATGGCTAGAGGAGGTGCACACAGTCTATTGTCCAATGATATGGGACAACGAGCATTGGGTGGGTTTGGGTTTGGCGATACATCTCGGGTCACGGTTCGTTGAGGTACTCGATCCATTGCCCTCTCTGAACAAAGATGGGAAGGTTGAGAGGTACATGGCTCCGGTTGTGGAGATGCTTCCTCACATAATAAGTAGGTTTTGTCCATCGGCAACACAGAAACGCAACAACAAGCCATTCACGTTTAAACGTGTGGCCAACACTTATGAGAACCATCGTTCCGGCGACTGTGGACCTGTGGCGGTGAAGTTTATGGAAATTCATGCTTACAATGATCCACCTCCTCATTTGTCAGGGCTTACGGACGAGCTGGTTGGAGATTCCAGGAAAAACTATGCAATGGAGTTGTACAGGGGAATGGTTCTCCCCATCTATTTCCCTACTTCACCACCACTATCACCTGTGGTCGAGCCTTAGCGAAGTCTTGACACTTTGTGTATGGAACCCTAATATTATGTTTTTGTGGGTTGCATACGTTATATCTCGCCCCCTTTTGTTGTGTTGATACTTTGGGTTTGAGTGCACCAAACCTTTTAAGCACCATCGTTTGTAGTACTTGAAATGTAATGGAACTTTATGGTTTTCGTTTAATTTAAGATGTCCATGAACCTTTGGCAAATCTTTTATTTTGTGGACAAAGTTTGAGCGAATTTCCATGTGAAAAGTTGGTGGTAAGGAAACCGGGTTATAATCCATGCTTTCTGGTACAGGTGTTTTCATCCATGGTTTTCATTACTATATTAAGAGATATTATGTGGTCATGCCAGACAAATGGTTTGTATATGGCGAGTCCCCGTACACGAGAAGACGACCCAGACTCCAGTGGTTCAGCCTTTGGCTGTAGAGACAGAAGGCAAGTCTCATCCACGAGTCCCCGTACACAGTAAGACGACCCAGGCTCCAGTGGTGTACTCTGACCAAGAGATATTATATTAAGATATCATCCATGGTTTCCATTACTATATTACTAAACTCGTTGGATATTATGTGGTCATGCCAGACTAATGGTGTGTATATAGCGAGTGTACCATATCCATCGTTTCTTTGTACACGTCTAAAGGTTTGTGTGGACACCTTTGTGATATGGTGTGGATACATATGATAGTAGTGGATAGTTTGGTAAATTACTCGGGAAAATAGTGGATAATTTGGTAAATTCGAGTTGAGTAGTAGGGAGGGGACTGAGGACAGACTGTCGTGTTTTGGTTATGTCATATTATCCAGTTATGGCCGTCCACAGTGCGGTGTCCACTAGGGAGTGTGCACGTTTATCTTAGTATGCATAGGCTGTTACACAAAATTAATAAACAGGCAAGAAGCAGAAACAAAAGTCATGGCAAATATGTGTGCTTGGTCTGATATTAAGGTGTACACTTGCCTAGGATAACAAAAAGGGACAAACTAACTTGCAAATGATTCCCTTATTAGTGGGTTCATAGATGAGGGCATAAGGAAGAGCATTATGCTTTTAGTTTAGAAAGGCTAGGATAAAGGCCATTAGGAGGGCTGCCGCACCGCACGCCACAGCAATCTTGAACTCCAATGCTGATTTACGCTGTAATTTGAGACCATGGTCCTTGATGACCTGGATCTCGTGAGCAAGGTTCTCGAAACGACGACGGTCCATGGCGATGTGCCAAAGTTCTGTGTTCATGTCGTCAAGCTCATCATAGAGCACATCGAACTGTTCCGTAATTGCTTCTTCCCACCACATTCTCAGATGTGCTTGACCGTCCTACAATGGATCATTATCATTGTTGTCGTTTGTTGGACTCTGAACTAATTTAGACATTAACATAATGTAAGGGTGACTGACCATGGTGTTTCCGGTACACTCGAAGAATTTTTTCCCATCATGGGTGGTGTGGAGAGCAACATCTTCACCGCAACGACATACCTTAGGAATCCCCACTCCTCAATTACCCGGGAAAGTCCTAAGGAGACCCTGTCTAAAGATGCCCTCAGCATCCCTCGTGGAAACAGTGTTGCGAGTCAAATCCATTTGGTTGGCTATTCCTGCTAAAGAGAGAGGTATCATTTCCAATTGACATAGGGAGGTTTGTGTGTTCTAACAATTGGGAAATCAGAGACCTCGTTTGTGTAATTGTATGTCTGCACCTTTACTATAGTAGGCAGCGTATACTAGTTAACCGTAGACAATCAGTTAAAGCAAAAGAAAATAGCCTTAAGAAAAAAGTAGCTTATCGGTATTCACGAAGGGATAAGAAGATCGGTAATGTTCGTATGGAAAAGAAACACCAGGTCTCGATTAAGGTTCAACCTAAGAATTCTCGGACGGTAATGGATATTTTGTGTGACTGTTCGGGTTTGTGAGCTTATAGCAGGAAGTACCATGGCGGCGGAGGATATAAACGAGTGAAGGATGCGGAAATATCTCGGGAAGGAATAGTGTACACATATATCGTAATTTGAGTGGGTACATATGACCAGGTCGGAAATAGTCACAATTATTATTTGAGTCCTGAGACGATAAAATTCCGTTCAGCCCGCTATCCATATCTAAATGAAAAAGTGTACATTTTCTTATGGATAGACGTGACCTTACAAACGGTGCCTCATAATATCCGGCCAATTATGCGTAGTTTGCATGAGATATGTTCGTACATATATAACCCTACATATGGTCTTACACTTATTTAAGCGCTGGGTTGATGCGTTCACTTTCATCTCACAAAACTGCCGCGGTAGATCTTACCAAGTATGCACGTTTTCATACTTGCGATGCGTACATGAAAAGTCGTACATATGACCGGGAGATACAGATAGGCTTAAACAATTAAGCGCATTCCCATCGCGTGGGATGTGTCCACATGTCCCCGTACATGTGACGCGAGGATGGAATTGGTGGTTAAAATCATTTTGTAACCACATGGACGGAGGCTAAAGCTAAAATATGCCTCGGCTGTTGCAAACCCTTAACATGGTACCTCGTTGTTCATACATGAATTCGTACATATGTCAGCGTACAAATGACTAGGATTGTATATGGTCCTTGAAATGAATACAGGGAACGAGTGATACCTTATGACTGTTTTTCCAAAAACCAATAAGATTCCAGGCAAGGTATAAGAGATACAAATTTTTCCCACACAAAATATATTAAGACTAGTGAGAAGTTTCACAGCCACAAGAAAAGATTGACTAGAAAAGGCAAGGATCGAGTGCATATAGGCTGTTCACCGCAGCCCTGACACTTCAAATAGGAGCTTTGCACCTGGCTCTGTTGTGACCAACTCCTAAGCATCTGGTACACTTGTTTGGGACAGTTTTTTTAACTCTGGCCGCCTAAAAGCGTACACATATATCGTAATTTGAGTGGGTACATATGGTGGCGTACATATGACCAGGTTGGAAATAGTCACAATTATTATTTGACTCCTGAGACGATAAAATTCCGTTCAGCCCGCTATCCATATCTAAATGAAAAAGTGTACATTTTCTTATGGATAGACGTGACCTTACAAACTGTGCCTCATAATATCCGGCCAATTATGCGTAGTTTGCATGAGATATTTTTGTACACTTATAACCCTACATATGGTCTTACACTTATTTAGGCCCTGGGTTGATGCGTTCACTTTCATCTCACAAAACTGCCGCGGTAGATCTTACCAAGTATGCACGTTTTCATACTTGTGATGCGTACATGAAAAGTCGTACATATGACCGGGAGATACAGATAGGCTTAAACAATTAAGCGCATTCCCATCGCGTGGGATGTGTCCACATGTCCCCGTACATGTGACGCGAGGATGGAATTGGTGGTTAAAATCATTTTGTAACCACATGGACGGAGGCTAAAGCTAAAATATGCCTCGGCTGTTGCAAACCCTTAACATGGTACCTCGTTGTTCATACATGAATTTGTACATATGTCAGCGTACATATGACTAGGGTTGTATATGGTGCTTGAAATGAATACAGGGAACGAGTGGTACCTTATGACTTTTTTCCAAAAACCAATAAGATTCCAGGCAAGGTATAAGAGATACAAATTTTTCCCACACAAAATATATTAAGACTAGTGAGAAGTTTCACAGCCACAAGAAAAGATTGACTAGAAAAGGCAAGGATCGAGTGCATATAGGCTGTTCACCGCAACTCTGACACTTCAAATAGGAGCTTTGCACCTGGCTCTGTTGTGACCAACTCCTAAGCATCTGGTACACTTGTTTGGGACAGTTTTTTTAACTCTGGCCGCCTAAAAGCATATAAGTTTGTTAGTACATGAGCAGTTAATAAGGGTGTGTGGAATTGGGAAGGAGAATGACTTACTGGAACTTCGCCAATTGATGGAATCCTTGTTTCTTTAGGCCTCCCAGACGGCCGGTGGGTATTAGGCGGCATCACGTTTTTCTGACCCATTTCTGGTGGGAGGTCGTAATCAACTGATTCTTCGGGGAGTGTTACAAGATCATCGTAAGTTTGAACCCATTCAGAAGGTTTTAGCGTCTCGCTTACGAAGGAAGAATAAGGAAGACCCAGGCTATCTGCTGCAATCATGGCATGTCCACATGGAATCTTGAGCTTGTCAAACATGCGGCAGGTGCATTTTTTCTCTTTCAAAAGGACCTGATGCTTCTCCCCAAATAGGCCAACGACTTGCACGCTCCAGGAAGAGACCATATTGATTTTGCTGCCCTTGCAAGCAGCCAGATTTGCCGTTAGTACCTTGTCCACCTCGGGCGTACAAGCACCTCTATGTTTTTGTGATTTAATCCGCCGAGCTTTAAACCATCTGGTCATCATATCTTGGATGAATTTCAATAGCTCCAATATGGGAGAATTCCGTCCACCCCTCAATGCCTTGTTCAGTTTCTCAGCCGCGTTACTAGTCATCAGGTTAAACCGGTCGCCGGGGAAATGTGCTCGAGACCAGTGAGCTATACCAATCTTATGCAAATACACAGCACAAGCTGGACTAGCTGCCCTGATGTCCGCATATATTTTCCTAAACCCTCCCACGCGGAATGCCCAAGCCGCACTGATAACCATCTTTGCCAATCCCTTGCTCTTGTACCGCGAAGTCACGTTCCGAGCCAAATGCACAATACACGCAGCGTGGTGAGCCTTTGGAAAAATCCTGGTCTTGGCAACTTCTATCGAGGGGCACCGGTCAGATATGATTGTCAGGGAAGGGCTATCGGCCAAAATCCGCTCCAGTTTCTGAAAAACCATGTCCAGGAATCGATGTTCTCGCTGTCGACAACCGCATAAGCAAGCGGAAAAACTTGGAAGTTAGCGTCCTGGCCACTAGCAGTTAGGAGTGTCCCCATAAATTTGCCGCCGGGATGGGTTCCATCGACAACAACAACGTGCCTAAGGCGCCTGAATCCCCTGATCGATGCACCAAAGGCGAGAAACAAATACAAAAACCGATCGAGACCAAAGGCATCTTTCTCCGTTATCAAATCAATCACGGTGCCGGGGTTAGCGAGCTTGAGCATATACAAATACTCAGGCAGCCCCAAGTAGGAGTCGTCATCGGATTCCCTAACGCCTGTAATTGCCTTCTCTCGTGCCCTATAACACTTCATGTAAGAGGAGGCCACTCGTAGCTCCTCGAGGACTAATTGTTGCAAATCTGCTGCACGTGGGCCTTTGACAGGGTCGCCATATTTGGCCTTGAAAACGGCTGCAATAACATTGGAGGAAGCTCTCTTCTTAAACATACTTCTAGTCTCTATGCAGCATGAGTGCTCTAAATTCGCCTTCTTGATCTCATAGTTACCCACAGTGCTTAACCTGACCAGCTAGTATTCTCCACTCGCAGCGCTGATCGGTACAATTTAGTACGAAGTAGTTTCTCTTAGTTGTGGTTTGGCGGAAATTGAACATGTTTTTGATGGCGTATATTGCGAGAGCTACTTGACAATCTTTCTTGGAGGAGAACACTTTCCCGACTGCCACTTCGCCGCCTATTTCGTCTATGTCGAGGTCAGGGATGTCGGTGGTGTCGTATAGGAGGTCGTCGTACATAGGAGGGATATCAAACTCCTCGTCGTCTATGTCGGTGAGGGAACGTCCCTTGTACACATTTTCGCGAACAAAGTCACTCGACCACGGCTTCGGTCCACCATTGCGGTCCATGCTCTTCTGTCCAAAGCTCTGATTCCTCGGGCCATCTGATCCTTGTGCATTGCCGCCATTGCTGTCCATGCTCTTCTGTCCAAAGCTCTGATTCCTCGGGCAATCTGATCCTTGTCCATTGCCACCATTGCTGTCCATGTTCTTCTGTCCAAAGCTGTGTTTTCTCGTTCTATCGGGTCCTTGTGCATTACCACCATGGCTGTACACATTCTTCCTGCTGCTTGGATGGTTGAAAGTCCCACGCGGAGTTTGAGGTTGCCCACCGCTATCTGCGTTCATGGAGTCATTCCCCGAGTAGTCGGGATCGGAACAACCAGAAGCAGTCGAAGCTCCGCTCGGGGCTTCGTTCTTCCAGACACCGCCGTCTCCTCCGGCAATGACTGTGTGGTCGAAAGCGTCGTTCGTTGAACAAGTATAGAGAGATGGTCCAGCATTGATCGGTGGATCTTCGTCGGGGCACATGAAATCTGGGGCGTCGGAGCCACCATAAACTTCATCTACAAGCGGTTCCCAGAACTCCTCGTCGATGCCAAGGGGTCGGACGTCATAGTCGTCCCACGAGTCTTGACCATTGTCCTCTTCATCAGTGTTCAGATCGTCAGAGTCGTGTTGGATTCCGCTGACGTCGCTCTTCAACTCGTCCAAAGAGTCATGAACACTCTTCTCATAGGTGGTGTTCAGGTTGAAGAGATCTTCCTTCGTGTGATCTCCGCTGCGCATAATGTTTTCCACATTCTCCATGTGTGAAGCCACCAGCTCGTCATCTATCTCTACCGGAAACTTTCTTGACCCAACAGATGATCCAAACTCGTCTAGGTTGTCAATGCCCAACCCGAACATTCCCTCGCCCCCTAGGTCTTCCGTGAAGCGGGCTCTTTTAGTTGTCGGCATTGGTGTTGTATAGCCATCGGAAAAACCCTTGCCAACGGGCAATGATGTAGAGATGACTCGTTTGCCGAAGTTGGCAAACAAGTTCATTGAATTCTTTACGCGGAAATGCTTGCAGAAATAAGAGATAGAAGCGCCACTGGTTACAATCACAGGCGGGGTTGTAATGCCGGTCGCGAGCTCGTGAGTGTTCGGTGGCCAGTAGCTTAATTCAACATCTATCTCAGACCCACCATCAGCGATGAATTCTCTAATGACGTTTTTCTTCAATTCATCAATACTCATCCCATCCTCGAATGCAACAACCTGCGACATACGCTGCTTGTCGATGACAAAATCCCATTTCCCGTCAGGCAAAGATCTCCATTCACCGCTAATCACCATACAATGTTCAGCCATGGTACCGTTGGCTTTTGTTCTTGGAATGCCAAGAACACTCAGAAAAACCTATATCGCGGAATAACCTATCAGTCACTTACTTATCCAGGAAAGCAAAAAACTTTTCCCACCAACAAAAGATATGTGGATGACCTTAGGACCGTTAGATGGTAAAGCAATAAATATTGTAAAAGATCGAAGGGCCAACTTTGAACGACACTTATTCCCGTAAAGTGGTTGCTTCCCTACACGTAGGGTGTTAATGGCATCAAGAAATGCAAATTAAGAGATCAACACATCCACGGCGTCTTGACCACCTGTCAGATAAATCGTGAACAATAGCTAGGAAATCCAAATGCTTGGAGTGTAGTTCTCGAGAGGGGTTTCCCCGGTTCAAAAATAACAACTAGTTATCCACAATTGATAATCCACGCTGCCTGTTCCTGACGTCTACCCATAATAATCTTACTGTCTTAAGGTCCCCACAAACAACTTGTTATCCACAACTCATCGTCCACGCGGGCAGTTCCTGACGTCTACACATAATCATTTTACTGTATTCTTAGGTCACAACTTGTTATCCACAATTCATCGTCCACGCGGGAATATCCTGGTGTTTACATATAATCATTTTACTGTATTCAATAATCATTTTATTGTTATCCACAGTTGATCGTCCACGCGGGTAGTTCATGCCGTCTACATATGAATACAACGTTGTCTAGGTTGGGGTTTGTCCAATTGGTCCTGTACGAGTTCATGTGATTATCCCCGTGAATGTTCATCGTGGCGAGGGTGCGACTCTTAACAGACGATTGGAGTTAGAGTAACGTTCCGACTAGGTTTTCTTAATCTAGGCAGAAATCTAAAATTTTCTAGGACCCTCTCGTTTACTCGCGAAGCCGGCGGGTTTTCTCTTTCTCGGCTCTTCTGCGACTCCGCCGCCTCTTCTCTCCCACGGCTGTTCTGCAACTCCGGCGGTTCTTCCGGCTATAACTCAACTCAAATATCTTCACAATTGCGAGACGGTAAAAAAAGAGTAAGAAAGTAAAAAAATTAAAGCAAGGGTACATGTGGGATTGCACGTCATACAGAAACAGGCGAAAGTCCCTTGGGAGTGAGAAGTGCCTTTGGGTGTTATATCACTTTCATAAAGTGCCTTTGGGCGTAATTTTCTCATGGATTTACATCAGATTTATTGCTACTTTCCCTAATTATACTTTTTTCTCATGCAAACAACAATTGTCCTCTTTGCAGGTCGTGTGAGGATGTTGTTGAAAATCATTGCAAACTAATGCATGTAATCTTTTTTTATCATTTATCAACCTGGGTTAATTAGTTTGATCTTCTTTATCATCTAATACATGTTGATTTGTCCATACAAGAGATAAAAGAGAAAGAGAAATGGGCAACTTGCGCTTGAGAAGTCAGATTCGAAGTTATGAAATCAAGAACGTGAGAACATAATCATAATCAGCAGCATATCTATGCAAGGTTTGTACCAAACAAAAGCACCTCCTTTACTTTATATACTGACAATGATTACTTGGTTTCGAGTCTTTCTTTTCCCAAAAGATCTTCAAATGACACTCTACTATAAGTATACAATCGAGAATATTAATTTACAACAAGTTTTGTACTTTTGTTCAACGTTTCGGCTGCTTTTTTTGTCCGACAAAACACACAAACTAATCCCAACATTCCAAACTTGCCAAGTTTCAGTTCCACAGACCATCTCTTTTGCTCTGTGTTAAAAAAGCTGCAATTGAGAGAGCACCGTTCTTGAATCAGAAAGAATCGATGCAACATCCAGCCGTGAAACCTCGGTAAGATATGAACAACTAATTCCTATATTCATTCGGTTACGGCTCTTTGAATCTTTTCCTTTAGGCTTTTGTGACTGACGAGCATTGCGATACGACGAAGCTTGAGGCAAGTTTAAGCTAGACAAACTCCTCAAAGGCGGTCCATTTCTCGACACAAACCCTCCTCCTTGTGTTCTGACACCGTTCTTGGCAACAGGCTGCATTGTTTGGCATGGAAAGAAGAAGAAGAGCGCTCTTCTTCTTAAATTGACGTTAAAATTATAGTGTCAATTAAAAACTGATGCTAACTACCAAAATAACTGATGCTAAATACAGAATTTCTTGTAGTGAGCTAGCAAAGTCTTTAAGGCTTGGTAACGGCTTCAAGGCTTCCACAACTTCACTCATCTTTGGCCTAGCTTTCGAGTCTCGGTTAAGGCATTGCGCCGCTAACTGTGTCGCTTTCTGAGCACCCTTAATCGAGAAGTGACCCTGGAAAATTTCGATCTTGGGCTGCTAAACCTTTATCTTTTGCGAGTCGAGCAGCTCATTGCCTCAGTATTTATCACCAATGAGCAGAGCTGCTAAACTTTTTGGAGTACATATACTGTATAGTACAAATCACTATGTTATAAATCATTAAATATTGTATTAAAATGGAGTATACTATTATGTATCATTGTCAATAAAGGAATATAGATTGATTGTGGTCGAAAAAAGGGATAAAAAAAATATTATTAACCGAAAGTAAATCTAAACAAATAGTTTATAAGTTACTTATTAGGACAAAAAAAAGAAAGAAAAAAATGTGGAGCAAAGGATTCGATCTAAGGATAAACTGAGAGCATTAGGGACATATTTTTCAACTAAACTAGTATAATCACCGGTTACTGCTATTAATTAAACAAATATCATGCATAGTTTATTGTTGGGCACGTGCCACACATTGGCTCTACATAAAAGATCCACCATTGTTTGTAAATGTGTCATGAATTGCAGTCTTACAAGTATTATGTCCATGATTTAATTTCTTCAAATGAAATGAAACATCAAAATCAGTGTTTACTACGTTATCTTCTAAAAAAAACACTTTAAATAATGGTTGTTTTCATGATAACTGCTTTACCTGTGTTTATAACAAGAAAGAAAAAGGTAATAATTGCATTGTGTCTTTGGTTGATTTGTTCTGTGGTTTTTGTCCATTTGAGTTAACCTTTTTTACTACTAATCGATCTCTAATTATTTAGTACCTTTTGTTGTGGCAACATGAACAATTGAACATGATATTTTGTTTTCATTTCTAGATTGCTTGACCAAAAAAAGTTACAAAACGTAAAAATAAGTGTTTCTTAAAGTTTTGTTAAATAATGTGAATATGGTTTTACTAATCCAAGAGTTAGTAGGTTATTTAGTTTACAAATACAGTACTTGAAAAACTTCAGTATTATCCGACATTAAGAACTAATGATGTATTAGTAAATCGTCAACTACTCGTAATGAATATTACTATGGCGACTTTGACTATGACAAAGATGCACTTATGGTTAATGGTCTTATGGGTGAGTCAACTTAATTATATATAATAAAAAAAGTTTAATTTTCTCTTGTATATATTAACAATTTAATCTATCTGGAATGACAAGTACTTTGATCGGCTATCAAGTCCATGAGAGCACTCTTAAATTCAATAAAGAAATGAGTCAAGCAGCCGAATGAATGTTGGAGTTTGCATCGAAAAGAATTTGAAATGATTAAAATAGAATCATAGAATCAGTCAAGAGTTTTAATAAGTCAAATTCCATTTTGATGACACCTATGATTCCAAGAGATGACCCCTACAAACAAAGAAAGCTGTCAGAAGCAATATGGGAAAGAGGAGATATAATCCAACAATTGCAAGATCTTGATTCTTTAAAGAAAAACAGTTTCATATATCTAACAGATTTTTTTGCTAATCAAAAGTATGGTCTTTTATCTTATTCGATCATATAATTAGAGACTCTAAACTAAATATGTTTGAGAAATAGCATACAAGAACGACTTATACTTAATTATTATTTGGATTACTAAAACGTTAACTCAAATAATTTGCTAGGATTCTCTACTACACCGCAAAAAAGGTCGAAAGATTCACGCGTGACCTCAGTCTAAGTCAAGGACTCGAAGAAGAAACGCATTTGGGCACTGAATAAAAATTGAGCGCAATTTCGGTTTGGGTTTCCTTGGAGGCAAACAGAATTTAGAGCTCTCACCACGGATTTTTCTCATCTCCTTCTTCGCTCCTAATCGCTCTCCTTCTTCTCACTCTACGCCGATTGATTTTTCTCTCAGTCATCTCCTCTTAACCTCATTCTTCTTCGTTATCCACATCTCTTCTTCTTCGCTCACAGTCTCCCTCAACTTACACTCCTTTTCCCGCCGATTATTCTCTCCCTCTCGATCGTGACCTCGGTCTTCGTCAGATCCTTCGCCGTTCGCTGTTCCTCCTCGACATTGTTATCTTCTTGTGACCTCGACATTGTTCCTCCTCGACATTGTTATTCTCTCTCAGTCATCTCCTCGTGACCTCGATCTTCGTCAGATCCTCCTCGACATTGTTATCTTCTTGCTTCGTTCTCCCTTGGCGTAAGATTCTTTTTCTTTACTCTTTCTCTCACCGTTCAGGATTCCGAGAATCTTCTCCCGCTTTTATGAATTACTTTCCAGATCCTGTATGCTAGTTTTACCATCTATTGAATTGCTATGGGAATCTAATATTTGGCGATTTGGCATGTGGCTTTTGGGTTAGGAGACTGCTTTTATGTCTCGGATTTTTCAGATTTTCCTAGTTTGATGATGTTTCTTTATAATAGAACAAAACTGTTCTCTTTGGGGTCATGAGTTGATGATATATTATGCCCAACTGCTAATTGCAGTCGTTTGATGGTTTGTATTTGTCTTGCTTGCTCAAATTCACGTCACTAGTCTATAACAGTGTCTACATTGGTTTTGTAGATCATGAGCGTACAAGAACACCCTACGGACCTTGAAGGCAGAATGGGAACTCTACGCCAAAGGATTTACAACGACAGAGTATTCCTTCAATCAACAAGTATTGTGGCATTTGTTGGTTGTGTCGTACCCCTAATGCTTTTACTTGTTCCATTCGTCATGGAGTCCTCACTTTGGGTCAAAATTCTATTCTTTGTGGGACATTTCGTAGCCGGTATCTACTTGGGTATTCTTACTTACCTCGCTTGTTCTACTACTCCCATGGCCACTAGTACAGGGGCAGGGCCTTCCAATAGACCTAATGTTAGTTGTACGAAAAAAGGCTATTGGGAAAGTCATAGCATTAGCAATGTTCACTGTTTTAGATGCAACACTAAAAGATAAAAATGGGATTTTGGTTGTGTTGCTTTGTTTTAGTTTTTACCTTCATATGGTTCACATGATGGTTTATTTTAGGCTAAAAGAGGACTATGATTTTGCTGGAGGGTTTTTAGCTGCATCCTTTGGTTTATTATATGAAATGACTACTTCTTGGTTGGGGCATTTCATTCCTCTGGTGATCATTACAGCTATTTTTAATTCATATAAAAGTCTCCTGTTCGAAGGAGAGGATGCTGTGGTGGCTGTGGCCCCCTAAAATTTAGTGTTATGGGTTAGTTAGGACTTAGGAGTAGGGATAGGTATAAGGGTAGCGTTTAGGGGTTGGGGGTTGGTATAATATGGGTAGAAGGCAAAGAAAAGAAGGAAAAGAAAAGAAGGCACAAGTTTTGTCAGGTGCGAGTTGACTCCTATATCTCTTTCCAAAAAATTCAGAATCTACTAATGCTAGCAGCTAACACGTTTTTCGCTGTAGAAATTGGTGCTACAACAACAGAGATAATGTCTGATAGAAGAGCAGTAAATATCACCATCAATAGGTAATAGGTGATGATTCATACTGTTGTATGTCTTAGCAGACAAACCCACAAGACGTTATCTATCAAATACAAAACGCTGACCTATGACATCTTTGGTTTGATCTCTTAATATCGTAATGCAGATATGGCCACATGATTGACAATGTCGTGCTGATTGTGACTGGGACCCTGCACGAGAGAGATGTTCAAGAGTTGATCGAGAAATGTCATCCTTTAGGCATGTTTGACAGGTACTCGCATTGACCTTTGCATCTTCTGTAACTCTTCCCGCAGCTGCTTTTGACCATTTTTCTTTGCCTTTTTATGTTTTTGCAGTATTGCCACACTTGCAGTTGCTCAGAACATGAGAGAGCTCTACAGGCTGGTGCTTGTGGACACTCCTCTGGCTCCATACTTTTCTGAATGCTTAACATCCGAGGTACAAAGCTGAAGTGTTTATTACTGTTGTTTACGTTTTCAATCTTGTAGCATTTACTTTTTCTTCACATTGGTAAATTATGTCGTACCACATTCATATCTTATTTTGCATTTTTTTTTTGTAGGATTTGGATGACATGAACATAGAGATTATGAGGAATACCCTCTACAAAGCATACCTTGAGGACTTTTACAAGTTCTGTCAGGTGCTAGTCGACTCATAAATCTTCTTACAAAATTTCAGAATCTACCTGTACAAGCAGCTAACATTTATTTTGCTGTGTATCCGAAACAGAAACTTGGTGGGGCAACATCAGAGATAATGTCTGACCTTCTGGCCTTCGAAGCTGACAGAAGAGCTGTAAATATCACCATCAACAGGTAATAGCTACTGTTGTATATGTCTTCGTGCATCAAACCACTATATATCACCCTCCTTGTGTTGCTTTGTTTTGAAAGGCACTGAAACTGGGTTTCCTTTTTATGCAGCATTGGCACTGAGCTTACAAGAGAAGACAGGAAGAAACTGTACTCTAACTTTGGTCTCCTGTAAGCATTCTACAGCCAGACGATAATTCCATTCACTAGTTTCATAACTCTAAACTAATCTTTCTCACCATCGTTTGGATTTCTTTGCTTCTGCAGCTATCCATATGGTCACGAGGAGCTTGCTATATGTGAGGATATTGATCAGGTAAATCCGCATGCTAATAATATAGTTTAGATGTTTTATGTGACAATAAAGGCCCAATGAAACCAATTATTATTCACTGTTAGGTTCGTGGTGTTATGGAGAAATACCCTCCGTATCAAGCAATCTTCTCCAAGATGTCTTATGGAGAAAGCCAAATGCTCGACAAGGCGTTTTATGAAGAAGAAGTCAGAAGGCTTTGCTTAGCCTTTGAGCAGCAGGTTTGTCTCTCTCCCTCTCCTTAAATGAACCAAATAACATTCACTAGCCCATAGATAATGTGATGTGTTGTTATAGCTCTCTTTCAATTCAGGTTTAATACTAACAATGGTTGTTTAAACCTGAGTTTTTTTGCAGTTCCATTACGCTGTATTCTTTGCGTATATGAGGTTGAGGGAGCAGGAGATCAGGAATCTGATGTGGATATCCGAATGTGTTGCACAGAACCAAAAGTCCAGGATCCACGACAGTGTTGTCTACATGTTCTGAGTCCATAGGAAGTGAAAAAAAAACACAAAAAGTGTAATCTGTCTAGTAAAATTCCAATTTGGGTGTTGGTTGGTTTTCTTGACTGCTCCTTTTTACCAGATAAATATGCTGTACAATCTTGCAGATTTACATTCACTGATTGTTCCGTGGCTCTGAGTGAGCGCATCTGCGCATGTATTAAAAGTTCCCCAATAAGAAGAATCACTCCTATTTGTTTGTCTCTGTTTTTGCCATTTTCCCCAATTAAGTTCAGACTATCTTTTCAAGAAGCAACCTATGGTATCAAGTATCACCTAACTAGTCGAATAAATGATTAAAATTTTCCATTATATGTCCTTTCTCCCTACAGTAATTGACCTCTTTGCATTACGCACCATGCATCGTCTCCTAATAGCTTTTAACATGTCAACTGTCAAGTATTGGTTTTTACCTTGCCTCACGAATTGTTCTATTGAAAGACTCATGTTAGCATTGCAGCAGGAGCCAAGCTTGAAGAAGGCTAGAGACCAAGTACTGGGAGCATACGCACTTGTACTCTAAAGGCTTCCATATTATCAGCAAAATCCCCTTTGGTATAACTGCGTGCAATTTTCCAAAGACGCTCTAGTCTTTTATCTCTGCTGTCTGTTTTACAGTTTCCCAAAATATGAATAGCATACATACCATGTTCAGCTTGTGGAACTGTAAATTAAGACATCATAAGTAAGCATTCAGGGTAAGAATATTTATTAGTGGTTATATCAAATCCTCTTAAGATACTAACCTTTTGCTTATCTGATATGATTGTTATGTATCTTCGATTTCCGAGACTCAAATCAGCTTTTAGGTGTTTAACAAACCAGTCCCAGTTATCATAATTGTCCACATCAACTACTGCCCATGCAATGGAAACTATCCTATAATCACATATCTTCCAACTGCAGCTAAGAGATGGCCTTTGATATCCCATTTAAGGAAAGCCCCGTCGAGGCCTATGATAGCCCTACATGTCTGTGTCCAAGACTCTCGTTGTGATTCAAAAAAGTTCCATACCTTTGTTTGCTTCCAGGAGTTGGCCCTGGAACAGTCTCCTTCTCCATTGCAGACCCTGGTTTCGATGCAAAGTGAGCTTCATGAGTAGCTTTTCTTTCACATACAAGTTTTGACTTCGATTTCCCACATTGGTCCTCAATAAGAATCAAACTGTAGTCCCTGTTGATCTCATCAACCATTTCTTTTTTGTCAATTTGGTATTTACTCTCCACCTTTCCTCAAACAACTGTGCAATTGATATTTTGCAACCAGGGAGAAGAAATGGTGTGAGCTTGATGGTGTGGAATGCAAAGTTTCGCAATAAGTGTAACATGGTGATTGTGAGTCCTATTCTCGAAAGAGATATTGATCATGGTGAAGTACTTTGGAACAACGTTGTGATCATATGGAATAGCGGAAACACAGGCAAATGGCAAGCTGTGAAGTTGAAATCTGAGCTACGTAGTTACTTGGTCTTTCTTTTGTCAGCTTGAATTTCTATACTGCTTGGTGGCAGAACCAAATACCGAGAGTAGGAAATTTCAGTGAGAGCTCGTATTACATAGAAGGAGACAAGACGTGTCTGGAATATTGCAGTTTGGTTTATGTCATGGGACACATATATTTATCCTCTAAATTGTGCAGAGATATATTTTAACTTGTTAAAAGTGGTTAGCTTTTGGTCTAAATTGGTTAGCTACAACGATTTTGGTTAATAGGGTAACTTGAATCTCAGTCAATTTTCTTTAGCATCGTAACTACAATAACACTAAAAATATTACTTCAGATTCCCGTTACATGCATAGAAAATCATTTACCATATCAGAATATTAATTTCCATATTATAAGATTCAAATCATCATAAAAAGCAAAACCCATTAAAGACCAGTGCTCATTGCATTGTGGACACACCCATGACACGGAGACAATGCTCATTCTCGCCACCTGTCGATTCCTGACAAGAACATTGACTAAATGTTTTACAAATGTGTTATTGGTTTCAAGTGACCAATATATACATGTAAAAGGGATTGATTGCAACTCACACGTGTAAAGACGAATCCATCTAGTGATCCTCTTTACCAACTTTGACACAAGAATCACGGTAATCAATGTTCCTCCAGCAAGAAGATAATCAACGGAGCTCTATAAACCACAAAAATGATTTTAGAATGACATAAAGTATAATCTGAGAGATGAAAAATAAACAAACAAACCAACTTACCTGAAGAATCAGAAGACAACCGATGATTAAAAAAGACCAAGAAAGAAAGTTGGACTTTTGAATGTCAATTGACATATCTTCATTGATAAGAAGTCTCCGCATACTAATAATTGCGAGGAGTGTCCCAGTCAGATATGCATACCAGAGCAAAATGACTTTTAGCATCATTTCCAATTCTTTATCAATCCCCATCGATCTTAACATAAATAGATGTAAAGCCGATGAATGGTAAACAACAACACCAACAAAAGCAACCTGACAATGGCAAACAAAACTTGTAAAATTTGTGGGAACAGAAAAAGCACAAGAATCTTTACCAAGGATGAATGGATGAACAATCCTGAAGGAGTTCGTCCAGAAGGTAGATGACTGAATAGCTGTACATAATCAATAGGTTAAAACAAGAACAAGAAAGCAAAGCAAAAAACAGACTCAATTTATTACCAAATTTAGGAGAAGCAGGGCAATGAGTAGATAACCGACAGAGAAGGTAACAACGTTGTAAAACGCTAAAGACCTGCTCAGTGTAGAAGATGAGCTCACTAGAAGGGTTCCAATGAGCAAGCATGCTATACGAAACACGAACCACTCTGCAAATTAAAGAGAAATTGAGAGAAAGTAGAACAAAGTGTCAATGTGTAAGTAATTAGAGCGAAGAGAAAAAATCACCTTCCACAATGGAAACTTCAAAGGCGACAACTGTGGACCTAGCTGCTCTTATATCAACGATTTTTTGGTCGAATGGGGACATTACACCAATCCACAAACCATTAGAGACTTTCTTCCAAAAATAAACTGGACACATTCCAACTGCACGTGTCACATTCCTAAGAAAAGGAAACGTTAGTGAGAAAGAATCTTGAAAGATAATTCACGACCAAAAAAAAATCTTGAAAGATAATTTGTTTTGACTCACCTATGAAAGCAAACATGTATATCATCTTCTGCTGAAGAGGCCGTAAGTGTCAACTTGAGAGCATTTGCATACTTATGCATATGCTCAAACCGTGCAATGCCTTGAATGTGTATCCTCTCACACAATGTAGTTATCGATGGCTTCAATCCAGGAGAAGCCTTAACCTCTAAACTAGGACTGAACCGAATCTCTTTCGTTTCTCCCTTCGATTCTCCCACAACTGTAGATTAACAAACACACACGGATTCAATTTTTACGCATATCTCCAAATCCCCAAAAACCTTAAAATTAAAAACTCACCAATCACTTGATCGGATGAAACAAGAGAGGAGAGAGCAAAGAGAGTTCCAATCACGGAGAGAAGAAGAAGATAAGCAGCCATGATGATTTTCAGATTGGATTTGAATCAAAAGCAAAGCCTCGACTCTCCGCTGCCCAGTACTCGCAAGCTTCACAAAATATCGAATTTCGATTTGAGATCCACAAAATACCCAAAATCCAATTTCGGGTTGAAATTCGGTCCAATTGTGGCTCGGGCTGCACAAAATCGCAAAACCGAAATATTTGTTTCACTTTAGACTCTAGAGAGACTGAGACTCAGTACAGCTTTTTGTGTATTTTAAAGCTTCTTTTTTCTTTTCTGGTAAAATAAAATCTCTAGAAGGCCAGTTTCACACTTTATCACAATGCAACATTATATAAACTAGGTGATAAACCCGCGCGTCAACGCGCAGTAAATAAACATTTTGAATTAAAAATTAAATTACTACTCTATAATATTATGCATTTTATTTTACAATACACAACATATGATTTTTCAGTTAGACAGATTTTCTTTCATGTTTATGAAGCTCAAAATTAATTCAAATATAATCTATTTGACCCTTTACTTGATTATGTGATATGAACCATCAAGCCAAACATAGCATAATAGCATTAGAAATGAACCATACGTAAGAAACAGAACTGAGAGAACTATGTTCGGGTGAGTAATGAAGGTATGCCAAACCTTAACTTTAAACCTCCAACTTCGCAACAGTGTCGAGTTGTGATAAAAGAAAGAATCTTCAATCATATAAGCATGTTTCATATCCATTAGCTTTTTACACGTTCAATCAATTTTTTTTTTTTTTTTTTTTTTTTTTTTTGACATCCACGTTCAATCAATTTTAATTTCCTTGATAATGATGTTTTCATATATTAGGTAAGTAATAAATCTGAAAAACTTATTTTGTAATGCTATGAGCCTTTTCATAATTGAATAACCAGCCAAACTAAGGCCACGACTTACACCTTTTGGTTATGTGTTCTAATAAATCAAATATTTTGGACACAATTCTCTAATAAGTCTAAATCATGTTCTTCTCTTATCATTCTCTGTTTATTAACCATTAATTTTTTTCTTCCTAATTATAAAAAAATGATTTGACTAAATCATAACTGTTCACGTTCATAGGATTCATGGTAGAGTTTCAAGGATATGTACTGATTTAGAGGATTACAAAATATGATGTTTACTACTACAAGATCTATATATAATTTTTAAAAGGTACCAATTCTTGGTTTGGATTTTCGAAAGAAGTTTAGTTCGAAGAACATAGCAAACGACAGTTTTTTCTCTTGATTGCATCTTTATCATATACCTTTTAAAAAAGCTTAGTTCGAAGAAAACATAGCAAAGGACTCACTTTTTCTCTTGATTGCATCTTTTATCATATACGGATATACCTTTTTGGTGAAATCAAAGTCATCAAATGAATTTTTTTGCAACCTAATCTTGCCATTCATTAAATTGAATCAGTTTTTCTTATCTATAAAAAATGGTAATTATGCGTACCAAAATGGGGTTTGTTTCTATATAGGTGCTACTTTATGTTTAAGCTCTATTGCGTTTGCTTTGCTTCTGCCCTTTTAGTATTTCTCTTTTCTTACTTGAGATACCCATTGGTAAGTATCACAATTCACAACTTTATTTTTGAAGTATCAATATATCCAACGTTAAAAAACTAACTTTAACATGCCACAATAGTGTTCCTTTCATTATAATATTGGCGTGAACAACGACAAAAACCTAATGACACGATTAAATCAATGCCAGGTCTCCCTTTTTGTAGCCCATAAGAGCATGATTATCGCAGGACGCTTAATACGTTGCTTAGCCCAAAATGCAATAAAATTAAATGAAAAATGCAATTAAAACCAAGCTTCGACGTTTGAATAAGTTTTTTAAGCATCGCCGCCGCTTGAGGAAGCGTGTGATTGGAAGCTGATTATTGAGAAAGAAATTAAGTTTTTCATTTTTATTTTCCCTTTCTTTCTCTTCTCTCTTTCTCTACGAATCCTCTTAAATGGTGAATCCTCTCTTCTCCGATGGCGTATCGACAGCGAATCCTCTCATCATCGACGACGTTTTTCTTTCCGGTGATGAGGCATTCGAAATCATTCTAGGGGTGAATTGAATCGGGGGAGAAATCATCTGGTGAGGCGTTGGAAATCATATGTGGCTTTTTCTTAACATGTAATTCTTAACAAAGGTGAATTTGATTTCATTTTGGTGGTTAGGCATACGGAATCGTCGCCAGAGTTTTAATTTCGGTGTCTCTGTTATTGATGAATCCATTTGCATCACATTTCTTCTTAGCAAATCAAAGATTACTCTCCAGATTGAGTGAAGCGATAAAGTTTAGCACTTTCATGAAAATTCTTTGTCGATTTCACTCTCACATTTCTCGATCGCTTGAAAGATTGTTTTTTTTTGTTTCTTCTATTCACCATCATTGTATCATACCTTCATTCAGTTGATCTCCTCTGCTTTTAGTTAACTCAAAATGTATAACTTCTAATGTTTCTTAACTAAGTTTCACTGATTAGATTAGTTTCATTGATTAGATTAACACAACTGCTGTTGTGTGATATTATGTTTATCTTTTTGCAAACACTATGGAAGCTATGGCTGGAAAAGCAGCTGCATAAGTCCCGGTAAAGACAGTGACAACGGCGTTTCAGCATCCGTGGAGGGCGAAGCTCGACAAATACAGAACGGAGCTAACGAAAGGAGTGTATGGAGGGTGCTTATAAAAGTGCTTACAAGATTTTTTATTATTAAAATTGGGTTAAACAACACTATTAAAAATTCTCTGTTTTCTATGCTCCAATGGAGAGTGCTTATATGGGTGCTTAAAAAAAATATTTACACAAGTTTGTTGTTTCTACAAAAAAGTTATGTGTAAATCTATATTACTTCTATATCAAAGAAACAACTCTTTGCACAAGTTTGTTGTCTCTACAAAATCTCCTTTGCTTGGTCTACTGAAAAACATGTGCTATTACTTCTGCATCTGTTAGCATTTTCAATATGCATATGCATTTTCAATATGCATCCACCACTGCATTTTTCAAGTAAAAAAAACACAATCCTTGGTTAGAGAAACAAGAAATGTATTTTGATTAATCTATTAGTGGAGGGAGGATTCATCTTTTTACCTGAGAATGGCGGACTTTCCACAACCCCATCTCCCAGTAACCGAAAACATAAGAGAGCAGATTGTATATCTCTATAGTATATTGCTTTTCTCGTTTTTCCGCAGAAAAAAAAGACTCCAATCCTAATCCATTTAAAAACAATAATAAGAATCATGCATTCTTAATAACAAAACACCAGTCAAAGAAAAAACACTCGCTTTTGCTTTCTTTCTCCTCTCCTCTGTTGTTTTATCTTTAACAACAAGCAAAAACAGAGCAGAGGATTTGTAGGAAAGGGGCAAAATGGTGGTTCCATCAGCAGGCTATTCCCGGTTTGCAGCCAAGTGCTCCTGCGTCCATTATGAGTTTACGGAACATTGTTCCCGGTTTAGAGCTGATCAACATAGACGTAATGTTCTCTCGGTGTGAGTTCCTAATGTAACCTTACACTTGACATGTGAGAAGAAAGGCATGTTTTTGTCAAAATGTCTACGCTTTGGAGGGATTAAAAGCCAGCAAAACTCACAAGAATTTCTCGTCCAAAAGCCCTAGTGCTGACATAAGCCTAAGATCCAGGAAGCATACCCAACCAGCTGCAAAAACAGTTTCATTCGCCCTTATCAAGTTACAATCAAATGCAAAACAAATTGAATCAACTCCTGAGCATAAGGAAATATCATAACAAGTTGCATTAACACAGGCCTACCTTCCAAATACATACGGCGCAAACTTCATACGTAGATGTCACACTGTAAAGGTAATTGCCCTGAACCCATTTTTCACCAATCGCTTTGTCAATGGCGAGGAACTTCTTGTTGCCTTCAACTAACTTTAGTAATCCGCTCTCGTGCAAAGTATGTGGCAATTAGGAAAGCAACAGTAGCACCCATCTAACACAAGTAAAAAAAACAAAATTAGACAACCAAACGTATATATGAACATGTGAAAGTTTGAGTTTTCTGTGTTCTAAGAGAATAGCTTACTGTTCTACTGATAAAAACTATAATGGTGCCAACGACAAGGACCGAAGAGAAGACCAGACGACATCGTCAATGGGAGAACCGGCATTGCTAGTATCTAACCAGAAAGCAGAAAGAAAGAAAACAAAAAGCTTTAAACTGTGGCTATACGGCAATGAACAGCGCATACCCAGCCGGACCATAAACTGGTTTTGGTTCAAGAATGAAACTGATCAACAATGTATATTCATTGTTACCGGTTTAGGTCGAATGAAAAACTTGTTTGAAAGCGAGTTTTTGGGTTTAGGTCACACATTTGGTTTCCCTGAATACACGAAATAATCTCCATTGATGAAGTAGTCTCCTTCTGATTTACATTGGGGAAGATGTGTACCACTTGTATACGTGCATTCATGAATCATGAGGAAGATGTGTTGATGAATTTTTATTTGTTCTTTCACGAAAAAAGTGGTGCAATGTACAAAGTCGAACCAGCGACAAAGATCGAGAAACTATCGATACAAGTGAACAAAGACACGATTCGATTAAGAAATAAATAGTTCTTTGTTCACAGAAATTATTCATTCAAAAAGAAGAGGAGCAAATTTACTTACATCACTATATTAATTTTGTGGATTCCGCTTTTGTAACTTTTGTTGACGAAATTGTAATTCTAATACCCTAAACAAAAAGACAAGCGAATTCCGTTTTTCTATCAAGAACAAACGTAGTGCAGCGATGAGTGATGTAGATAGTAGACACATTCATCATCTTCCATGCTACATAATGTATGGACCCGATGTCAATTTTTATATTGTTGTCGTTCTCAAACATATCCTTCGTAGGACGTCGTTGGTCCCTCCTCCTTTGTTCTGGTTACGTGGCTTCGCCTACTTAACTTTAAGGAATGGAAATAGAGAAACTGATACATAAATTTCATAACGATTAATGGAAATCCTTTCTGTTCGCTGTTTGCCGTCACCTAGACCACACCATGAAATTTGACAGCGGTGAAATCGGAGAAAGGCTAGATATCGAAAATGAGAGTTTTTTTGTGCAAATCTAGAAAGAGGGATACGTTTTTTTTGTCAGCGGAGAAATTTGATTTTAAGCAAAACTGACGGAGAAAATCTGCTGAAGTAAGAATAAGGATTTATAGAAGCAACAACTACGATGATGGAAAGATGCGACTCTGGATTAAAAATGCGACTCTGGATTTGCAAATTTTACGGATGCGTTGATTGGGGAAGGAAGCAAAAAAGACGCCGTTTCTTTTCTTAAATTGATGACGTGAGATCCGTTTAACATAAGCAATCATATCCATTAGATTACATAATCAAAACAATCTCAACCGTTGGATGCAATTTGTTTTTTCCTACAAAAAATGCTGACATCATCGAACACAAAAAGTGGGTTTGCTATTATATATTGATTATGTACTTCTTATATTTAAATTTCATATACACCATAAAGTCTTGATAGGTCAATTTCCCAAAGTATCCAATTGTGCATCCATCTGTTTTTTCACTTTCTCTAATTAAGAATCAAACAAAGTATCTAATTGTGCATCCATCTGTTTTTTCACTTACTCTAATTAAGAATCAAACAATCATTAAAGTTTCATAAATATTTTTAAATACTTTGTTTGTCTCAATTAAAACCTCAACTTTTTTTTAAAAATTGTACCTACTTAACACAATTCGTTTAACAAAAAGATAACGATAATTAAATATTCAAATTAAAGTTAAAATTAGATTAAATTTTGAAAAAAAATCTCCAAAAACCCAAAATACGGAACACATAATCTTATATGAAACAAACACGTAATTAAAGTTTAAACCTCAATCCTAAAAACTCTCCAAAAAACCCAAAATTAGATTAAATTAGATTCAAATTTCTATTAAATCTTACTCCCTCCGTTCCACAATGTATGTTGTTTTAGAGTTTTCACATAATTTAAGAAACATTTATTGTTTAACAATTAATACAAAGTTTCTTACACAAATCACTTTATAATAAATTTTAATCAATAGAAGTTCAACAATTCAACTACTTGTAATAAATAGTTCTTGAAATTTGTAGTTTGTTAACATTAATTGACCCAAAAATACCTTAAACATTCTAAGAAATCATATATTATGGAACAAGCAAAAAATCTAAAACATCATACATAATGGAACAGAGGGAGTATACGCTTATTACGGAATCATTACATGACTATTTCATCTGTTCCACAATATATGATGTTGTATATTCTTCACATAAATTAAGAAACATTTAATGTTAAGTAATTAATCAATTATTTTTCAATCAATATTACCCAATAGTATTCAAGTATTCAAATACTTCTAAATTCATTTTATTGAAGTTTGTAATATTTTATCATTAACTAACATAAAATAACTTAAAAAAGCTAAAACATCATAAAATATGGAACAAGGAAAAAAATAAAGTATCATACATTAAGAGTAATCATATTTTGTTAAATATTTATAGGAAGTATTAACTTATCTTATTCAAAAATTATTTATCGATTTTTCAATATTATTTTACGAGTTATCATATTTTGTTTAATATTTGTTTCCTAAATTGTTTCAAAAATCTTAAAATAAACTCTGGATATATGCAGAGCCTTATCTTATATATTATATTAATGAATTTATCTTTGTAAAGAACCTAAAATTCATAAATATCCCTTTAAAGTCTGAAAAATAAAATACACTAAAAACATTAAATCATGAAACATAAATTAAAAATTTCTATTAAAAAATCTTAAATCTTAAATCTTCATTTTTTAATTTTAGAAAAAAAACTAAAAATACCCAAAAGCTTAAAAAAAACAAAATTAATTCAAACATAAGCAATATTGAATTTTGAAGGATCAAAAAACTATGTAAGGATTCATAAACATGAAAAGGTATACAAAATACAAATTATGAAGCATTCTGATTATTACTTTTTGAAGTTATGAAATTATTTAGTTTTAGGACTTAGTTTTTTTAAGATTGAAATATTAAAATATAAATTTATAGTTAGTATTTCTTAATTTTTTTAATTAGTAATTTTCGATTGTTTTAATTATGGGGATTTTTTGAAATTTAATATATATTTTTATTTAAATTTATAGTAATGTAAGTAGGCGTGCCACTTGAGGTTATTAGATCGAGTTTTGGGTCAGGTTTGGGTTGGTTTCATTCGGGTTCATGTCTTTCGGGTAGGTGATCTCTGTACTACGGATACTTTATGGATTTCGGTTTAGTAATGGTTCGGTTCTTTTCAGGTATAGCTTTAGAATACTGAAATATACTTGAAATATTTTGGTTATAGTTCGAGTTCGGGTATTTTTGTTATTTATCACCCAAAAATAAAAAAATATAACAAAAAATCAAAAAAATACCCGAAAATCCGAAAAAATATATTTGTAAATTCGTGTTTTTTTTTTTTTTTTTTTAATTTACTGGAAATATACCCACAGGTATTAAATATTTACGGTACCCAATATGTGATTCGCTAGATACCCAAAACCAATCGGGTACAGATATTTCGAGTCGGTATGGTTTGGGTTTTCGGGTATAGGTTAAAAGTCCCTAGCCTAAATGCAAATCAACTTTTATCAATTATCAAACTTGGTTAATTAGTGTGATCTTCATCATCTAATACATGTTGTTTTGTCCATGCAAGAGAAATGGGCAAGTTAATAATGTTTGGTAAAGCATCTCTATGTAAGGTTTGTACCAACTTGCATCTCCTTTACTTTATTCTCTTTAACCAAAAGATGATATTATTGACAATGATTACTTGATTTTCCCAGAAGCTCTTCAAATGCCACTCTACAATAAGTTTACAATTCAGTATATATAAATTTACAATAAGTTTTGTTCACCGTTTGGGCGGCTTTTTTTCGACAGTATACAAATTGCTAAGCTTCAATTTCCACAGACCATCTCTTTTGCTCTGTGTTAAAAAAGCTGCAATTGAGAGAACACCGTTCTTGAATCAGAAAGAATCGATGCAACAGGGAAGCTGAAACATCCAGCCGCGAAACCTCGGTAAGATATGAACAACTAATTCCTATATTCATTCAATTACGGCTCTTTTCCTTTAGGCTTCGGCGACTGACGAGCATTTCTATACGGTGAAGCTTGAGGCAGGTTCAAGCTAGACAAACTCCTCAAAGGCGGTCCATTTCTCGACACAAACCCTCCTCCTTGTGTTCTGACACCGTTCTTGGCAACAGGCTGCATCGTTTGGAAAGAAGAAGAAGAGCTAGCAAAGTCTTTAAGGCTTGGTAACGGCTTCAAGGCTTCCACAACCTCACTCATCTTTGGCCTAGCTTTCGAGTCTCGGTTAAGGCATTGAGCAGCTAACTGTGTCGCTTTCTGAGCACCCTTGATCGAGAAGTGACCCTCTAAACGAGGATCTAACAGTCTGTAAAACCTCTTCTTGTCTAAAAGATGAGGTCTCACCCATTCCACCAAGTTCTGCTCACCGTTTGGCCGGCTTTTATCCACTGATCTTCGTCCAGTCAGTATCTCAAGTAACACTACTCCAAAGCTGTATACATCACTCTTCGTCGTCAAATGTCCTGATGTTGATTATTGAGATTAGCAACTCCAAAAACTCAATCATAAGATAACCAAAACAAGATAATGATGTTCACTCACCAGTCATTACATACTCAGGTGCTGCATAACCATACGTTCCCATGACTCGGGTGGACACATGAGATTTTTTCTCGTCTGGAGCATCTTTCGCAAGCCCGAAATCAGAGAGCTTTGCGTTATATTCCTGAAAAGAGGAACATTTTTGTTTCCAATGTGAACAAGAAACTTTTATGTATGCCTATTCTAGGTCTTGAGCTTGAGGACATACCGCGTCTAGCAAGATATTAGACGTTTTGAAATCGCGGTAAATGACTGGCTTCACAGCTTCCTCATGGAGAAAGGCAAGTCCTTTTGCTGCACCAAGTGCGATTTTCATTCTCACAGACCAAGGGAGAGGTAAAGTCCCTGAAACAAACAAAACCATAAATGAACAAGAAACCCTCAGGAGTATTTTAGGGTTTTGTGGTGATGAACATACTTCTGAAAAGATGGTTCTCCAAACTTCCTCGAGGCATAAACTCGTAAACGAGCAGCCTCTGATCTTCTTCCATGCAATAGCCCACCAGTTTAACCAGGCTTGGGTGAACAAGGTTTCCAAGAAAGTTAATCTCAGCCTGTTCCCATGAATAGCATAATACAATCAACAATTGTGTCCCATAGAAACTGAATCAACCAACTATTCAAGGTAAAAGATGTTTGGTCATTTACCAGCCACTCCTTGTGACCTTGAAGGCCATCTGGGTTCAGTGTTTTAACCGCTACGGTTAGACCAGTACCAGGCTTGACCGGAGCAGTTCCGTTTTCTTCTATCCATCCTTTGAAAACACATCCAAACCCACCTTCACCAAGAAGAGAGTCTGGTCTGAAATTCCTAGTAGCTAGCTTAAGGTCGTTGAACATGAAGATCCGTAGCTTTGAAGAATATTTCAATTCCCCACTCATTAGAGGTGTTGAGGAACCGCTCCCTGCACAACTACTATCTTTGGGATCACCTTCACGTTTCTCAATAACAACATGCTTAGGTTCTGCTGAAATAGGTACATAACAAACATAGAAAGTGAGTACTAGAGAACTCAAGGCCCACACTGAAACCTTTAAGATAGAGAATAAGCAACTAGACAGAAAGAAAGACAGGGCAGGTTGTAAAATGCAACATCACTGACTATAAACACAAGAAGAGCTATTGAGAAATGTCTCAAAGCAATAACACAGCTTCTATCATATTCAAACACAATTTTCCATAAAAAAGTTCAATCCTTTAAATGACTGAGCTTCATTGAGAGACATAAAAATTTTGTCTTCCGAGCTCAACTGTCAGCACAAGATGAAAAAAAGGTCAACCACAATCTGTAAAAGCAACTAATTCAGGAGAAACCTTGTCATCTACACAAACACATAGACACTCAAAAACAACCTTTTTATCATCTGTATAGAGGAAGAAAGAGATTTTACCAATAACTGTAGTGGCATTCATGGAACTATCAACTTTTGATCTAGAAGAGATGCAGCTAAAAATGAGCTTGAATCTGAACCAAAACCCACTTTCACTCTCATCTCCATCTTTCTTGACATTCTTCTTTTTACTCGACATCTTCCCCTTTTCAGGTTTTTCAACACTTAATTTCTCCACCACCTTAACAGAGTCTTGCTCTGTGGCCTTCATCTCTTTTCAGAACCCTAAATCTCCACTCAGATCACCATAGCCAAACACAAACACCAATGATTTTATATATACAAAAGAAAAAGTCAAGAGAAGCCCCCACTTCAATCAACCCTAGTCTCTGATCACATCCATACTCATTTGTTTGAGATCAGAAAACAGAGCAAACCTCGATCAGACCCAGAAAATGTTAAGATGAAGGATCGAATAAGGGAAATAACAGAAACCCAATTCTCTCAGACTGGAAAGTTTGATCCTTTTCTTCTCAAAATCGAACATAAACTGTAAGAATTCAACAGAAATCCAAGATGAAAGAGAGACGACGAAGACCCAGTTGAGTAGAAGTGAAATTGAGCTCCTTAATTGGGGACAAAGAAGAGACGATAAAACAAAAGATATAAATGAAGGGAATGGGAGATTAGCCGGAGAAAGTTTTAGTCAAAAGGGATGATTTTTTGCGTGCGGGAAGGCTAGAGAGAGAGATACAGAGCTTTGAAAGGGCATCTTCAGAGAGAGAGAGAGAGAGTGAAAGTGGTCAGCAACGGGCAGATCGGGCAGCTTCAGTGAGAGAGATAGGCAAATTGGTCATCTTGGGCTACATTAATAATTAAGGGATTAATTTAAAGCGAAATTTCTATATAAAAACTTAAACTTTGTACAATCCATATACAGAATACATTCATCTTCTAATCTTTCAACATAATTTCAGAAAAGCATAGAGCTTTTTGATTGATTTGGACACACATGATATAATCTTGTATACTAACTTATGAGAGAATCGTTAATAGTTCTTTAATATTTCTGGAAAAATATTATATTGATGTGTCAATAGTTCATTGCAACAAGTATATATAAAACTTCAAAACTGTAAAAGCAATTCTCAGCATTTTTAACAATTTTTAAAGAAAAGTTATGCTTAGTTGATATTTTCACGAAAAGTCTAATTTATTTCAAATGCAAATGCAGAAAATTAGAAGAAAAAAAAAACACTAGCTTTCAATACATTATCACGATGAACAACGAAATAGGAATATACAAATTAACAAGTCTACAGATACTTATTATCAAGTCTACAATACAAAACTGATAGATTTTTGTTTTCCCTCTCAGATTATTTCTTTTAATTTCAGAAATGTTGGATATGATAGTTTTATCAAGTATGAGTACGTTGATTGCTTTTTTAACTCGTTTCCAGATTCTAAAATAGTAATCAGTCTATAGTTTGTCCCATAAATAATTCGAAACTATTTTAAAAGGTAATGCTAATAATTGAGTTCAGACAAAAAAAAATATAAAAAAACAAGACGAAAGGGTAGACTTTTTAGTTTGGGAAAGAAAGTTATGCTAACGTTACATCTAGAAGAATATAAGCTTTTGTGACACTCCGGTGAAATGTAGACACGTGGAGACATCTGGATGTTCAGCTAATTGATAAACGGTCGGCAACTAACTTGTTGGAAGTACAAGTGCTCTTCTTACTTGACTCTTGATTCAGACCAATGAATCTATCCTCTTTATTTGTTTTTTTCTTCTTCTTATAATTTATAAACAGCACAAAAAAATGATTTTAAGAGTGAACGTAGAGTCACCGGAGAGGATGGAGATATGCGGCGAAAAAACAAGAATCGATGGTGAGAAAAAATATCTTTACACATGTACAAGGAATTTTAATAAGAAAGAAAAAATCTAGCATTTACAATTACAATCTATATATACTGCATAATGTTGGGTTCGAATCTAATAACGATGATACGAATTGAATATCTTTAGTGGAAACTACTAACTGAAAAGACCACGTCTTATATAATAAGATGCGATGTTCTTGAACGCTTATAGTTAATAGAACTACAGACTTGTATACCTTTTCATATTTAGAATTAAGTTACTAAATTTAAATTTTAAATTAAAATATTACATTTCGTAGACTGCTGCTCCCTTAGTTATACTTTAGATCTTGCTTTACAGGAGAAGGTGGATTTGGTCTAACGCTAATGATACCATTCCAAGGACACATCATGATCAGGTCTTTAATGTGTATTATATAGATCGAGAATTGCCAATGTTAAAATGTTATGTAGTTATGTTGATGGCTCAAGAAAAAAAAAGATGATACGTACTAAAAATGGTTTTGGGAAGGTGTTACAACTATAAGAGAAATTGATTGAATAGTTTCGAAGGGACTCTCTACAGATTTTAGATTTTTCATATGGAATTGCATAGTTTGATTTGGGCAATGAACTGTATATTAAAACATAACCGGTTATGGTCCTATGTTATAAAATAAATCAAATAATTTGCTCCAAATGGATGATAAATCTTTAAATGGATTGCAAAAAGATGAGGTTCTTCACTTTCAAATATTAACCAAAAATATTTCTAACTTAGCTAAAATGCTAACGTACGTAAACATTATGGCTTGATCGTCAGACTTCTGGTTTGGAAACAAGAGAGCAACCAGGTGGACAAGGTATCGAGTCGTGCCTCTGCGGAAGCACGAACTTCCAAAACGTCTGACCTCCGTTTTTCTTGTATGCTTTGAGGACTTGGAACTTCTCTGTGCGGAGATTACCTGAAATCAGATACTTATGAGTGTTTCCGTGTCCCTCAAGGTAAACAACCTCGCTATCGAAAGGGTGCATCGTCACTACAAAACAGCTGCTGATACCGCCAATAACGAGTAGTTCTTGGCCATCATTAATAACGTTCCACAACAATTCCCAATGTTCCTTGGAAGGGTCGGTTTTGTGGTTCTTGAGCCTCCAAACTCTAAATTGTCCCGTGTGGTATCGTATGTACACGAGAGACCCGCACGAAACTGCAACGGAGCAGGTTTCTTTATAACCGAATGACTCATCATCAGGCAAATCTATCAAACGGAAAAGTTGTTGAGGTTCTTGGTCGGTGGTTGGGTAGAAATCATAAGCTAGAATGAGTTTGACTCCAGGGCAATGCCAAAGAAGCCAACCATTCAAATTAATCGGCTCGAGGTCACGACCATTGTAATTTTTGAAAATGATATGATCACGGAAGACTTGATGGTAAGTCCAGTTTCCAGTCTCAGAGGAATAACACTGAAAGTGAAAGCCGCCGCTCGCTGAAAACCCTAGCTCATACTTAACAACCTTGTAACCCAAGAGATCACCGTTGTTGTTCACGTTTGTTACAAGTGCTGTTTTGCAGGGAGTACGACGATCTTGTAGCGTAGGAGGTGAAGGGATATTGATCCATTGTTGCAACACTGGGCTACCGACCAAGAACTTGGAGGGTCTGAGTATGTCGCACTCCTCGATCAAGACTAACCCATCCGTGATGGCCACGGCTTTGCCTCTTTGCTTCGTGTGGTCATCGAGGAAACGTAAGAGGCAAGTACCTGGTGATTCCTTGAGTCCCCATCTCTCCCCAAAATATTCCACCATTCCAACTTTTGCTCTTGGCTCTTCACGCATCATCGACCACGGAGAGAACAAGTTCCTCTGGTTCACTGACCGATAGAGATCACGGAAATAGCGAGATCCAAGGAGCGACTTCCACTGGAAACACACTGATTTAAATCTAGATACAGCTCTGGTTGGTAATCTCACCAGGATCATCACCATGACCGACTCTGGAACATGAACATCTTCTCCGAATTTCATTATTTGTTCTTTTGTGAGGTGAGATATGATGTATTAGGTCTCTTCCCGAGTCGCACATGTATTTAACCTATAGAAGCAAATAAGCTCTTTGTAGGATTTAATAATTCTTAAAAGCCGGTTATACTTCGTTTTTGGATTTCTATTTCTGTTTTTTTGGGCCAGCAAATCCATAGGCTTTATGAAAAGCTTTGTAACTAAAAAAAGAAAGTAAAAAGCGTAGACAAAATTGGGGAAAAAAGAATGGAGATGCGGGGTATCGATCCCCGTACCTCTCGCATGCTAAGCGAGCGCTCTACCATCTGAGCTACATCCCCATTGTTTAATTTATATATTTTAATTAATTTAAATCTCAAAACTGAACCAAGCTTAGCTGCACGGAAGATAAAAACTCTTCTTATTTTTATCGTAAAGCCTTGTAAATGAAAAGCTCTTATGTATAATTTCAAACAAAAAAGGTCTTCGCAGTAAGTTCGTTATCTAATGATGACTCTATCAAGGAAACAAAAAAAACAACTCATTTTTGTGGTTTGATCAAAACCGAGATCTGTGTGAGCTTTGCTAATCCCACTGGTAAAACATGAATCCTAATATAACCGAGAGCAAAAGCACGAAAACCGCTACCAGAATCGGAACATTGGTTGCATCACTGGCGTCACCGGTTCTCTTGCTACCGTCTTCACGGCTTTTCCTCTCAACATTCCCTTCCAAGCCAAAGCCGGAAGCAGAAGACGCAGAGGATATCACATCCCACATTGATGATTCCGCCGCCGATAGAGACGTTTCGGTTTCCACTTCTGAAATCTTTGATGCGTCAAGAGACGAATGTTCCATGGACATTAACTCAATACAACGTTCTTTCACCACCTAATTCAGAAAAAAAAAAATGTATTAACATTTAGAACAAGAGTATACAAAGCGTAATGAATTTGAGACATTCTCTCATATACCTCCAGTGTTTCAAACGGCTGTAGATAATCGCAGATGTATGTACCGGCCAACCACGGAACAAGAACTCTCCTGGGAAGACGAAGATGACATGCTTTTCTGTATACAAACATCGAGACGTTAAAGCTTTTTTGTGTTAAACATAACCAGACAAGTAAGCAACGGTTATGTTAAGAAGTTGACTCACGTCGATGAGTTGAAAATGAACTTGGAAACGGGCATTTTCGACATCTCAGCTTCTTCGTTATCTCCAACATCAGTTGGATTGAGATCCTGCTCAGCCTCATCACAGATAATGTCCAGTCTACTTTGCAGACTCCTAATGATGTCAGCCTGAAAATAAATTTTGTAAAACTTCAATAGTTCCAATACAACTGGTACAAGCTCGTATTCAAGTAGTTACAGTACCTTAATATCAGCAACAGCTTGTGAAACTGGTTCTTTAGCGTTCAAATAGGCATAAGAGAATACTGATCCACCGAAGAGTATAATTCCAGTAACATTCTTTGCAGTTGATGCTTCTCAACATTACAACACCGTGATATTAGATTAGATACATCCAAAACCATGTCTAGCTAACAAAACCAAATGCGTGTCTTTAAGTTAAAAAAAGCATACCATCAGCTCGACTATCTTTCATGAATGGGAATAGCAATTCAATCTCATGCTCTCCCTCCGTGTTGCAAGGCTCATCGTTATGCACCTTCAAGTCCAACAAAAAGGACTATGGTTATTTCTAGCAAAGATCTCAGAGCAATCAACATCCAATAATATTCGACATAAAAGCACAGGGCTTAATTTCTCCTCACCAAATCTCCATCAATCATTGCATTTGCACTCTCCAGCTCTTCTGCGTGAATTACAAGTTCTTGACGGAGAATCTCAGAAAATGTTCTGGCAGCTGACTTACCCCCAGAGTAAATTGGTAATCTACTCTCGGAAAGAAGAAGAAATATATCAACTGTTAGATTGTAAAACTCCTAAAATCCAAACTTCACTGTAATGATGACATACCTGAAATTAAAGCTGTAGCTGCACTTAAACCTCTGTAGAGAACTCAATACCCTTCCCAGCTTAAACTCACAAGGTCGAAGGCTACTTGATGTGATACTTGAGTTCAACAAACAAGTCCGACAATTCCATCTATAAACATTTCACATTCTTAGTTTAAGTAACCGATAATTCTCATAATTGTAGGAACTGAACCTTAAAGGTAATGTACCTCCTTGGACTGTAACAAATGTGAATGAGAAGAGCTTCGTCCAAGCCAGGATCCAAATGCCGTATTGCATCTGTAACACCCTTAATAGCCTGATAAAGGTTTCCATAAGTTAGGATACATCAACATGCATAAGAGTTGCAGCAATAGCATCCACAAGATTCCTCATTAATCAAGCATGTCCATTGAAATTACAGATGGTAAACCAATCTCTTACCTGACACAGGATCAAAGTTGAGTTCTTGAAAGCACTTTCACTAGCCCATACATAGATACCAACCACCTTCACTCCACCCAAAAGCATTCTCGATACCTGAAGAAGAAAGAGAGCCATTACAATACATTCATCTAAAATTCACAAAATGCACAGCAACCATTAGTATCAAACCTGTCTGGCATGTTCAGCTACCCAATCGGAATCGATCGATAGAGAAGATGACTCCGATGACTGAGATTTTGACTTGGATGGCTTCTTTTTATCATCTCTGTTCTCCAAAACCGAGCATGCTGGATTTCCATCATCGTTGCTCGGTGTTGGGATCAAATCAAACACAAATCCTCGATCCAGAGCAGAGCTAAGCTTCCCTATCACAAGACCCACCTATGCTCCAATCATCAAATGAAATTCACATTTCAAATCACACATTGGCCGCATTTATTTCGAGATGCATGTTTGACATGAAATGGATTAGTGAATACCTCAGCAGGAATAGCTGACTGAGAGAGACGATCTTCAGCAGAAGTGAGCCTAGTATCTTCTCCAACAACTGCTTTCACCATTGTTAAGGACTGAAGAAATATCTGCAACAAGCAATTATTCAGATACTGAGAAAATGCCTGAAAATACAATATCTTTTCGAAATCCCAGAATCAAAGGAGCCCAAAGACGTAAAATTTTCATGGAGATCAATAAACCCATCAAATTGTTTTTTTCAATGAAATGGAAATCTGTAAAACCCAGAATCGAAATTCAATCCCTAACTCTGATACACCGGAGATAAAAAGAGAATGGAAGACAAAAACAGAGAGAAGGTTACATAGTTTCGAATTTTTTTCTTAAGATCTTACCTCTTCCCTCTTGGGATTTCAGAAATTGTTCGTCTTTCTTGGTCATCGATGGTTAAAAAAACTCAGAAACCTGAGTATCTTCTTTTGCCGTCTTAAGTTTACACTCATGCACATCTTGTTGTTTTTCTTTCCCAAACATCGTGCCGTTTCGTTTGAAAACGGCCGTTAATTATCTTACTCTTTTGCAGTTTTGACCGCTACACGATGACGATGACGATGACGATGACGATGAGTGTTCTCTCTAGCTTCCATCAATCATGGAGGAGTTTGATTTCGGCGAGTCAGCGTTGCACAACAGTGCGGCAGATCAAATCGACGCATTCTCTATTCATCATCCATGGCGTCCATCGCAACACTTACGCGATCAGCAAACTTCTCACGGCTTTTCTCCCTCTTCACAATCTCGACAAACACTTTCACTACGCTTCCCTCATATTTGATTCGATCAAGTTTCGAAATCCGTTCGTTTACGACACCATGATAAGAATCTGCTCCCGAAGCTCTCGGCCTCACTTGGGTGTGCGATATTTCCGGCTAATGGTGACGGAAGACGATGAAGATGTAGCTCCTAGTTATCTCACTTTTCATTTCTTGCTTGTTGCTTGCTTGAATGCTTCTCTGTTCTCTGTGGGTAAGCAAATCCACTGCTGGGTGATCAAAAATGGTGTTTTGTCATCGGATGGTCATGTGCAGAGTGGAATCATGCGGCTTTATGTGGAAGGTAAAGTTTTGGCAGACGCACGGAAAGTGTTCGACGAAATTCCTCAGCCGGATGTTGTGAAGTGGGATGTTTTGATGAATGGGTATGTTAGATGCGGTTTAGGATCCGAGGGTTTAGAGATTTTCAGGGAGATGTTGGCTCGAGGAACAGAGCCTGACAAATTCTCGGTGACAACGGCGTTAACGGCTTGTGCACAAGCTGGGGCTCTTGCTCAGGGGAAGTGGATTCATGAGGTTTTGAAGAAGAAGAAGAAATGGATTGAGTCTGATGTGTTTGTGGGAACGGCGCTTGTTGACATGTATGCTAAGTGTGGTTGCTTAGAGATGGCTTTGGAAGTCTTTGGAAAGTTGAGTAGGAGGAATGTCTTCTCATGGGCGGCTTTGATTGGAGGTTATGCGGCTTATGGTTATGGGAAGGAAGCTATTATGTGTTTGGAGGTGATGGAGCGAGAAGATGGTATTAAGCCTGACAGTGTGGTTCTTCTTGGTGTCTTAGCTGCTTGTGCTCATGGAGGATTTCTTCAAGAAGGAAGATCAGTGTTTGATAATATGGAAGCAAGATACGGAATTACTCCAAAGCATGAGCATTACAGCTGTATGGTTGATTTGATGTGCAGAGCTGGAAGATTAGATGATGCAGTTGATGTTATTGTAAAAATGCCGATGAAACCGCTTGCATCTGTGTGGGGTGCGTTACTGAATGGTTGTCGAACGCACAAGAATGTCGAACTTGGAGAATTAGCTGTTAGAAATCTTCTTGAGTTGGAGAAAGGGAATGATGATGAAGAGGAAGCAGCTCTTGTTCAACTATCTAGTATTTACTTGAATGTTCAGAGAAACGCTGAGGCATCTAAAACTCGCCAGATGATAGGTCAGAGAGGTATAAGAAAGGCACCAGGATGTAGTGTGTTAGAGGTGGATGGAGATGTTACTAAATTTGTTTCGGGAGATGCGTCACACCCAGAATTACCGCAAATTCACGCAATGATTCATCTCCTATCTGTTTGATGCCTTGCAGATTCTGTAGCGCTAACTCATGAAGCTGCAAATCTTATCAGAGGACACTCTTGAGTTCTCTTGTTTCTACAGATTGTTTGTTGTGCATCTCTAACCCGCCATACACACTGGAGGGTTATCGAAAGGCTATGAGGGAACAGAGACAAGGACACTTATGAAGGACCAAGAGGAGCTTCTGAACATGGTGCAGTTATATACTCTATTAAAGGGAAACATTTGACTCACCGAAACAGGAACTGGAAACTTAAGCAAGGTCTAAGAAAATGATGAAACTCCCCAAGGCCCCCTGAGACTGGCCGCTGGCGTTGTAAATTAGTGGCTGATTCAGACTCTATGGCGTTTGGACACGACACACCTATTAGATTCTAGAGAGTAGAGAGAATTGAGAGTCTTGACACTTGACAGTGAAAAGCTGAATAAACAATGTAAGACATAAAACTTCAGAGGATGTTTTTCCATTGTCTTATCTCTCTATATACTAAGGTAATCAAATCTGTTACTGCAGGTTACCGGTGATTGCTAAAGGCTTGTGTCTTGTTGTATCTCAGGAACAATGCTTTGGCCAGGTACCCTTTTGTCTTTCGTAACAGTACCTGCCTTGCGTTATGTTGTGCTCCTTAGAAACTTTTCTTGACTTGTAAAAGCTTGATGTGTTAAAAATAAATAAAAAATCTTGGTTAACCCTTCACTGAATATGATTTGGTGTCATTAGGATCTCACTATGAATAAAAGAAGCTTATTGACAAGAACTTGATGGGAAGCTTTACTTAAATCCCAACACAATATCTCCTTGAATGTTCTCCGTAGTATAGGGTTTTGGTTGCTTAGATAGGATTTCACATACAGCCTGATGCTAGATTCTTTTAGCATCAACTTGGTGTACTCACGTAAAATGGTTTTGTTGATCTACAGCATGTTACCGAAATACACAATAACAGAAACCAAAAGTTTGTGGTCTTGGACAACAAACTCTCTGTGATTTTGAACGATTCTTCAAGAAGTGCTTGCAGCATCATCCCCTGTAGAATATCACAAACCACATTCTCTTCAGTTCTGTTTGATTCAGGGCAAACATAGTTCAAAATCTAAAACCCAAAGAAAATTAGCTAACTCAAATAGATAACCATCCATTGTCACATATTTCCATGACTGAGCCAGTGTCTAATTTATGTCCTGCTTCTCATGTTTCAAGGTATTGGTAAGGTGGAAAATATAAACCAATGAAAAGAAAAGTAACCTTTTGAAGACGAAGGGATCAAGACGACGTGCATCTTTGTGTTGTTAGGAGGGAGATGCAACCGAAGGGGATACAATTTTCCGTTTAAAGGATTTTTGGAACAGATTGATATACCACTCAGACCTGTCTCTTCTTCAAGCTTCTGTTTCAGCTCTTCTAGTCCCATTCCCTTGAAGCAGAAAAGCTCTTCCTTGGCGCTCTCGTCCACGTTTTGATCGTTGTCCGCAACTCTGTAATAGATTAATCTCCCATCTGCCCTGACCGGTGAGCTGACCCTGTCAACAGTCTGTGATCATAAAATCAGTGACTTTTGATCAGAAAAACTTAATTCTCTTTGATAGGATACTTCAACTACTTCTTGTTTATGTTGCAATGCACATAATAGTGTAGAACTGATCAAACCTCTGTTTTAGAAAATCTTGGGGACTTGAGAGAGAATCCTTCTGGTGAATGGGGCTCATCATAATCATCTTTTCTTTCCATCAGAAGCTCTGGTGGCGGCGGAGGAGGCGGGAGAGGCGTAAAAGCTGGTGGTGAAGCAGCCATTGGTGGTGGTGAAGCAGCCGCTGGTGGCGGTGCATCCACTGGTGGTGTTTTCTTCTTTCTGCTTTCCAAAATATCAATATCCCATAAAACCCAATCCTGTGTGGTTGTCCTATGAGGAATGTCATGTGTTATTGAGTTTCTCCATGGCGGTAAACCTCCATTAGCTCGAAGATACTGACCATACCTATTGAATTCAAAATTCTCTTCAACAAGACTAAGACTACAGAGAGAAGAGATCAATGGTCTCTGAAGAATATAACAATTTAGGAGAGATCAAAAGAAGAAGAAGATGGGTACCTCGTCTTGAGCCTAACCTGGACACCTTCTCTTACGGGTTCCCATTCAGTTGATGAGTCTAGCCGCCGTGGCAGCGTTTGCGTTACCTTCTTGCCGGTCATGCCGAGGAACATTGGGATGTTTGAAGCGGTTAGGTACTTGCCAAAACAGCTCTTTAGACGGATCACGTTCGCTTCTTCTACAATCTCGACCGTCCATCGAGCGTTCATAGACCGGCCGTCTCTGTCCTGGTTCACGGATTCTTCATCATCCTCTGCTAGAAGGTACTTGTCGTGGTAGCTACGTAAACGCACGGTTTCGGCCTTCCTGAAAATCTCCATTCTTGTCCTGTCATATCAACACAAGTTTTATTATATTCACAAGAGAATCAAAAATTCCGTTTATAGGATTCATGAAGGCCAATGTGCAAACGTAAAATCTAAATGCATACAATCTTTCCTGCATGTCACATCGAAAATTGTGTCAATGTGAGCTTCGGCTACCTGAAAATAGAGATCTAGAGATGATCGAGGCTGCGATTTTGTTGAGAGTTTACCTTCAATGATTAAGATTAAAGATGATTCATGCGAGAAAGATGTTCAGGTATTGGGGTCGTTTTTTTTGTTTCTTTAATTTGGATTAGAGAAAAAAATGGGTTTCTTACCCCTTTTTGTGTGGTATTATATATTAGAGATTATTCAAGGGATAGACAAGGGAAGTATACTTTTAATATAGCTAATTTTTCATTTATTTTTTGAGCTTTTACGTATGTAGATGCATACAAGGCTGATTTAGTAGAAAACAAAAGCTAGAAACGTTAGGAACATCCAGGTTACAAGGTTTTTGAAAAAATAATACATGTAGGGAATCAAACTGATAACGGAAATGAACTTTTACAAACAAAATAAAAGAAATCTACGAATATCTTGACTTGTCATTACAATTTGGATTTAACGATTGATCATCACTCGCTTGGTAGACATCTTACCTACCAACCCCGGTCACCTACAGGGAAGCGATCTAGGCAGTCATAAGAGCAAATGTATGAATCTAAGGTTCCATTAAACAGCCTCAACATGATAGGGAACATGCAACGGGACTTACACTGGTTACAATATGGACGAGACATGCTATTATTGAGGACCACTTCAAAATGGTTGTACCAATACTCTCCTCTCTTTCCTGGCATGAAAGCTGTCAAGTCTCCGAACACACACTCTGTATGCAAGCTAGTCTCGTGGTCTTTATTCGTGTAGAACCATTTCTTTGGATTTAATTCTTTCTCACAAATATCACACCAGTATTTACCCTCTGCCTCTTCACCATAGCATAGTGTGAGAGCATGATCCTCAACTCTATGATTTACCACTTGTGGTAGAGTGGCGCACTTGACGTCCAAGACAAATCCACATTTGTCTTCAATGCATCTGAGCACTTTAAATTGAAACCTCTTGCAACCGTTGCATATTCCATCGTCGTGTGGTGAAAGGAGATATAAGGGATGCTGGGGGTGACTTGGATGGTCAAATGGCTCATAAATTGAACAGCATCGGACATCTAACTTCACATATGAAAACGCGCCCTCTCCCTGATACTTGAAACCATTGCTACGTACATAACAAGCAGAACAGTAAAACAAGTCGTCCTCGCTTGTAACTAAACTTAGCCAATCATTATGCAGCGCATGCCGTTTCCTTTTAGGCAATTCAGCGCATTTTTTGTGGAGAAAAAAATCACAATCCATACACCCATAAAAAGACTTTGGATAGATGGGTTGAGTGCACGCGCTGCACCACCTGTCCTCCTCTCTTAGAATACAACCCTTGTTGAATCTTAGATTATGTTCTTTATGGCTGAAATGTTGTATTGTGTTGTCATCTATTCTCACGTATGGCTCTGTATCTTCTGTTTCTTCGGGTATTCCTTCGAGCTCTTTACCATTCCAGACATCTTGTCTGGTAGCACATTTGGAATGAACGATATAGCCAGGACACTTGTGACAAGAAAAACCCCCACAAGTCCAATCCACCTTCTTGCGACAAACACCACATACAGAATCCACAACACCAATAAGAGAAGTGCGTGAAACACGATGGTCATGTCGGTTGATGTTTATGAGTCGTGGAAAATCAAGACAGTCTTGATGGACCATGAAGCCGCATTGAATACATACATAGGGGCTTCGATCTCCTTTCAGCCCGCAAGCATTACAAGTAAAAGAAATGAGTCTTGGGATAAGGTTGAGTTGGTGATCATGAGCTTTCAAATTCAGAAGAGATGGTGCTGGTGGACTCACAACACAACGCATATCCACTGTGAAATTACAGGAAGAGCAATGATAAAACAATTTATCACCAATCTCTTTCCCGCAAAGACGACATGTTCCATCACAATAGTTGGGTCTTTCAACACCCTTGAGGAGTTTAAGAGGGTGTAATGGATGGTGAGAGTGGTTTACCTCCAATGGATGCTTTACCTCTGAGGAGCGATTAGGCTTTAACGGGTGATCCACACAACCCGAATGAAATGTTAAACCACATTCATCACAAGAGTAACTAGCTCCTTCACCAATGCTGCCACATTTAGCATAGCAGTAATACTCCAAAGCCCATTTATAGAAGGTGAGCTTATGGCCATGCGTCTCCGAATTGTCAATAACATCTGGTGGTGGGTACATGGCACAGTGTAGATCCGTGTGGAAGCCACACTCCTCACAGCTATAGATCAGATTCTCCATATGCCTTCTACATAACGTACAACTATAATGATCTTGACGATCTTGAAGCGTAAGGCTGTGCATGAGATGAGATGGGTGGTTGATAGATTGGGAGGACTCGACACATGTCTTGTGGAAGAAAAAGTCACAGATTTTGCAGTAGTACCCATCACTGCTAGCTTCAAAGCGTCCACAACAATCACCTTTCCGCTTATCTTTCCGAGGCATCATAACATGCTTGTGGATATAGTGTTTTGACAGTCCCTTAGACTTCGAGAATGGGTAGGAAAATAAGAAGAAATAGATGATGGTGATGGTGATGATGATGATGATTATGGCGGAGAGGAAGAACAAGAAGATCATCATATTTAGAGATAGAAAGAGAAGAAGAGGAAGAGGAAGAGGAAGAGGAAGAGGAGGAAGAAAAGTTGGTTGTATATCCTCTAAGATATGCTGCTTTTAACTCTTCTTCGTTAATCTCAACAATGTTAATTATATAAATTATATAGATAAATATCGGACTTTTGGTGGTCATTCAATAGTAATAAACCGTATTATATATAGACATGACAACCACCCACATTTTTCGGTCCTATCAAAAGATTCAAAACAAAGCATTTTTTTTTTAAAACTACTGTATTTAATGGATTTACCTATATAATAGATTCGCTTTGTATGAATTCTTCTCCTTAATAAAAACTCAGTTGTCGCCAAAAACTAAAAAGTCGTCTATAAATCCTCATGTAAACAACGACACAAGTTTTTAATAGTGTATTTTGATTTAATCAAGTGCCAGTCATAAATACTCACATCCACTTGATCTGATTAAAAACAACAGATTCAAAGAGGAAGTCAAAACTCAAAAGCAGTAATAACAGATCAAAGAGGGACACAAAAATAATATATGGAATAAACACCCGGAGAAAGAGTCTCCAAACTGTATATAAACTATTGTGAAGAACATGCAATACAATCTAGCAAACCCTTTCTCGAACAAAAATAAATAAGAAGAGGCAGTAGATCAACCTTTAAAAAAAAAATATATATATATATATATATATGAATATAATGCATATAAAATAAAATAAAAACTATTGTCATGTTCTTACTTAGGCGTAGGCATTTCAGGTCGTCATGTCAATTTGTATCAGTTTCTTTTGGATTTTGGATAATTCGTACAAGGGTGTTGAGGATCCATTTGGGTTATTTCGGATAGGTCTCGAGTACGAGTCGATTATGGTAATTTAAGTGAAAATACATACAGAGCTAAAAAAACATCAACCGTGAATCAAATGATTAGAGGCTTCAAAATATCATGTGAAATGGATTAAATATCTTGTTACCATGGTTCTCCTTGTTATCATCTACTAGGGCTTTCTGAATCTTCTTCTTCCTCTCCAGAGATTTAATCAGATCGTTGAGAGATCCATCAGCATCTATTTCACGATTCTTCTTCATTAGGTTCTCAGCAACATCAGCTGGTTCAATCTTCGTTTCCTTCAATAAAGACTCGATTTCACAGAACAGAGGATGAGTATCAAGATCCAGATAGTTCTTGGCGAGAATCTTGAACGCCTCGAAAGTACAGTGAGACAGCTCAATGTGCATATCCATTCTTCCTCTCCTGATCAAAGCCGGGTCAAGTTTTTCCAAGTGATTCGTCGTGAAGACAATGATCCTCTCTTGTCCACAAGCAGACCCGATCCCATCACGAGGAACATTTGGATGTTTGAAGCGGTTAGGTACTTGCCAAAACAGCTCTTTAGACGGATCACGTTCGTTTCTTCTACAATCTCGATCTTCTATCGAGCGCTCATAGACCGGCCGTCTCTGTCCTGGTTCACGGAATCTTCATCGTATGGCTTTTACGTATGTAGATGCATATAACGCGTAAATGTAAGGAGAGTTCATTTTTCTTAACAAATTTTGAAATGAGAGCTTATAGTGATGTGTTCTTTAAGGTCAAAGACCAATTTGGAGAAAATGAAAGATAGAAACATCCAGATTACAAGGTTTTAGATAAATAATACATGTAGGCCATCAAACTGATAATGGAAATGAACTTTTACAAAACAAAGTTAAAGAAATCAAACAAATATTTTGTTCTCTGAGACTTTTACTTATGGGATTTAACGATTGATCTTCACTCCCCCTTGTACCATTTACCTAAAGGTGAGCTAGCTAGGCAGTGATAAGAGCAAAGGTATGCATTTAAGGTTCCATTTAGCATCTTCAAGATGATGGAGGACTCGCAACGGGACTTACACCAGATGCAACGTGGGCGAGACATACTAATATTGATCACCAATTCATATGAGTAGGCCGAATATTTTATAGTGCTTCTTGGCATGAAACTTGTCAAGTCTCCGAGCACACACTCTGTATGCAAAGTAGCTTGGTGATCTTTACTTGTGTAGAACCATGTCTTTGGATTGGTTTCTTTCTCACAAATATCACACCAATATTTACCTGCCTTTTCACCATAGGATAGTGTGAGAGGATGATCTTCCTTTTCACCATAGCTTAGTGTGAGAGGATGATCTTCCACTCTATGCTTTACCACTTGTAGTAGAGTGGCGCACTTGAAGTCCAAGACAAATACACACTTATCTTCAATGCATTTGAGCATTTTATATGTCCGTTTGTTGCAACAATTGCATATTCCTCTTCCGTCTCTTGAAATGAAATATAAGGGATGTTGGGGATGACCTGAATGGTCAAATGGCTCGGAAATTGAACCGCACCGGACATCTAAATTCATATGCTCCCCCTGGTACCTGAAACCATTGCTGCTTCTACCACAACCATTACAGTCAAAGTCATCGACCTCGCTTGTTACCAAACTTAGCCGCTCATTATGCAACACATGACGTTTCTTTTTCAGCAAGTTAGCGCACTTATCATGGAGAACAAAATCACATTCCATACACCCATAAAAGGACTTTGGATAGATGGGTTGAGTGCATGCGCTGCACCACTTGTTCTCCTCAGTTAGAATACCACCCTCGTCGAATCTTAGATTGTGTTCTTTGTGGCTGAAATGTTGTATTGTGTTGCCATCTATTCTCACGTATGGCGTTATATCTTCTGTTTCTTCGGGTACTCCTTCCAGCTCTTCCCCATTCCATACATCATTTCTGGTAGCACATTTCGAATGAACGACAAAGTCAGGACACTTCTGACAAGAAAAACCCCCACAAGTCCAATCCACTTTCTTGTGACAAACACCACATACAGAGTTCACAAGACCAAGAAGTGAAGTGCGCAAGATACGATGATCATGTCGGTTGATGTTTATGAGGCGCGGAAAGCCAAGACAGTCTTGATGGACCAAGAAGTCGCATTGAATACAGACATAGGGGCTCCGGTCTCCTCTCAGCCCGCAAGCATTACAAGTAAAAGAAATGAGCCTTGGGAGAAGGGTGAGTTGGTGATCATGAGCCTTCAAATTCAGAAGAGATCGTGGTGGTGGATTTACAACACAACGCATATCCACTGTGAAATTACAGGAAGAGCAATGATAAAACAATTTATCACCAATCTCTGTCCCGCAGAGACGACATGTTCCATCACAATAGTCGGGTCTTTGACCACCCTTGAAGAGTTTAAGAGGGTGTAAAGGGTGGTAAGTATGGTTTACCTCCAATGGATGTTGTACCTCTGACGAGCGATTTGGCTTGAACGGGTGATCCGCACAATCCACGTGGAAGGTTAAATCACATTCATCACATTTGTAAGGAGCTCCGTCACCAATTTTCCCACATTTAGCATAACAATAGAAGTCTTTCGGCCAATCGGCATATCTCAGGAGGGTGAGGTTATGGCCATGACTCTTGGAATTGTTAATATAACCTGGTGATGGGTACTTGGCACAGTATAGATCCGTGTGGAAGTTACATTGCTCACAGGTATAGAACAGATTCCCCATACGCCTTTCACATGTATTACATGTTTCATGACCTTGACGAGGGTGAAGCCTAAGGTGGTGCATTCGATGAGATGGGTGGTTGGTAGTTTCGGGGGACTCGACACATTTCTTGTGGAAGAAAAAATTACAGATTTGACAGTAGTAGCCGTCAGTGCTAGCTTCGAATCGTCCACAACAGTCACCTTTCCGCTTATCTTTCCGAGGCATCATAACATGCTTGTGGATATAGTATTTTGACAGTCCCTTGGGTTTCGGGACTGGATGTAAGAAGAAGAAGAAGAAGAAATAAATGATGATGATCAGGAACAGGAACAGGAAGAAGAAGATAATCATCATATTTTGAAGAAGAAGAAGAAGAAGAAGAGGAAGAAAGTTTGGTTGTATATCCTTAAAGCTATGCTGCTTTTAACTCTTCTTGTTGATCTCAACAATGTTATTAATCGGACTTTTAGTGGTCATTCAATAATAATAAACCATAACTTAAAACCAAAACATAATAATAATAATAATTAAAAAAAAACCATAACTAGTATTATATGAAGACATGACAACGACCCACATTTTTCGGCCATTTAGAGACAACCAGCATTTTTAAACTACTCTATACAATCCGATAATCCGATTTTATAGGTTCGCTTTGTATGAATTCTTCTCCTTACTGTTAAACTACTCAGTTGTCGCCAAACACTAAAATAACTTAAAAAAAAGTCGTCTATAATTAATGACAAGTATCCAATAGTATATCTTCTTTTAAATTATTATTTAATGCAAGTTGCCAGGAAATAAATACTTATATCCACTTGATCTAGTTAAAAATAACAGATCCAAGAGGAAGTCAAAAACGATAATAAATAATGAACATATCAAAGACTAAATCTATAAACTGATGTGAAGAAGAGACAATAGTTGTTATGTGCTCATAGTGTTGTGTTATTGGTTTTTGAAGACTGGACTGGTTTCTTGGTTTCTAAGCCATACTGTGCTTTAAAAAAAATGAAAACAGAGAATCTTGAGCATATGAGAAACAAATATTATAGCGGCATCAGTTTGTCTTTTCGTGAATGTCAACAGTTATATAGAATCTTTGAATCTGCTAAGCTTACGTACTATTTATTAACTAACAAACAAAACTTATAAGCTAAAAACATCAACCGTGAATCATATGATCAAAGGCTTCAAAATATCAAGCGAAATGGATTAAATGTCTTGTTACCATGTTTCTCCTTGTTATCATCTACTAGTTGGACTTCCTGAATCTTCTTCTTTTTCTTCAGAGCTTTAATTAGATCGTTGAGAGATCCATCAATATCTATTTCACGATTCTTCTTCATCAGGTTCTCAGCAACATCAGCTGGTGCGATCTTCGTTTCCTTCAATAAAGACTCGATTTCACTGAACAGAGGATGAGTATCAAGATCCAAATAGTTCTGAGCGAGAATCTTGAACGCCTCGAAAGTACAGTGAGACAGCTCAATGTGCATATCCATTCTTCCTCTCCTGATCAAAGCCGGGTCAAGTTTTTCCAAGTGATTCGTCGTGAAGACAATAATCCTCTCTTGTCCACAAGCAGACCAAATCCCGTCTATGAAGTTTAAGAGCCCGGACAATGTTACAAAACTCTTGTCTTGCTCTTTGAGTACTTGTTCTCCATCTTTCTTCTGATTCATCAACTGGCTCTCCTTCTCGTTTCTTTCACCCGTGAGATCCAAAGAACAATCAATGTCTTCAATCACAATAATCGACTTGCTAGAAGTAGCAGTGAGCAGTTTCCTCAGCTCCGAGTTGTTCTTTATTGCTGTGAGTTCAAGATCATATATGCTATAGTTTAAAAGATTCGCCATCGCAGCGATCATTGTAGACTTACCGGTCCCCGGTGGCCCATAGAGCAAGTAACCCCTCTTCCAAGCTTTCCCAATCTTCTTGTAATACTCTTTCCCGTTGCTAAACGCAACAAGATCATTCAAGATCTCTTCCTTCTTCTTTGGATCCATAGCTAATGTCTGAAAACATGAGGGATGCTCAAAATCGATGTATCTCCAGAAACTCGTCTTGTTAGAACCCCATTGAGTGCTTGGATTGTTTGTAAACAACTTCATCTTCTTGTTCTTGGCTTCAATCAGTTTCCCTTCTTCAACAACGTGTTTTACGTATGACTCTGTCACAACATCTCGTGAGCTCCTATGGAAAGTGAGCTTGTATCTTCTATATCCTTGGGCATCAGTTTCAATGGCCCACCAGACAGCAAGCCCTTCGTACTCATCCCGGAGATTAGCGTCGTCTCGTTTCAAGACCAGGCCTTTACTATCTCTAACCTGGATTGCTCTGAGGTGTTTGGCTTTATCGGTTGCTTTTGTGCCAAGGTAGGTCTCGATGGCTGCGAAAGCGTGGTTGAACTGATAATCATCGTACTGAGAGAAGGTGATGTCCACGTAAGGGGAGAAGAAGTTGATGAATCTGTCGGAATATCTCTGGAAAAAGGAGAGTTGTTGGATTGTGGAGAGAAGAAACTCACTAATGGCGATTTTTAGGTGGTTTGGAAAGAATTGTTGAACAGATGCCAACACGACGAGTAAAGTCGCCCAGCTAATATCTCCTCCCATCATCAGCATCTTTTTAACTTTCTTTTTGTAATTGGTTCGGTTGGGTATGTGACTAAATATCTGAGTATATATAATAATGTATTAGTATGTGAAAGCTTTAGGAAAGATTCTAAATTTCTAATCATCTTTCTTAGTTAATAGTTGCCATAATTCGACTCATATATACATTTTTTCAGAGGACATTATTAGTACTGATACTTCCAATAGTCAACTTGGTCGGTCTATTAAAACCACTTTTTCTCAAGTTTCCTACAAAATGTATCTTAATATCAGATCTTACTAAACAATGCATGTTATATCATATATGAGTCAAAATCACATCAGTCTAGTCTCCGCCTAAAATTTTTAGTTGTAGAAAAAAACAAATGTTAATGTTTTGAAAATATTCAGTAGCAAAATTAGAGTCTCCAAGCTACGTAGCTTTTACTTTTAAGAAGTTTCCGGGTGTTCTCATTTGTCATTTCCATGTCTCCTTGTCGCAATTAATATATCTTCATGTAAACTTCCTTTGTTCCAAATCGGTCACATTTTCCACAAACGTATGCAACAAGTCATATATATATATATATATGTTTCCGTCCAAATAAAGAACCGTTTAATGTGAACGCTTGTCGTGCGAGTCACAAAACCAATTTGACATCCCCTTCTTCTTGAATGTGAATGTGATAAGATTTCAATATCGTGTGTACCTTTGTCGGTAAAACCATGGATAGAGATTATAACATCAAAAACATATGAGCTATACTTATGGTTAGACCGTTTACACGCTGTCCAATCTGCTGCATCTCCTTCTAAACCGACCATCAAAAGCCCATGAAGCATAACATTTAACAAGCCATTTCCATTTATTGCCCAAGGGGAAAAAATCGCAAATATTTCAGCTTGTGGATCCAAAATGTTCGGAACAGAGTTCTTTTTGTAAACTAGGGTTTTTCTGTTGGTAATAAAAAATGAGATAAGGCTCTCTGTTCCGGTGCTTTTCTATTTATATATTTGTTTACAAACTAGGTTATCATAGTGCTTGTTTTTTTTCTGTACACCTCAGCTTGGTTTCGTGGGCTATACGTAAGTCGTCCTAATGATATATGGCTAAACAGAGTTTTGAACAATTCAGCTCTGTTTCTTAGAATACACGTAAGTCGTCACATCATATGATATATGGCAAAACAGAGTTTTGAATCTTTTGATTAGCTAAATACAAAACAACGCATTCAAAAAGAGACGATACTACAATATGATTTCAGAGTGTTAATACAATCCAAGAAATTCTCATCTACAAAAGCAACAAATATTCATTTCCTCAGTGCTCCGCTTCACCATTTTCTTCATTCTTCTTTTTCTTCTCTTTCTCTGCCTCTCTCTCTGCTTTCTTTTCCTTTCTCCTCTTCTTCTCTTCCTCTTCTTCCTTCTTCTGCCTCTCCTCTTCCTCAACTCTCCTCTTCGCTTCCTCCTTCTCCTCTTTCAACGCTTCAACCAAACGCCTCAAACATGCCTCTCCTTCTTCCCCTTCTGATTTCGGCAACAGATTCTCCCCAACATCCGCTGGTGTCATTTTGATTTCTTCAACCTCAAGCAACCTCTTTATCTCCTCAAAAAGCTCACTCCCCTCCACATGCAAATAGTTCTTGGCCAACACCTTGAACGCTTCAAAACCGCAATACGACATCTCTATATGCTTATCCATTCTTCCTTTCCGAATCAAAGCCGGATCTAGCTTGTCCACAAAGTTTGTAGTGAACACAATGATCCTCTCGCCGCCACAAGCTGACCACAACCCATCAATGAAATTCAACAGCCCTGATAAAGTAACCTTGCTCTCGCTATTCTCACCTTCATTTTTCATCATCTTCTTCTCCATCGTTTTCTTCTCGTCTCCATCTTCCTCTTCCTCTTCCTTTTTCTTTCTCTGTCCAGTGAGATTAAGAGAACAGTCAATATCCTCAATCACAATAATCGATTTCGCCGAAGTCTCAATCAGTAACCTCCTCAGCTGTGTGTTATCCTTCACCGTTGTCAATTCAAGATCATAAACATCATACTCCAAGAAATTCGCCATCGCAGCGATCATGGTTGATTTTCCAGTCCCTGGTGGTCCAAACAAGAGATACCCTCTCTTCCACGCCTTCCCAATATTCTTGTAATAATCCTTACTCTTACTAAACTTGATCAGATCGCTCTTGATCTCTTCCTTCTTCTTCTCCTCCATAGCCAAAGTATCAAAAGTTGCAGGGTGCTCAAACGTTACATGACTCCACTTTGTCTGATTTCCATGGCTCTGTCCTGGAGTATTCGAATAAAGCTTCCTCTCTCTGTTCTTAAGCTCAATCTTCTTCCCTTCACTCATAACATGCTCAAGATACCTCTCAATGATTACTTCTCTGTCACGTCTATGGAACCTCAACATGTAATATCTCTTCTCATCGGCTGCAGGGTAAAACGAGAACGTTTGCCTCACGGTCCCTTCTTTCTTCGACTGCCACCAAACAGTAATGTCCTCGAACTTGTCGGTGATCTCTTCCTTATCATCCATACTAAGAACAAGAGATTTGCTTCCTTTGGTGGTATTGGCTTTGAGCTTCTTGGCTCGTGAAGAGGAGTCTTTGCTGAGATAGCTCTGGATCCCCAAGTAAGCCTCGCTTCGCTTGAATTGCTCTCCGCTATACTCATGGAATGTTATTTGGATGTAAGGATAGAAACGACCGAAGATTCTTTGAAAGAAAGGCTCCAAGTGGTCTCCGAACTGAGGGAACCATTGTTTGAAGATTGTGTATGTAAACATTAGGGTTGCTAGAGCAGAGCCTGTGTTAGCCCATAGTTGACCCATTGTCGCCATATCTTGTGTATAAGCTCTGTTTTTAGGGTTTTGGAATAGGTTTTCTTTCGTTTCTTGAGCTGAGAGATTTGTTGATGGGAGAGATGATCTTGGGGAAGAAGATGGTGGTTCTGGTACACAAGAGCTTTATGATGATATATTTATAATACCAAGATATTAATTGGAGAAGTCTCTATCAGTATTAAGTTATTGACTTTTATTTCTGCTTATGCAAATGTGAGAAGCACTTGGAAACAACCAAATGACGAATTTACATGGAAAATATCATAACAAAACAAAAAGTTGAAAAGATAAAGGAAATTGCACGGATTCCACCATGAATTCTTTATAAGTACAATATGTGTTTGAACTTTGAATTAGTTGGATCCACACAAAATATTGACACACTCATTATTGGATCAGAAGAGGCCAAAATCGAACTGCATTGTTTATCATTGGCTGATGAAGTAACATGTAGAGGTAGCCTAAAAGCATTTTGATATCTACTTTCTTAAAGAGCAAGATTCAAATTGGATAGTATGACATATTATTTGTTTAATAAGAGTATATCGCCGACTCGAAATTGAAATCGACAGCACCCTCCTAGTCCTCACTATTTTTTTACCTTCAGATAAAAAAAAAATGTTATAAATGTAGAATCGCTATCTATTTTTTCTTTTGTGGAAAATGGTAGAATGGCTATCGAAAAGTAAATATCAAATAATCAAACATTCTGAACTTTGACAGGAGAAAACTAACAATGAAACTTTTTTTATTTTGTGCAACTAAACAAACAAAGTTAGAAGTGCATGAAACCATATCTAAATTTAAATGCTTTTTGAAAAAAAAAATATCTTAACTTTTCACTTTGTACAAAAAATACTAACATTTTTCCACTGAAAAATTTGAGAATCATCGAAATGACAGAAAAAGGTAAACTAATAAAACAAAATTGCTGATTTCTCGTGGTTCGTGTCGTCGTGGTTCGTTGCTGATTTCCACGAAGACGTCTTTCTTTACTATTTCCTTTGTTTTTATGAAAGGTTTTCTTGACTAAGACGTCTTTTTTTTAACGTAGGATGACAAATTATCATATTAGTGTAGTCTTGTACGGATTAAGGAGTAGTTAGGTCCACTGAACCAAGAAAGAGAACGTTTGTGATTGGACGTTTCCTCTTCGATCCAGTTTTAGACTCATTTTTTTTTATTGAAAATAATATAAAATCAGACTTGTCAGGGCTGATCGATGAGTAGTACTCTCTTCATGGCCTTGGCCGAGCTAAACCTACTTGAAACTTTGATAGATTAGGCCTTACTTGCATATTTTGCCTAAGCTAAAACATAATTCGTCCAAAAAACAAAACAGATATCTGTAAAAAACATATGGCAACGAATAACCAGAACAGAGACATGAACAAACATAGTGTAACCAGAACAGAGACATGAACAAACATATGGCAACAAAACAGATATCTGTAACAAACATATTCCTTATATTTGACTAATATTCTCCTTCTGTTGTTCATCGGCCTTAGCCTTTTGGCTCAACTTCATTTGCTCCAAAGCTCGGATCAAACCCTTGAGTGCTCCATCAACTTCGGATTCACGATCTTTCACCATCAAATTCTCCGCAACATCAGCCGGAGTTATCTTCGTTTCTTCCAGCAAAGACTCAATCTTTCCAAACAAGATATGCGAATCAAGATTCAGATAGTTCTTGGCAAGAATCTTGAACGCATTGAATGTGCAATAAGATAGTTCTATATGCATATCCATCCGACCTCTCCTGATCAAAGCTTCGTCAAGTTTCCCCACGTGATTCGTTGTGAAGACAAGGATTCTCTCTTGCCCACAAGCCGACCAGATCCCATCAATAAAGTTCAACAACCCTGAGAGTGTAACCGCATTATCCTTCTTCTTCTCTCCTTTGATCTCTGAGTTGCTCGCGTCTTTACCTTTTCTCTCTCCCGTGAGGTCCAAGGAACAGTCTATATCCTCAATCACAATGATCGACTTGCTAGCCGTTGCTATCAACAGCCTCTTCAACTCCCAATTGTTCTCTACCGAAGTCAGCTCGAGATCGAAGATACTATAGTTCAAGAGATTCGCCATAGCCGCGATCAACGTGGATTTACCTGTCCCGGGAGGTCCGTACAACAAGTAACCCCTCTTCCAAGCTTTCCCAATCTTGTTATAGTACTCTTTGCCATCTCTAAACGCCAAAAGGTCACTCAAAATCTCATCTTTCTTCTTTGGATCCATTGCCATTGTCTCAAACGTTGCAGGATGCTCAAATTCAATGCTAGTCCATAGATTTTTCATCGAAATCTTCCAATTCAAACTTGGGTTATTCATACACAGCCTAACCTTCTTCTTCCTCGCCTCTATCGATTTCCCTTCTTCCACAACGTATCTCAAGTAGGAACCAGTCACAACACTCCAATCACTTCTATGGAAAGTGAGCCTACACATCTTTTTCCCGTCAGCAAATTTTAGCAGTTCCCACCATATCTTCACACCTTCAAACTCCTCCTCGATTTTGTCATCATCGCGTTTGAAATCCAGAGGCGTGCTCTCCTTCACCTGGTTCCCCTTGAGACTCTTCACTTCGGAGTTAACTTTTGCACCAAGGTAGGTCTTGATAGCTTTGTAGGCGTAGTTGTATCTATACTCCTCGATTTCTCTGAACCTGATCTGAGCGTAAGGAGAGAACAAGCCGAGGATCTTGTCCGAACATTTCTTGAAAAAGGGTAACCGCTGGATTGCTTTGAAGAGGAGCTGCTCGATCGTGATCTTTAGCTGGTGAGGAAAGTATCTCCTGAGAGTATCCCAGACGAAGAACAGACTCGCGATGTTTGTTCCAATTGTTGTAATATTTTCTCCGAACTTCGGCTTCACGATCTTTCCCATAATTGAGATTTCAGTTAGGTTTATCTTTTTGTTTTTACGATGAAGCTTCTGATATTCTCTCGATTTGGTTTGGCTAAGAGTCTTTGTATGTGTTGTGTTCTCTCTCCTCTCTCTCTCTCCCTTATGTATAGTGTGTTCAAAGTGATGAGCTCGTATTTTTGTGACAATTAAGTCCATTTATATAGTCTGATTAGAAATATTCCATAATTTAATTTCCTATTAAGAAAAGGAATACAACCCTTTGCTCAAAAGCAAAAAGGAAGTTTTCTTTTGAAAAACTTAATAATAAACTTGACTGTTTAAACTAATTTATTAACCTCTTATAAAGAAAGAAAATTTCCTTTTTCTGTAGGAGTATTTTTTTTTCAATTATTCTTACATGTAGTTTTCATGTTCTTGAGGTACGATTTTGACTGAAATAAATTCAAAGATTTTTTAATTTCTTTTCAATCATGGAGATTTGTTCCAAAAAAAAAAAAAAAAAAAAAAAAAAAAAAAAAAAAAAAACAATCATGGAGATTCTATGCGCTTGAAGTTACATCATATACGAATGGGGACCAAAGTGATAATGACCAATCTCTGCCTAAAGCTAGCTAAAGCTACAAAGTGCCAAATTGGCATTGTAAATTGTACAGGGGATTCACCCAATGAATTTTTTTTGTCAACAAAATTATACAATGTATATACCGAGGGAATTGCCAAATCTAGATCACAATTTCATTTTTTCTAGTCAACTAGACCACAATTTGAATCAAATGCAAAACTAACCTCTTTGGGTAGTAAAATTACCTCACAATCCCTCATGACCAAACAAAAAAACGCATGCCTCAATTACGATTATAACCTCCGGAGCATGTAGATCTACCGGGTAGACAATGTTAGAGGTCTACCTCGTAATAACATCTTAAATTTTAATTAACAATTCAATAAAAAACATTTTTATACAAACACAAGTATGAATAATTCTAATATAGACATTATCATATACAAAAAATATGAATGCATACAAATGAATGATTTATATATAAGGAAAGACATATAGTTAATATCTATAAAAATGTGTGAGGTCTACCGAGTAAGTCTACTTTATCATTAAATTTAAATTTTTATTATAAAAATTTAAAAAAGAATACTTTGATGAAAATTATTTATACATAATTACAATACAGACAACTTGCATCTATCTAAAATATAATTTCATAGATTTGAACCAACTGAACTATGAAAAAAATAAATTAGGTTAAAAGTCTATAAAACCATTGGAGGTTTACCAAGTATGTCTACTAAATCATCAAATCTTAAATTTAAATAAAAAAAAAAAATTTGCAATATTTGTTTCACAAATAACGAAACAGTAGACATTTAATATCTATTAAAAATAAAAAATCAGAAATATTCATGAATCTATAAATATCATGAGTGTATAGTTCATAAGAATAAGAGTTTGAGTAGATTGTTTAGGGTTCAATGGTGTAAGTTGTAGGGTTTTGAAAAAAATTATATGAATAACTGTTTTTGATTGGTTTTATGATTCAATGTTCGTTTCTTTGTGATATACATTGTAAATTGCCAATATGGCAACCAAATCGTTGCAAAATTGTATCTAAATTATTCGATTTAGGGTTTAGGGTAAAGTTGACCTCACCAGTAGACCTAACCTGTAGACCTAACCAGTAGACCGCAATGGAGGTCTACCAACCATTTTAACCTAGCGGGAATCCCAAAATTTTAAACCAAAACGGCGGGAACCAGAAATTATCAAAAAATTTGGTAATTTCGAGTTAAACCGAATAAGTAAACCGGAAAATTAACCTTCATATATAAAGAAAGATTTAACCTAATTGTGTTAGAAATAAAATAACTCTCTCTCTCTAAAACAGCGCCTCCCTCTCCTCTCTCCATGAAACTCCGCCATCTTTTTCTTCATATGTGTCCTCTAGATCCAGATCCAGATCCAGAACGCTGTTTGCTTTCTCCCCTTCAGACCTGCTCACGAAGGCTTCTACTCTTGACTCCCACGACCCTCCTGTCCCTCCAGCTCTCTCCTCCAGCCCGAGTAAACTGCCAAAACATCGATGAATCCGCCAGAGATCCTCTGTAAGCTTTTTTTTCTCCCCCACTCCAAGATCCTACCTTGCTTCAATTGAAATCAATTCGACAAAAAACCTATTTATTTTTGTGGCAGGAACAAATCCATCAAAATTGTGATAGTGTTTGGTTGATATTGGAGAAGACACAAACCCTGGAGAAGTGAGGAAGGAGAAGAAGGGAGAAAACCAGAATCCGAAACGGATCTTACGGGGCGATTTCCAGCCGTTTCATAAAGTTTCAGAAGCTTATTTTGGTACCATCGGAAAGATCGTCTTCTCAGCTTTCCAAAACATCCAAGATCACGGTAAACCGGGTTATATTCAGAGAGTTATGGATATTCCTTCTTGAGACGTTAGATCTGTTTTAAGATCTCAGAATTTATTTTTGTGAAGCAATTTCCCGATGATATATAAGTCGTCAGGAGTAGATCTACATACGGTTTTGAAGATCTCGAACCCAAATTTCCAAATCTTCTTTCAGTTGTCTAATCAGAGGTATATTTCATCCGCAAATCACCTCGAAAGTTTAGTGAAATTCTTTGTTTTTTTTTCCAGAAAAATCCTCCATGAATTTACTCTTTGATTGACAATTTTCTGTGTTTTTAATCTCTTTGTTTAATGCTTTAATCTTTCTGGTGAAGGAAGCATAGCTGGTGGAGAAGAAAGAGTCAACTAGGACTAGTGTGAGAACCAATTCAAAACCATGAAAAGGTATTCATAATATAAATCTTGTTTAATCCTAGAATTGCTTGATTGTTGAAGTGATTTTTGTCATTATAATGCTTCTTGTTTCAGAATCTTGCTTAAAGTTTCATTACTAATCTTGATAAAAGTTTGAGAGGCTGTTTATGATCATTTTTTTTTGTTATCTGTGATGTTTCATTTTTTCAGCATAGTTTCATTATGATCATCTTTTGTGATCTGTGATATCTCTGCTCAAAATTCAAACTAATTGTGTGTCTGTTCTTTAATTATTCATGCAGCTCTTGAGAAAATGATGTTGTAAAATGAAAGGGTGAAGTTTGACCATATAGTTTGAACTTGGATATATAGGTGTGAAGGAAACAAAAGCAAAGATGAAGAAAATTATACATTTGAGATTGTAGTTTAGTTTCTTGTTGTGTATGTATGTGTGTGTTGTATCACTTGTTTTGGTATGATGTAAGATATGTTTTAGGTTATTAATGAAAAAGTTTGCTTAAATTGGATTTTGTCTTGAGTAAAAGAGAAAATAAACACACATAAAGACTTAACTCAATAGTGGTAATGAATATCATAGCTTTAGTAATTGTTTATACCATATAAGTGTCTACTAGACATAGTAAAAAAACTTGAAAACAGCACAAAGTAGACTTACTACGTAGACCTCAGTTGTAGATCGCATTCATAGATCTATTATCAGTCTACTTTTGCGAATAGACCTTTTCTTCAGTCTACCTTTCCAAAGTAGACCTTATCTTCAGTCTATCTCTGTGTTGTTCATCTACATCAGTTCAAAATCCAATTTTTAAAACTCATGTAATAAAAAACAGAAACCATGAACACACTGTGAGTTGTCATTAGCTTACGCAATGAAGGCGGGTATGTCCCGGTTGCTGCACTTCGAACAACTATAAACTCTATCAAGCTATGAACCTATCCATCGTTGGTGATGTACATATGAGGAAAGTCTGAGGGTATTTGATGGAGCATCACATCTGGTAATGGATAAGATAATTCCACCAGTTCTGGTTCCATATCCAACATATAGTCAGCTTGTACCATTCTAAGAGGCTCCTTCATGTGTACAACCATCCCGTAAGTAGAACATTCTCTCTCTTTTCCTTTATCCATCTCAAAATGCCATGACTTGTCTTCCATCACCACCCATTTTCCATAAACGGAAGCTAGACAAACCATTACCTGCAACAAAAACAAACCAGACCACAAAATGGATTAGTAGACAGAAGGCGTAGACCGACAGGTAGACCCACAATTTGGTCTACCAGAAAATTAAGCTAGATACCTAATTCAAAAGAAAACCGAATATAGCCTTAATTACGCCGAAAGAACATTTCAAACTCACACAGAAGCAAGTAAACAAATAAAAACAACTAACTGTTCGAGATAAATTTCAAAATATTTGATATATTGAAAGGAAAACGACATTTTAAAAAACACATAATAATAGACCTAAAACGTAGACGTTCGGAGTAGACGTTCACGGTAGACCTCCACTTAGGTCTACTCCACGTGGACGGCCACGTGGAGGGTTAGTTTTGCAATTGATCGAGAAAAATGTTTTTTTGGAGGTCTACCTTGTCGGTCTACTACACGTGGAGGGTTAGTTTTGCAATTGACCAAACATTGACTTTTACACGAGGTCTACCGTGTACGTCTACCAGAAAACGTAGACCTCTCAATCGGTCTACCAAAAAAAGTAGACCTCTGAATTAGTCTACGCCTTAGGTCTACCTACCGAAAACAGTTTGTTTTGCCGTTGACTCAAGTTTGGTAGACACGGGTAGACCTCAATAGACGCAAATTCTCTCCTTTTTGAGGAAAGTCAAACTTGAGTCAACGGCAAAACCAACTTTTTTTTTTAGGTAGACCTAAGAGGTAGACCTCCGAAAAACATTTTCTTATCAATTGCAAAACTAACCCTCCACGTGGAGTAGACCGACAAGGTAGACCTCAAAAAAACATTTTTCTCAATCAATTGCAAAACTAACCCTCCACGTGGAGTAGACCTAAGTGTAGGTCTACCACTCATTTTTTTTGTTTGCAAAGGAAATGGCACAGTCAACTCTGCGTTGACCAGTAGACCTAAACTGAGGTCTACTATGTAATGGTAGACCTACACTTCAGTCTACCTTCGCAGACCAAAACTGAAATTCTTAAATTTTGAAAGAAAAGTTACTGGCCGGAGAAAGGCTCTTCGAGGGCTGATAACTTCAATTTAGGCCTTCAATTACGAGTTCCGGTCATCACCTAAGCTAAACAATTGGAAATGCCAAGACCCAAGATTTGAGTTTTCTTTTAAGTTTTTGGGATGAAAATGGAGAGAAAATGGAAAGAATAAGAGTTTGTGAGATGAAAGAAGGAGAAATGCTAGCTCCAAAGTGAGTTTTCGGAGCATTAACAGCTCCAAATTGGGTAAAAATGGTGGTTGTCAACATTGATGAAATGGCATTTTGGCAATTAATGTAGAAGATGAGGGGTGTTTGGTCTTTCAGCAGATCTGGTAGACCTAAATATCGGTCTACCAATCGAAAAAGTAATGGCATTCCGTAATTAATTGGAAAAAACTGGACAAACTTAAAATGAAAAAACAGGAGGTTAGTTTTGCATTTGACCACAATTTTGGGTCTAAAGTGAAACAACCCCGTATATACCAGCCTTCTTATTGGTTTTGTCTACATCAAGTTAATTAAATCACAGCTATATTACAACAACAATAACAAATAACAGAAAGAAAAAACACCCCAAATCTTGAAGATTTTCTGATTCTTATGAACAGAATTGCACTAAGCATAGATATATAAATACGCTTCAAAGTCGTTTTCAAAAGTGGAGTGGAGATACAAAAGCCAACTGGAAAACATTAAAAAGGAGTACTTTGTTGTCAGAGTCAGACCATACTTTTCCTTTATGGTTTCTTGGGGAGCAAGGTACCTTCTTTTCATATCTGCATATTCGCCATTGAGAATCTTTTGGTAATCCATTTAAGGTCACATTATCAATCGAACCACTTAGAGAAAATATCGTATTTTTAGAGTTATAAAGTAACAGAACAAAAAAATAAAATATAGTATACAGCAAAACTAGTAGTTGGATACGTCGCCGGACGTAAAGGTGTTTATAGTATGTGTTAAATACTTTAGTTACATGGTCGGATTCCGGTACTAGATTTTAAATAGTTGTCAAATAGCGGTCAGTATTTACTAGATTTCAGCTATGTATTAAAGATCATCTTAGACGTTGTTACAAAAAACGTGCACATACGACATTGGAGTTATATGCTAATAGGGAAAACTAGAAGGAAATATTAATGTTTAAACATGTTTCTTAAAATACTGAGTTACCAAAATAAACAAGAAATATTTCAAAGCGAGATAGATAGTTCCGATCCTTCTTTTTAGATTTCTTGTTCTTGGAAAAGTGATCAACCGCTGTTCTTGTTCCTTGCCATTGCGTTAATGATAGCACTTACTACGTTTACTTCACTCACGGTTTCAGTGTCTTTTCCTCCTCGTCCTTCTTCTCTGGTTTCTTCTTTTTCTTCTTCTCGTCCCTAATGGCTTTCTTCTTCTCTTCTTCCTCAGCCAACTTCCTCGCCTTCTCTTTCTCTTCCTCCAAAGACTTAACCAAACGCTTAAGGCAAATATCTGCATCTTCCTCATCAGATTTCGGCATCAAGTTCTCAGCAACATCAGCCGGAGACATGTCCGTTTCCTCTAGCTTTCTCTCGATTTCTCCATACAAATCATGTGACTCTATCTCCAAGTAGTTCTTAGCCAAAACCTTAAACGCTTCAAACCTACAATAAGACATCTCAATATGGTTGTCCATTCTTCCTCTTCGTATCAATGCAGGATCAAGCTTATCCACGTAATTCGTTGTGAATATAATAATCTTCTCATCACTACAAGCTGACCATAACCCATCAATGGAGTTTAAAAGCCCTGACAGTGTCACTTTACTCTGTCTCTCATCTTCATCTTTCTCCTTCTTCTCAACACCCTTCTTCTTCTCCTCATCGTTGTCTTCATCATCCTTCTTTCTCTGACCCGTAAGTTCAAGAGAGCAATCAATGTCTTCAATCACAATGATAGACTTGCCTTTTGTATCAAGCAACAACTTCTTCAGCTCTGAGTTATCCCTCACCGTCGTTAGCTCAAGATCATACACATCATACTCCAAGAAGTTCGCTATTGCAGATATCATCGTCGACTTCCCTGTCCCTGGCGGACCAAACAAGAGATAACCTCGCTTCCATGGCTTCCCAACCTTCTTGTAATAATCTTCACCTTTGCCAAACTTGATCAAATCCTTCTTGATCTCTTCTTTCTTCTTAGGATCCATAGCCAAAGTCTCGAACGTGGCAGGATGATTAAAAGAAACACTACACCATGTTCTTCCTTCCCTCCAAGAAAACCAACCCTGACTCGAGTTAGTGTAAAGCTTCCTCTCTCTGTTCTTCATCCCTATCTTTTTCCCTTCTCTCAAAACATGCTTAAGATAACTCTCAGTGATCATCTCTCTATGACGATTGTGGAAACTCAGAGTGAAGTACCTTGTCTCCTCTGAGCGACCGATATTACCGTTCTTGTTAGATTGATTCTGACTCTTGCTCACATTTGAAGACCATTTCACCTTCACACCATCGAACTCATCTTCGACCACCTCGTGATCGTCCAAACTAAGCACCAACGATTTGCTGTTTTCTGTCTCGTTGGCCTTCAATCTCTTTGCACAAGCCGTTGATTTAGAGGATAAGTAGTTGCGAATGGAGATGTAAGCTTCACTTCTCTTGAGACCATCTCCTGTATACTCGTTGAACTTGATGTGGACAGAGTTTGAAGCCCATCCCATTAGTTTGCAAACGTATATCCCGATCTGGACTTGGAGACTGTAAGGGAAAAACTGTTTGTACATGGCCCAGAAGAACATGAGACTCGTCATCGTCGAGCCTGTGAATCCCCAAGCTGCTCCGGTCTGATGCATTTTTGTGTTTGCTTGCCTCTCACGGAACTCTTTGCTTTTTTTTTTTTTGGTTCTTAAGAGTTTGTCAAGTTGTGCTCTGTTTTTCTCATTGCTTACCACTATTTATTGTACTTGTGTTACAGCTTTCATGTTTCTCAGGGACAGCACGATTTTTTTGTTATTTTGCTAAAAGAAATAAATATATTATAATGAAAATTGTGGTATTATTGAGGGAGCCTGCAAATTTGGGTTCGTATTGAACATCTTTCTTCCACATGTAGTTTTCATGTTCTTGGGTACGAATTTGACTAAAATTATAAAAAGAATTTGGTTGATTTGCTTAAATATGAAGATGCTGTGACTCTATGAGCCTGAAACTAGTTGTGGGGACCAAGCTGGTTTCTGAGTTCCTAACTAGTTCTCTGGAGCAGGCAATAACGTGGGTAGCAGTAGCAGGGTAAACATACAGTGGTGAGGTAAAAGCTAAAAATAAAGTATTGAAACGTGAGAACTCATTAAATTTTGTATAGAGATTTTTTCCATCGTGGTATTTATTTAGCAATTACCTCAAAAACTTACAGTTGTAATTTACTAGTAGTTTATTTTATGCATTGATTCTGGAATTTTCGTATTAAAATCTTTATTTTGTGGTAAAAATCAAAAGTCTGTAAAAGGATAAAAGAAAAAGGTAACAGGCGTGGATTTTTCAAGTGAGCCCACTCAAGAGAACAGGGAGAAGTCTTTTCGGCTATAGTGTCACAACTCACAAGCATTAGATTCTTCTCGTCCCATGATCGATCTCCACTATTTTAACATCTAAGTCTTGACTTTGACTCCTTCAAAGCTTAGATAAGGATTCCGGAATGAGACTCAAAAATCACTTCTTCCATTATTACAAACTCAACAAACCAAAACAATTATTGCGTTTTTTTCTTAGTTTAAGAAATATAGTATTTTATCTTGGTTTGTTTTTGTGTTAATGTAATATTTTAAAGTACTGACTTAAGTCTATAGTTTCAATAGCTAGTTAGCACAGTTGTGGTTTACACTTAGGTAAGTTACAGTTTATCAAGAGCAATCAAGTTTTTAGTATATAAGCCACAAGGCAATTTGGTACAACACTTGTGCCAAATTCTGAAGCCTGGCCCAGCCCAACCCTGAAAATAGCATGGCTACAAGTGGCTGTAGGGAACGGTCAAGTAATAAATCAATTTTGCAGACTTGTGACGTTGTAAGTATCAAGAAATAATGCATCTCTTTTGTAACCACGCTTACCTCACATTTTGGATTTTCTTGTGAAGTCTACACAAACACTCTTTTGTTTCCATCAACCTTTTCTCTTTCTTTCTTTATGGAAAGTATTTGATTAATACAGAAAAGAAACATAAGACAACTTGCGATCTATATGTCCAAGAAACAACGAAGAAATGGCTTCTAAAGTCCACTTGACAAAGATATAATAGAGCTTAGAGCTTGTGCCTCGTCTACTTGGACGTTGCCTAATAGAACCCTTTTTTTTTTAATTTATTGAAAGAGAGAACAAATAGCTAATTAGTTTATAATAACATGGACATTCTATTGACTCCTAGCTTCAGAGTAATTTTATATAAGATTATAAAAATAATAACTAGGGCTTCTTCTACAGAATATATATGTCATCTGTGTGTTTCTGATATATCTTTTTCTCTACTACTGTAACATTTGGTAGTTTCCGATCTAATGAAGGAGTAAATCCTTTTGAAGATCAGCTATTATCTTTTTTTTTCCGGAATTGACGTATTAACAGAAAATCTAGAAGTTTAAACGTTGTCACTAAAAATACATTTTTGAACATCTCTTTAGACCCAAGAAAAGTTACTCTGTTTAAAATTTCCTTGCATCGTAGGACTTGTAAAATGCATCATAGCCCCCACTAACTTAGTCTTACTTTTAAAGTATATTTGAACACACCACACCAAAATGAAAACCCTTCAACTATAAACTTAACTACTGATTCATCACCATGCATCTTTGCTCAAGTCTTATTACCATTTTCCTCAGCTTTCTTCTCCTTCTTCATCGCTTTCCTCCTTATTTGTATCTTCTTCATCAGCTTTCTTTTTCTTCCTCTTGGCTTCCCTCTCTGCTTTCTTTTTCTTCCTCCTCGCTTCCCTCTCTGCTTTCTTCTTTATATTTTCCTCAGCTAATTTCCTCGCCTTCACCTTCTCTTCCTCCAAAGACTTAACCAAACGCTTAAGGCAAATATCTGCGTCTTCTTCTTCAGATTTTGGCATCAAGTTCTCAGCAACATCAGCCGGAGACATGTCGGTTTCCTCCACCATTCTTTCAATTTCTCCATACAAATCATGTGACTCAATCTCCAAGTAGTTCTTGGCCAAAACCTTAAACGCTTCAAACCTACAATAAGACATTTCAATGTGGTTGTCCATTCTTCCTCTGCGTATCAATGCAGGATCAAGATCATCCACAAAATTCGTTGTGAACACTATGATCATCTCACCACTACAAGATGACCATAACCCATCAATGGCGTTTAATAACCCTGACAAAGTAACCGTGCTCTCCCTCTTCCACTTCTTCTTAGAAGCATCCTCTTCTTCTTCTTCATCATCATCATCATCATCCTCATCCTCATCTTTTTTCTTCTTCCTCTGTCCCGTAAGATCAAGCGAGCAGTCAATATCTTCAACCACAAAAATCGACTTCCCTTTTGTTTCCAACATTAGTTTCTTCAAGTCCGAGTTATCTTTCACAATCGTCAGTTCAAGTTCATACACATCATAATTCATGAAATTAGCCATCGCAGCAATCATCGTAGATTTTCCTGTCCCGGGCGGTCCAAACAAGAGATAACCTCGCTTCCACGCCTTGCCAACTTTCCTGTAGTAGTCTTTCGCTTTACTAAACCTAATCAAATCTTTCTTGATCGCTTCTTTCTTCTCCGGATCCATTGCCAAAGTCTCGAACGTTGCCGGATGATCGAAAGGAACGCTGCTCCATCTTCCTTTCGACCAGGAAGAATAATCGAACACGTGACTTTGGTTATTAGTGTAAAGCTTCCTCTCTCGTTTCCTTAACCCAATATCTTTCCCTTCTCTCAAAACATGATCAACATAAGTCGTCGTGATCATCTCTCTATGCTGATTATGAAAACTCAGAGTGAAACACCTTCTCTCGCTCTTCTCAGATTTTTTATCACTCGTAGTCGTTTGTACAGTTGAAGAAGATCAGTTCACCTCCACACCACTGAACACATCTCTAACGTCCTCGTGATCGTCCAGACCAAACACCAATGATTTGCCGTTTCCCGATTCGCTGGCCCTTAATCTCTTAGCAAGAGCCGTGGATTTCGAGGATAAGTAGTTTTGTATGTTATCATAGGCATTGCTTTTCTTGAGACCATCTCCTGTGTCTTCATAGAATTTGATGTGAACCGTATTCCAGACCAAACTGAATATCTTCAAAACATACTTATACAAGTAGTCTTGGAGTTCGTATGGAAGGTGTTGTTTGAACATCATCGAGATCGTCGAGATCGTCGAGAAGAACATAGAAACAAATATCGATGCCCCGGCGTATCCTCCCCCACATTGCTCCGTTAATCGCCGGAAACATCGTGTTTGCTTCCTTGTTTCTCACGGAAACTCTGTTGCTTGCGTTTTCCTATTTATATCGACTTAAGACACATATTATAGCCTAATGCCATATATAAATTTCCTTATTTTTTATTTAGAAAAAGTAAAAAGTTTCTATATAGTTCCTTGTTTCCTTATTATCAATTATTTAGGTGAAAGTTTTGTACGCTATTTTGTAAATATTTATTTTTATACTGTATGTTACCACATGCGTCATTATTTTTGGTAGTTATTGAAACGTAATTTTCCTTTTCATAAATTCCATGTAGCTACGAGAAGACTTGCTTCTATATAATTTACTTAACAAGTTAGGTTATTCGACCCCAAAAAAAAAGTGAATCGTTAATATTTTAGAAAGTTACATACCAGGCTCCTTGAACCAAGTCGTCCCTGGAATCATTTTCAAACTTTCTTTTCTTTTCGAGTGTCCTTTTAGAGAAAAAAATTTGTTCACAAATAAATGGATTTTTCACAAATCAATGTAAAAATTAATGTATTTTTATTCTTTTGACTGTTTAAATTCTGCAGATTGGCTTTTCATTGGTTGAATTGTGTTGAAATTGATGATAAAATATGTTTTATTTAAAAAAAATTAAAAATTTATTGATTTCTTAATCTGTGCACATAAGGCTAAAAAGACATTTATTTGAGAATCAGAGAGAATACTTAACAAATCAATGTTGTATCACCATGCATGCGTACGTAATGATGAACACATATTTTTTTGTTAAAGCCATCAGATACATGCAAGTTTCTATGAAAACATGTATTAAGTGTAAATATAACAAACAATAGAGAAAAATGTTTTTTTAAAATAAACTTAATGTGGACATGCTGTTTTTATAAATTGAAAAACCTAAAAAAAAAGAAAAAAAAAACAAAAAATCAGCAAAAAATTCCCCAAACCGAAAAATAAAAGAAAATACAGAAGTTAAAGATGAACAGTAATCATATGTTGGATTTATCTTCAGAAGTCTCCGCATCCTTTCTCTTTTGTTTCCATCAACCTTTTTTCTTTCTTTCTGAAAAGCATTTATATGACTAACTAAATCTTTATAAAAACAGAAAAAAAAATATTTAAAAAAATAAAGAGAGACCACTACTAGTCTACGAAGTTGTGGCTGCTACTGCCCACTTGACCATGACTGAGATCTTTTATCATCATCAAAGGGAGGAAAAACAAAAATTAGTATAAAAAAGGACTTATATAGTTGACTCCTATCTTCCGAATAATTGTATAGAAGATTATATATAAACAAGAAAATCGACGGCTTAATCTAAAGATTAGATATGTCATATGTGTGTTTCTGATATATATATTTATCTTCTACCGTGACCTTTTTGGTAGTTCTCGATTTAAACAGAGTAAATCCTTTGAAACTAGAAAGCCTTATGGTCAAAAAAAAAAAAAATCCTTTGAAACACCAGCTAGCTATATATGTTATTAACAGCTATTACAGGAAACATAGGCATATATTTACAAAAATACTCAAACTCTATAAATTTAAACTTGACTTACTGTATCATTAAGAACAAGTGCATCATAGCACCCGATAACTTATTCTAGCTTTTAAATTTTACTTGAAAATACCATACCAAAATAAAAACATTCAACAGCAAACTTATGATTCATCACATCTTAATTTGCTCAAAGCTTCACCAAAAAAAAATGAATAGCTTCACCAAAAAAAAATCTTAATTTGCTCAAATATTATTACCATTTTCATGAGAAGCGTCGCCGTTTTCCTCTGCTTCCTTCTCTTCTTTCTCCGCCTTCTTCTGCTTCCTCGCTTCTTTCTTCTTCTTCTCTTCTTCTTCTGCCTTCTTCTTCTTCCTCCTCATTTCCCTCTCCGCTTTCTTCTTTAGTTCTTCCTCAGCCAACTTCCTCGCCTTCACCTTCTCTTCCTCCAAAGACTTAACCAAACGCTTAAGGCAAATATCTGCATCTTCTTCATCAGATTTCGGCATCAAGTTCTCAGCAACATCAGCTGTAGACATGTTGGTTTCCTCCACCAATCTTTCAATTTCTCCATACAAATCATGTGACTCGATCTCCAAGTAGTTCTTGGCCAAAACCTTAAACGCTTCAAACCTACAATAAGACATCTCAATATGGTTGTCCATTCTTCCTCTACGTATCAATGCTGGATCAAGATTATCCACAAAGTTGGTAGTAAACACTATGATCTTCTCACCACTACAAGCTGACCATAACCCATCAATGGCGTTTAATAACCCTGACAAAGTAACCTTACTCTCTCTCTCACCTCTTTCTCTCTCTAACTTCTTCTCAGCTTCCTTCTTCTTTTCTTCATCCTCTTCATCTTCATCGTCTTCCTCCTTTTTCTTTCTCTGTCCCGTAAGATCAAGCGAACAATCAATATCTTCAACCACAAATATAGACTTCCCTTTTGTTTCCAACATTAGTTTCTTTAACTCCGAGTTATCTTTCACAGTCGTCAGTTCAAGATCATACACATCATAGTCCAAGAAATTCGCCATGGCAGAGATCATCGTGGATTTCCCTGTCCCGGGCGGTCCAAACAAGAGATAACCTCGCTTCCACGGCTTGCCAACTTTCCTGTAGTAATCTTTCGCTTTACTAAACCTAATCAAATCCTTCTTGATCTCTTCTTTCTTCTCCGGAACCATTGCCAAAGTCTCGAAGGTTGCCGGATGATCGAAAGGAACGCTGCTCCATCTTCCTTTCGACCAGGAAGAATAATCGTTACTCTGGTTATTAGTGTAAAGCTTCCTCTCTCGTTTCCTCAACCCAATCTCTTTCCCTTCTCTCAAAACATGATCAAGATAAGTATTTGTGATCATCTCTCTATGCCGATTATGAAAACTTAGAGTCAAGTACATTCTCTCGTTCGAACCAGACTGATTCTCACCCTTTTTGACACTGGAAGACCATTTCACCCTCACACCATTGAACACATCTTCAACGGCCTCGTGATCATCCAAACCAAGCACCAACGATTTGCTGTTTTTCGATTCGCTGGCCTTTAGTCTCTGAGCACGAGCCGTGGATTTGGAGGATAAGAAGTTGAGTATGGCATCGTAGGCTTGGCTTTTCTTGAGACCTTCTCCTGAGTATTCAGGGAACTTGATGTGAACAGAATACGAGATCAGAGCGATGATCTGGACAACATACTTCTCCAAGTAGTCTTGGAGTTCGTAAGGAACGTATTTTTTGTAGAGAGCCCAAACGACCATAAGGCTAGGCATCGTCATGCCGGCGAAACCCCAAATGGCTCCGGTCTGAAGCATCTTTTGTGTTTGTTTATTTCTTTATTTCTCTCGCCTTCTTTCTTTTCGGGCGTACGTACTTCTTCCTCCTATTCTCCTTCGATACTATAATCTGTTTTCACTTATTTATACACATCAAGTCTGCAAAAATGGTTTTTACCATCTCCAATGTATTACACTATTTTCTCCCTTATTATAGTGTTCCTTATAATAGTGTGATGTTTCTCTCCAATGTATTCCCTTATTTTTAACACTAAAAAGAGAATATTCTAAGTATATTCCTAATCCATATTTATTTTAAAAACCTTTTATTTATAAGTTTCACAAATTAGCCCCACTTATTTCATTATTCAATAAAAACTCTATAAATTAGTATATTATTTGAATAAAACTATTATTATATGAAGAAATTACATTTTTCTATTAAAAAAACAAAAACTTTCAATAATTTCTCATATATATAATTTTTAAAAGTTTTCTATTATTATTTACTTTGTAGTGAATAAAATAGAATTATAATCCTGTGTAATATAAATCATGCCATCTTCTAAAATACTGTTTTATGATTAATTCTAGTAAAAAATCAAAATAAAAATGTTTTTATGATATATTTAAGTTAAAAGTAAAAAAAGAAAGAATTAAAGGATCAATATGCAAATAAAAAAGATCAACATCAAATTTGAGGGAAGAAATAAGGTTACACTATAAATGAGGGAAAAAATAGTGTTCCATCATTTTAGTGTTAAAAATAAGGGTGGGTTGGAGATGGATTTCACACTATAATAGGTTTTAAGGGGAGATTTGATGATGGGTTGGAGATGCTTTTAGGGGTTAGGTTTTATTTGACTTGTGAGACAAATCGTGTGACTTGTGAGAGCCACTTAAATTTTTATTTTATTTTTCTTGATAACCAACAACCACGTATAGAAAATACTAGGGTATCTTCGTTTTTTGATTTTACTCCTACGATAAAAAATGGTAATGATAATGATGTGTAGATATTTGATAAAATAATTCTAGTCCTCGGTGACATTTGTCAATAGTTTGGGTCAACTCTCCTAATCAATAGGTTCTTTAAATAATTAATTTTAGAGCATAAATTAAGTAGATTTAGTTGACTAGAATTGCCGTACAAGAAAACACTTTAATATAATATCTAGTCCAAAAACAGAAATTCATAAATTTGAATGTGCAAAAATAAGTATATGGAATTTTTTTGTCAACAACTGAGAATATTTATTTTGAACTGAAAACTGGAAAATTATAAGAGAAAATTATCTAAGATAACTTGAAAAATGATCTAAGATAGCTAAGATAACCCATCAGTAGAACAGTAATTTTTCAGTTTTAATGATAAATGCAATATTATATAAAAAAAAAAAGAGAGAGAGAACACAATATATGGAATCGAATCAGAAAAAAATGTAGTATTAAAAATATAAGATAACTTTTTTTTTTTTATGTGTATACATTTTTTTTTTTAATATTATTAAATAAATCAACCCAAAAAAAGGGCATCGGACGGGTTACACTCTCCGACAATCGGACAAAAGCACGGTAAGGAAAACAGATCAAAAGCACAATACTACAATCTCTAAGGCTTAACTCTAAGATGGGAAAAGGTAAAAGAGGGACCACTCTACACTGTCCTCCGGCGGAGAAAAGAAGGCTCGTCCCCTCACCGTCCCCGAACCACCTCCTATTAAACCGGAGTCTCCGCCTCCGTCCTTCGGTAGGTATCCGGTTAGATTCCGGGCCGTCACACTTCTTCCGGAATTGGTGTGAGCATAAATCCATAACCCCACGGCCACACCACTGAAAGCCGAAGATCAGCTCACCAATGACAAAGATTTCCACCACCAGAGACGAGACTACTCTTCCTTCTCTATCCTCCTCCTCCGCAAACCCTAGAAACTTCAATCCGGTCGGAAGTTTGAACCAGCATCGGATTTAGTGGATCTAACAGAGGACCCGCCATCCTCACGCTTCTCCACACCACCATCCACCAGAGCTTTTCACGACACGCAGCGAACCCACCGAACCGGCGAAGAGGGACACATCTCGAAACTCAGATCTGCTAACGCCAAACTCACACCGAGCTATTCTGCCGTCCTCTAGCAGAGATTCACCCATGGAAAGTTTAGTGACAACCTCACTGAGCCACCCGAGCTTCCGCAGCGTCTCTCCCACCGGTTATCCACGCCCATCGCCGCCGGAGAAAAAACTGGATCTAATCTTCACGTCGTTGAGCCACCAATCCGCCAATGAAGAACTTAAAAGCAAATAGAGAGAAGGGAGGTCCCCTCACGGCATCGACGAGGAGCGCCGAGCACGGAGAAGACCTCAAGCGGAGAGACGGCGAGAAGAAAACTTGGAAAGTTTTTGGGAGAAGACTTTCGGGCGCGTGAGATCCACTCGCACGAAAGTCTTATTATATAAGATAACTTACTATTGATAACATACGTATAGATTGATACTATTGATACATATTGGACATATGTATTAATAGTAAACTCCCAAATATGTATAGATTAAAATGCTGTCTTTTTTTTTTTTTTTTAAACCAATATGTATCAGAAGTTTATACTTACTATTGCATTTAAAATTTATTTAGCAACACCCTGCCAAACTAGTACAAGCTTACACACAATAAACAAATTCATCAGGCGTCACCATTTTCCTTAGAAACGTCTCCGTTTTCGCCGGCATCCTTCACTTTCTTTTCTTTCTCCTTCTCCTTCTCTTCTTCCTCTGTCTTCTTCTTCTTCTTCTCTTCTTCATCTGCTTTCTTCTTTTTCCTCTTCTCTTCCTTTTCCGCTTTCTTCTTCTCTTCTTCTTCAGCCAACTTCTTCGCCTTCTCCTTCTCTTCCTCCAAAGTCTTGACCAAACGCTTGATGCAAATGTCCGCATCTTCTTCATCAGATTTAGGCATCAAAGTCTCAGCAACATCAGCCGGAGACATGTCCGTTTCCCCTAGCTTTCTCTCGATCTCTCCATACAAATCATGTGAATCGATCTCTAAGTAGTTCTTAGCTAAAACCTTAAACGCTTCAAACCTACAATAAGACATCTCAATATGGTTGTCCATTCTTCCTCTTCGTATCAATGCCGGATCAAGCTTATCCACGTAATTCGTAGTGAAAATAATAATCTTCTCATCACTACAAGCTGACCATAACCCATCAATGGAGTTTAAAAGCCCTGAAAGTGTCACTTTACTCTGTTTCTCATCTTCCTTCTTCTCCTTCTTCTCAACATCCTTCTTCTTGTCCTCGTCATCGTCTTCATCATCTTCCTCCTTCTTCGTCTTCCTCTGCCCCGTAAGTTCAAGAGAGCAATCAATGTCTTCAATCACAATAATAGACTTGCCTTTTGTATCAAGCAACAACTTCTTCAGCTCCGAGTTATCCTTCACAGTCGTTAGCTCAAGATCATACACATCATACTCCAAGAAGTTCGCTATTGCAGATATCATCGTCGACTTCCCTGTCCCGGGAGGACCAAACAAGAGATAGCCTCGCTTCCACGGCTTCCCAACCTTGTTGTAATAATCTTTCCCTTTGCTAAACTTTATCAGATCCTTCTTGATCGCTTCTTTCTTGCCAGGATCCATAGCCAAAGTATTGAACGTAGCAGGATGATGAAAAGGAACGTTGCTCCACTTCCCTGAGCTCCAAGGATACCATTCTTTACTCGAGTTGTTGGTGTAAAGCTTCCTCTCTCTGTTGCTCAACCCAATCCCTTTCCCTTCTCTCAAAACATGCGCGACGTAGGTCGTTGTGATCATCTCTCTGTGTCGCTTGTGGAAAGTAAGCGTGAAGAACCTTCTCTCGTCCGAGGTGTTTCGACTAAAATAATTATTCTGACTCTGACTCACTTTCATGTTCGAATGCCACGTCACCTTCACACCTTCAAACACATCTTCGACTTCCTCGTGATCGTCCATGCTAAGCACCAACGATTTGCTGTTTTTGGATTCGTCCGCCTTTAGTCTCTTGGCACGAGCCGCGGAGTTGGTGGATAGATAGTTGCGTATGGCGTCGTAGTTCTCGCTTCTCTTGAGACCTTCTTCTGTGTACTCGGTGAACTTGATGTGGACGTAAAAAGACATCCATCCGAACATCTTGTGAGCGTATTTCCCAACGTATAGTCGGAGATTTTGAGGGACGTATTGTGAGTACATCGCACAAACGAACATAAGGCTTGTCACCGCCGTGCCGGTTAGTCCCCATATTGCTCCGGTTTCAAGCATCTCTTTTTTTTTTGTGTTTGCTTGTGTTACACGAAACAAGTTGTGTCTTTTTTTCTTTCTCTTTGGGTACTTGGCAAGTGTGGTGTGATTTTGTTTCATTACTCCATGCCTCTCAGTCGCTATTTATATACTCTCAAGTTTCCGAGGAACATGTCACGAAATCTCTGATTAGTTTACAGGAAACTTATCATCTATGTTTTATACTTTATGTTGTGGAATTTTTACGATTGTTTGTCACTACGCTTTGTCGTTTACGATCTTAGTTTTTAGGATTAGGTAAAGTGTGTAGAAAACTGTCAGTATATGCTTTGTTCCTGGCATCAAGCGAGGAGCCACTAAAACCTTTTTCATACTACGAAAATCTGTAAAGTAAAGAGCCAAAATTCATGTTTTCCCCGGCGAAATCATTATTTTATTTGTTCATTGTAGTTTTATAAGTCTAGTCAACTTTGGTAAATTAATACTCCTTCGACTACAAGTTGTACCTTTTTGTTCGTTTATGAAGAAAACGTTAACAAGCCGCCAAATTAATGACGTTATCTTTTTATGTTTTGTATGAATAATCACGAAAGATATTCGTTTTTTTTTAGAGAAAATTGGCAAAAACCACAAGAATGGGAAAGACTTTGTCTCAATACACATTTTTGTGAGATTTTTGTCTCACTACACATTTTCTAAACTTATAATCCTAAATTACCCTTCAAATTGTTTAAAGTTTTTAATTGTAAGATTTTTGGTTAAACAAAAGAAAACAATTTTTTTTTCTTTCCTGACATCTCTCCTCTTCTCTTCTTCTTCTCCGACATTTCTCTTCTCTTCTGCGACATTATTCTTCTCCGATTTTCTTCTTCTCCGTCGTTGCCGCTTCCGTCACATAATCCTCCGGCGTCTCTTCCGTCACATAATCCTCCGTCGTTGCCGTCTGTTTCTTCAACCTACTCCTCTCTGTCCTCCTCTGCAACATAGTAACTAAGAGGAATAAGAGAAACTAGTAAGTTGTGTGTATAGGAGAAGAAGAAGATGAAGATGAGACGGCTAAGAAGATGGAATGGAGAAGAAGTTGCCACAATTGCGTCGTGGGAGAAGGTTGGAGAAGAAAAAGGAAACAAAATATTCAAAAACATATTTGTTAATATTCTCTAAGATTTCCGGCAGAAGACGATTTCTACATTTGGTAGAAGACTGATTTCTAGAAGAACACGACCTCTACCAACATGGTAGAAAAGTGGTTTTTAGTAGAAACTGAACTCTACGGATGGTAAGAGATAATGTGTGTAACAGAATACGAAATCTACGCCTGCATAGAAGGCTGTGTTTCTCGTAGACAACAAATTCTAGAACATGTAGAAAACTTTGTTTTTGGTAGAACATATCTTCTACCAAATTTACAAAATCGCAGAACATAGAGTAATAGGTAGAAGTGATATGCTACTAATAGTAGAGGTATATATATATTATAGAACTCGTGTTCTACGGATGGAAGATGTGTGTATAAATGGTAGATATCGAATTCTAGCTCCAGTAGATGTAATAAAAACGTGTAGAATACATATTCTACTTTGAATTTCAGAGCTGGTAGAAGAAAACTTCAATATATTTTTTAAAAATCATATTTTTGAAAAAAATTGTGAAAATATTTTAACAAGTCTGAAGATCATTTATCTGATTTTTAGAAATATTTTGGGTTTCTAAAATAAACTATTTCATATTTTTAAATATATAAAGGGTATTAAAGGCAAAAATAGTAAAAACATGAAAATGTGTATATGGACAAACCTTCCCTCTTTTCTGTGTATAATCACAAATCTCCCTTTTTTTTTATATTAGTTTTTCTGGTCACGAGTCTATGAACTTTGAAACTTATTTTTTTTTTGTGAAAACTCAATTTATCACAAAAGAAAAAACAAGATTCTGAAAGAAATGACCTAGCGATAGAATGATACACATATTTTACGTATGGAAAACATCAAAAAAAAAATGGTTTACACTTTACAGCCTAGAATTGATGTGGAAATTGATATGTTTACACACTTTACAGCATTTTTACAACATTTTACATGGAAAACATCATTATAGGTTTACACTTTACAGCCTATAATTATACACATATTTTACATGTGGAAAACATCAAGAAAAAATGGTTTACACTTTACAGCTAGCTTATCAATTTAAAATGTTAACTGCATATTTATTTATTTATGAAAGTGTCGTCTAGTTTGATGTCACTTAAAGTAAACTCGGAATGACGACGGATGTGCTTAGAGAAGCATGCTTCGCGATGCTTTTCTTCTTTGGTGTGACGTCAGTTGAATCAATCCTTGATCAACGAATAAACTTATATCCAAAGTCCAAACGGTCAGTGTACGATGAACTCGGGCTTCGAGAGGCCCATTAAGAACAAAGTTGGAAGCCCATATCTTAAGCAGCTAAAGAAGAAGTGTTTTAAAAAAGTTAAAAGGGTTTGGAGGAAAGACTATGGTAAAGTAATGGTTTGGTTGTTCACTACACATACTACTGCTCTTGGCAAATTCTATTCATCTCCTACATGAACATCTTCGATTTATTACATGAAAGTTGCTATTCTGCAGAATAAATCATCTTTCTTTGGTGTATCGAAATGAAAATCCAACAAATTCGTCGTACATACATTCGTTTGCACATTCTAAGCCACAAACAACCTAAATCGAAATGAGATTAGTCGTTATATGATTTGGCAGATCAGACACAAACCCTTGATTTCAAAATCAAAATCATCCAAAAATCACATTTACCAATTCACCATGAATTACCAATTTCATATCATTGATCATCCAGAAAATTTTGACTAAAAACCATGTAATTTTGAAGAACGAGCATATGATTGAGAAACATCTGTTCACGATTAGATTATCAAAGTCGCAACACTGAAATAATCCTTAAAAGGTAGCAAAACAGATCCGTTCATCGAAATTAAAGCGATAAAATTAACTACCAGACGAGACGATACTAAGCAAATCAGATCCTCTACCGTCATAAAGCCGAATCAATCGAAGAGACTCATCATGCCGCCATCGTCGGAGTCCTCCTTCTCCTCCTCGACCTTCTTCGCTTCCTTCGCTGGCTCAGCCGCGGCGGCAGGAGCGTCTCCTCCAGCTCCGGCGCCGACCACAGCAACAGCAGGACCACCGGATGAGAGAGCTCCCATCTTCTCCCTCCCAGCAGCGATCAGCTCGGTGACATCGCGATCCTTCACCAGAGAAAACAGCAGATCTATCTTCTCCTCGTCGATCTCGGCACCAACGGACTCCAAAATCTTCTTCAGATCATCTTTGGTTGGGCTCTCGTTTCCGGCGAGTTTCGCGAGGAGAAAAGCAGCGATAACCTTCATCGTTTTTCGATTTCGATTTCTCTTTCACCGTCTCTCTGCAAAATCGGAAAACGACTGCTAGGGTTTGTGAAACGCGGCCCTTAAGCTGTGTATTTAAAGGAGTCTTCTTATTGGCCAATGCCCCCATAATCATGAGATTTAGGGTTTTCCGTACGTACGGTTATGGACACGTGGCCTTCACGAAAACGAGCCGGAAATTATACTGGCCCAATAGAACCTCGGGCCTATAGTGGGCTTCAAAATATATGATTTCGTTTTACAAAATCTTGTAATTAATGAAAAGTATTTTTTTTGGTAACCGATCTTGGTGGGTGGTAACTTTGTAAATATCAGATGACTAAAAGAAAACTTTGTGCACTTTTGTCAACAAGAAAATTAAATTTTGTCTGGTAAAAAAGAGTTAAAGAATCTACCAAAAGTGGAACTAACTGGTCAAAATTGAATTAAAAACAAAACAGTGGGCGTTCGTTTAGTCATTAATAAGGGACAAAATTGTTGAATCGCAAAACTATGGGAATCAAATTGAAAAGAGGAAGATTCTTGGGGGTGAGAATCGAGAAGAATTATATAATTTCATTTCGTCGTCGCCAAAACGCCAAGCAAAAGACTTTTTCTGAGGGAAAAAAATCGGATGGATTCTCGGCATTTTCTCGCGTTTTCTCTCTGTGTTATCTTGATTCTCCCTCTGATTTCATCTGCTTCTATACGCTTCCTCCCTCGATGGAGTAATAGGTTAGCTCTTCTTCTCACTCGAGTTATGTGATTCGCAGATATGGATTAGATTGTGTGGTTTTCGAAATGGTTGACTGAGAATTGTTTGTCCTTTTTCGTGGGCAGAGATGGTGGGTCTGTGATTAAGCAGAAAACGAGTGCTTCGTCTCTTTTCTTTGATCCGACTCGTGTCACTCAGCTCTCTTGGACTCCCAGGTTTGTGTATCAGAGAAAAACTCTTAACTTTGATTTTGGTAAACTTGATCTGAAAAATGTGATTTTTATGTGGTTTCTCCAGGGTGTTTTTGTACAAGGGACTTCTCACAGATGAAGAATGTGATCATTTTATCAAATTGGTACAATCAAACTTTCTTCTTGAATTTTTCTCCATTAGTTAAATAGATTTTTTAGTGATGATCAAGGGATGTTACTGTGACTGTGTGACTAAATCAAGAAACTTTGTACTGTATTTGACATTGATTACAGGCGAAAGGAAAGCTTGAGAAGTCAATGGTGGCGGATAATGATTCAGGTGAGAGCGTAGAGAGTGAAGTACGCACGAGTTCTGGAATGTTTCTTTCTAAAGCACAGGTGAGCTTTCATTATATTATATATGAAACTTGTGGCGAATCCATAGCAAATCTGTTTGCTTTTTGTAAAGCTTTTGAATGTGAGAGGCTGTAGCTAATTAGAATGTTGTATATATGATTTGTGATTAGAATGTTGTGTCTCGTGCAGGATGATATAGTAGCTAATGTGGAGTCAAAACTTGCTGCGTGGACCTTTTTTCCAGCGGGTATATAGTTTTTTTCATCTAATCTCGGTTCTTACTTTAACCTTTAGTAGTAGATAATTATTAACTTCATCTCTGTTTCTTCTGTCTTGTGGATCAGAAAATGGGGAGGCCATGCAGATACTGCACTATGAGAACGGCCAGAAATACGAACCGCATTTCGACTTCTTTCACGACCAGGTTAACCAAGAGCTTGGTGGTCATCGTGTCGCCACTGTGTTGATGTACTTGTCCAATGTCAAAAAGGGCGGTGAAACAGTGTTCCCCATGTGGAAGGTACTCGCATAACATCACTTCTCCTTCCACAATCTTTGAGATTTGGATCTCATTTCCCTTTGCTCACTTTCTTTAAAGGGTGCAAAATCTCAACCGAAAGACGATACCTGGACCGAATGTGCAAAACAAGGTTATGCAGGTAATTAACATTCTTGAACTTGAACTTGAGATTGTTATATTGCAATATCTGACTGAATTTGTATATTTGGCAGTGAAACCGATGAAAGGAGACGCATTGCTCTTCTTCAACCTCCATCCCAATGCAACCACAGATTCGAACAGTTTACATGGAAGCTGTCCAGTGATTGAGGGAGAGAAATGGTCAGCGACCAAATGGATTCATGTCAAGTCGTTCGACAGGTCGGCTGTGTCTAAGAAGCAATCCGGGTGTGTGGACGAGAACGAGAGCTGCCCGAAATGGGCAGCAGCAGGGGAATGCGAGAAGAATCCAAGTTACATGGTTGGTTCAGAAGCAGACCATGGATATTGCAGAAAGAGCTGCAAAGCTTGCTCATCTTAAGAACAACATCAACAAGTAATATCAAAAATGCTCTTTATTAAAAGAATCCAAATTTTTGTATAGCGAAAAAGACCGGTTTTCGCGATTCGGTTTATAAAAAAACCTTTCCTCAATAGAAAAACATATTTAGAACAATAATGAAAAATAAATCTCTGATAAGGTTCTGGTTTCATGTTCAGTTATGTTACCATATGGTTTCATAGTTAGAGCAAAAACTTAATAAGAAGTATGTTTATTTTATCATCACCAAAACATCAAGCAAGCATTACATGATAACTGAATTATGTATTGTTATACAAACTGTATAGTGTACACATGAGATGATGGTTGTTCTAAAACTACGTCATGCACTTCGAAACTCTCTATATTTCTAATGAAGTGCAACAATCATGCAATTACCGTTAATTAGGAGCCTCCAAGCATGAGATCCTCACCTTCTCTCTCCCTCTCTCTCTCTCTCTCTAGACATGTCTCAGAGCTTTTGCATTGCATCACTCTCTTTCCCATAAAGCCTTTGTTCTGGTACTTTCAGACATTTCTCAGCTTCTTCTTCTTCTTCTTCTTCTTCTTCTTCTCTCTTGTCTCTCAATACCAAACAAAAAATGGGAAGGCCTCCTTGTTGTGACAAATCCAATGTCAAGAAAGGTCTCTGGACTGCAGAAGAAGACGCTAAGATCCTCGCTTATGTTGCAATCCATGGTGTAGGAAACTGGAGTTTGATCCCCAAAAAAGCAGGTTCATTTTCCAAATAACCTCTTCTTTCTTTCAAGATTCTCATCTTCTTATTTGAATTCTGAGTTGTTTTCTTTCTTCTGTGCAGGCCTGAATCGCTGTGGAAAGAGCTGTAGACTGAGATGGACTAATTACTTAAGACCTGACCTTAAACATGACAGCTTCTCTCCACAAGAAGAAGAGCTTATCATTCAGTGTCACAGTATCATTGGCAGCAGGTAAACAACAAAACCTAATTGCTAACTAACTTTTTCAACAATGATAACATTTTCATTGGGTAATGATAATAAACAATCTCTGCTTCTTTCAGGTGGTCTTCCATTGCGAGAAAGCTTCCAGGAAGAACAGACAACGACGTGAAGAACCACTGGAACACGAAGCTGAAGAAGAAGCTGATGAAAATGGGGATAGATCCGGTGACTCACAAACCTGTCTCTCAGGTCCTCTCGGAATTCAGAAACATAAGCAGCGGCCACCATGGAAATGCATCTGAAGCTTTTGTGAGAAACTTCAAAACAGAACCGTCCAGCAACAACTCTATACTCACACAATCAAACTCAGCTTGGGAAATGATGAGGCACAACAACATAACAACAAGCCATGAGAGTTATTACAACAACTCTCCAATGATGTTTACGAATCCAACTTGTACTCCATTCCATTTCTCAAACCATTCGAATCATCTTCTCAATGGAACCACGTCTTCATGTTCTTCCTCATCGTCTTCTGCTAGCATCACTCAGCCAAACCAAGTGGCTCAACCAACACATGGTACTACTACTACATTCCAATGGAGTGATTATCTTCTCTCGGATCCGGTTTTGCCTCTGAGTTCTCAGACGCAAGTAATGGGGTCCTCTGCTACTAGCAACCTCACTTTTGCTCAGAATGAAAACTTTAACAGCCAAGCTGATTGCAGCTCTGAGAAGATTGATATTAAGGCCTCGGGGACATGTCATTCTGCGAGCTCCTTTGTGGATGAGATATTGGATAAGGACCAAGAGATGCTCTCACAGTTTCCTCAGCTCTTGACTGATTTCGATTATTAGATCCTTGTTTTTCTTTCTTGTTGTTGTTGTTGCTTCTCTTGTACCTTAAAATTCAGACATTTTACATTTTATGATTTTCAAGAACTCATCTTCATTTGGTTTTTAATAAGTTATCTCTTCTCTTTATGATCTTATTAGTACCAACTTTCTTGGGATACAATTATGTTATCAGTCTGTAATTTACATTACACAGCTAAACTTAAAACCTCTTGCTCAGAAAGAGGGTCCAGTTTAATTCTATCCTTCGTCTTCTTTTTGGTTTGCTACTGAGAAGCTCCAACATATTTCTGCAAGCTCGAAAGTCGAAACCTTTTCATTTCAGCTATGGCGTTCGTGTTACCATCTCCCATAGTCTCTCCACTAGGAATCAACATCGACATGAATAAGAATCTGGGTGTCTCGTATTCTTCTTTCCCCAAATTTCACGCCTTCAGGGTCTCTAGTCCACTGCGTATTCGAAAATCCGTCGTCACTGTCGTTTCGAGCCGTAAAAGTGCGAAATCAGATTTAGGAACTGATTTGGCAAGGGAGGATAAGAAATTGTTGTTGGAACGATATGGTTATGATGCCAATTCTTTTTCATCTCAATCCAAGGTTGGTTTTTCATCTCCGTTTTTTTCTTTCTGATAATTTGTTGAGAGCTCAAACTTTAGTTGTGGAAAGTTGCTGACTTACTACTGTTGGAATAATTTAAACACACATTGTAGAAGACGAGAAGAAAAGAAGAGGAAACGAGTGGAAGGAGCAGCCAAAAAGAGGAAGAAGTTGTTGCACAGCCAAGAACAACTCATAGGTTACTTCAGGTGTGAATTTGCTTGTTTCATGGTGTTTCAAAGATTTTTTGAGTTCTTGGTATTGGGTGTTTTTGTTGTTCAATTATTTTCCGAATGTGTATCAGGTTCTTGCAGGAACAGCCAAACGAAAGAAATTGCTTTCTCTCAAGGGAATGGATGTGAGACCTATGATGGAAGTTGTTAAAGGGGCAGCTTTTGGAATTCTCCAGGTAATAGTAATGAGAAATGGACTGTTTTTACTTGTTGGCTAGGTTTAGGAGCTTCTGCATTTTAGCCAAATTGTCACCTGAGATTCAATACTTCACTGTGTTGTGTGATTAACATTCCAAGATTGATTCTTATCTCATTCTATAGGCTGCTGGTGGTTGTCCAACGTCTCTGCGTCCTGGAAGGTGGTTGGATTTATACAGTGGTACAGGATCTGTTGGAATTGAAGCAATCAGTCGAGGATGTTCTGAGGTAGTATAAGAAATAAATAACTGTTATGGCAGGAATTGTTTTGTATGATGATCTTGTTTGATAGCTAACAGGATTTGACTTGTTCTTTACAGGCACACTTTGTTGAGATGGATCCTTGGGTTGTTTCAAATGTTCTACAACCAAACTTGGAACACACTGGGTTTGTTGATGCTTCGGTTATACACACTGCTCGAGTCGAAAACTTCTTGGAACGTGCAGAGAAATTAGCAGGCATGACTAGTCTTGAAGATGTTAAACAGTTGCCAGTTTCCATCTCTCATTCTGACTTGCAAACTTTAGATTTTAATGGTATCTGTTAATATCAGGTAAGGATGGTGCATTTGATTATATCAGCGTTACGCCGCCGTACATGGAGGTTGATTATGAGGTTCTGATGGATCAGATTTCTAAGTCGGCTGCAATTGGGGAAAATACATTTATTGTGAGTAGCTATGTATTTCCCTTGTTAAACCATCTTATAAGTAGTTTTGGACCTTTTGGTTTACTGTGTATTTCTCATGCTCATCTGGATATGTTCTGATGTAGGTGGTTGAGTATCCTTCACGAACCACTATGCTTGATTCATGCGGATGCCTTGAAAAGGTAACAATTTCCTTTTTGTTTGCTAGTGTAAAGCATGGGGTCAATTGAATGTTGATGAGAAAATTTTAATACAGATGACTGATCGAAGGTTTGGCCGGACACATCTGGCCATATATGGACCAAAATGGGCTCAAAAGCCAAGAAAATCTTAAAGCAACAGTGAACCTCAATGGTCTCATGTGGGCATTTTTTCGGTTAAAGGCAGGGAACAGAGGCTGAGATTGAAGAGCTAGTTTGTTCCAAACCTTTGAATACTATAGTAAGTTGTTTCAGATGTGAATTAGTATATCAATACATGTTACTCTTCTTCTGGCTGTTACATCTCAAAGGCTTTGCTTCTGACATGTGCTACAAGATCATTTCCATTTCTCTCTTGTCACATATTCTTACTGTCTCAGTTTAAATTTTTGCAGGTGCTTTTGTCCATCAGTCACCATTTTGTTTGTAGCCAAGTCCCAAGACTGAAGCATGTTGCGGTCTTATGATACTTCTAATCGGTACTGGTTTATGCCACCCTGTGTGTTTGTGTAGCAGAAATATAGCTGTACACAGTTTGAAATATGAAGTCAGTTAGAGTTTCTCCTTTTTGTCCATTACATAAGGCTGCTTTTGATGCCCTTAAGGTCTGAGAAAGCAACTTGCTGCTCATGATATCTATATGTATGTATGATATACATCAATGTTTATTCTAAGCATGTCTTCTAATTAAAGAAAACCTTTAGGAAAGTGACGTAACTGAGGTATGTGTTGAATCCTTCTTCCCTTTCTTTCTACTTTGATCTACTTTGGTAAACAACTCTTCAGTAGAGCATGTAACTTGGAATCTCTACAGGGAAATTTTGGGATGTCTTTGGTCACACAATCACTGTAGGAATCAATACTAGAAGGACACTATCCTGACCATGTGTAAGATCCCTAAATAATATAGGCGAAACAGATATATAGTAAGAAAATTGTGGGGACAGGTTTTTAAAAATTTGGCTTTACTATGTATAAGGCAAGCTTCTCTTTCTCACCAAGGCCAAAAGGAAGTTTGCTTGTGACATGGGAACAAACTGGCTCAATCTTCCCTAGCTGTCAATCAGATTTGGATTCTTTTCTTCACAATTTGGATATGTTTTCTAATTTTTTATTTTTTTAGATTGTAGTTTAAGTTTAGGTTCATGCACAGATCTCTATCTCATTACCAGAAAGAGTTTATCAGAAGAAGCTTACATTTCTTTTCTCGGCTATGCTAATTGGCTTTTGATAGGGGAAGAATACTTAACAAGGAAGAAAATTATAGCCTAGGCTCCTTTTCACTGGTTTGTTTTTTCTTACTTGTTCATTGTTACATTCTTAATTGATTTTCTTATTGTTTAAAGAAAACTTCCAAGCGATTTAAGATAGTGGTAAGGAAAGTAGTAGGCTTGATAATACTCAGTCATAAAAGGTACACTGTCCTATGCTTTTAAATGGCTTAAAATATATGTAGTTAGGGAGCTTGTGAGGTCCCCAATGGTATGCTGCATGAAAATTCACAAATCAAAGCAAAGAAAAAGCTACGCAACGGGCCCATGTGTCACATAAAGATATGTTTTCTCTAACTTTCTCTTCCTCTTGCTTCCTCTCTCTCTCTCTCACTTTCTCTCTACGTGGACACCTACGTATGTATAATGTTGCTTTGTGTGCTTCATCTTTAAATAGGGCCAATCACGGATTTGTCTTTCAAGGTATATAAAAACAACCTAAATGCTTGTTTTTTGCTTCCCATTTCGCTTTCCCCTTTTTTGAGCTTCCTCTGTCCAAAGATCCCTCTCTCTATTTATGTGACAGTCACTTCACCAACATCATGGATGTTCTGCTCAGTCTATTCTTGGGTTTGGTTGGTCAGTTGTTCATGTTAAACAGGAAGCTGTAGGGACAAAGGTTGCAGTATGGGTGGAAATGGCATTAGAGCTTTGGTTGGAGCTCTTGTGTCTCTGGGTATTATTGTGTTTCTTCTTGTCGGTATCTTAGCAAACTCTGCACAAGGTGTTCCATCAACAGATAAGGTCAAGACTTTACGATTTAGTAGTAAGGATGTGAATCTGTTTCATGTGAGCAAGCGAAAAGTTCCAAATGGACCTGATCCAATCCACAACAGGTTCTTATCTTTCTCTCAAATTTTGATCTTTTTACATTCACTTCTTTGAGTTTGCTATCAAGATCAAGCCTTTCGAGATTTTTGCCTTGGAAAGTTGGTTTAAGTATGTTTAGACAAGAAAACTAATCTTCTGAGTATTAGTGTTTGCTCAATTCAAGATATTTTTGGGTGTAACTTTACACAGATACCGATAGTCACTGGTTTCTATAAAGATTGTAATTTGTAAGCATGCAGAGTTCTTAATATTTCCTTCTTTTCAGTGTCCTTGAACATTTTGTGCCATTAACTCTTCTTTTAAAAGCAGATTATGCTATCATGTTTTAGTAAAAGCTTCTTCTTTATCTAATTTACATGGCTTAAAGATGTTATCATGTTTTAGTAAAAGCTTCTTCTTTCTCTATTTTTTAGGAATTAAAGGCACTTGTGAAGAACTTGACCACTTTAGTTAAAGTTCCACTGCAGAAACAACTCAACTTTACTAAGCTTTTGTTTCAAAACTCTTTTCTTCAGGAAAGCAGAAACTTCGAGACTGCCACCAAGAGTATGATATAGCTTTGATATATACGATGTGTAAGGTATGCAAACTTTTCTATTTGATATAATCCCCTATAATTTCTTGGAAGTTTGTAACTGTGATGTGTATCTCATGAGGGTTTCGTTCATTTTCAGTTCTTCTACCGTTTTCAGACACATATTGAATTACGCCGCGACCTCTCAAATTGCATTTCAACGTCAAGAAGCTACGTTTACTTCTGGGGCAATCCATAACTTCATATTCAGATGTATGTGCTATGAGAGCTCATAGCTCGTGAAGTCTTGCTCTGTTTTGCAAAGGTGAAGTCTCTTCTTGCTCCGTAGCGTTTTGGAAGGTGAAGTATTGGTCTCTTTTTTTCTTTTTAGAAAATTGTGTCTGATGAAGATTGATACAATTAAGTGAAGGTGTGTAGAGAAGATTGAGGCAGATATTAAGACTTTGTAGGGTTTTTGTAATAACATTTGTATTAAATTATATAGGCTTGTTTATGTCTTTATCTAACTCTGTGTTTCCTGTTTTCCTCATCTCTCTTTTTTCTTTGCCTTTTCTTTATAAATCTATTTTAACTTTAAAGTTTGCTTTTTGTGTTTCCTCTGCTAAAGCAAACCAATAAACTAAAGTTGCTCTGTTTTCAATAACTCATTCCCCTCCTTAAATCACTGATTGTTATTATATAATCTATGCCTTGTAAGTTGTAACATATCTCCACCACTTACAACAACTAAGAGGCTCCATGATATATTGCTTCTTATCAAGAAGCTTGTCCTTGCACAACTTTGGAATCACTTACATTTTCATTTTTTGGGTTCTTCTGAACTTTGGGAATCTGACAAAGTGAAATACAAAAGGAGTGAGCATAGATGCTTCTCTCTCCTTGTTGCGTTCTTTAGCTTCTTTTTCTGGATTTGATTTTGACTGTATCGAGAAGCAGACCCTTAAAGTAAGATTCTCCAGAGGTAAAAAACCCCTCTTTATCCTGTTCTGCATGGGACACAGATTCCAGTTTTTCACTTTCTTTCTTTTGTTCTTAAAAGAATACACAAGTGAAAATTGTTTCTTCACTCTTCCAAGACTGCAGAAAAGAAACACTTGGCTCTTCCAAACAGAAAAATCCATGCTTTAAACTCTTCTAACAATTCTCTCAAACAGCAACATCACATGTCTTAAGAATATGACAGGAGAAAAAACATAGGATATACACTTACTGTTTCTTTTATACAATAACATACAGTCTACAAACTCATTCTACTAACTTGGCAATACAAAGTAGTACAAGATGAAATACACAAACAATTTCTCAGGATGAATATAATCCTGAAAATCCTCATTGTATATGTCCTTCACAGAATCTGATTCTCTTTAGTGTCGAAAATCAAAGGGAAGTCATCATCTTGTTCTGTGAACGAATGACCCTGTTTCTCGGCAATAGCTCTCAATGACTGATACGCCTGAAACATTGACCATCTCTCTTTAGGCCTTGAAGCCACACAGTTGCAAGCAATCTCAACAAACTTCAAGATTTCTTTGTCATGCCCTTTCCCTCGAATGTCTTCATCTAACGCATCAGCGATTCGTCCTGAGCTTTCAAGCTGTTTCACCCAATCAACCAAGTTCCCTTTAAAACAATCCCCTCCAAGAGCTTTAACCCCTGTAGCCAACTCCAAGAGCACAACACCGAGTCCATACACATCACCTTTAACCGAAGCCAACATCGTAGTAGAACACTCTGGCGCTACATAACCAAACTCTCCCAAATCACCAGCCATGAAACTGCTCTCATTGCCATCCAACGGAGCCACAAGCCTTGCAAGCCCTGAATCTATAATCCTCGCATCGAAATCCTCATCCACAAGAATCACACTCGAACAAATGTTTTGGTGAAGTATCGGTGGACGGTTTCCATGGTGAAGCCAAGCCAAACCCCTCGCAGCACCTAAACCGATCCTAAACCGAGTCGACCAATCCAACTCAACCGCATTACTCTCCAGCAGCCTGTGCAGCGTCCCGTTAGACATGTACTTGTAAACAAGAAACTTCTCTTCCTCCACACCGCAGAATCCAAGAAGTGGTGCCAAGTTCGGATGACGAAGCTCCCAAAGCTGATTCATCTCATACCGAAACTCCCTCTCCCCAAGCTTACACGTACTCAAATGCTTAACCGCAAGCGCTGAGCCATCGGGGAGAAGCGCCTTATACGTTGTCCCAGTCCTAGTGGAGACAATAACATTCTCAGAGCTGAAATTGTTAGTCGCAGCCATCAAATCCCCAAATTTAACCTTAACCAAAGGCTTCTGAAAGAGAGAAACTTGAGTCAGCTTATAGCTACGAAGCCTCTGCGCCAAACCACTAACTCCTGTTAAAGCGTTTCTCTTTCTTCTTGACCACTTCAAATGGTAATACCACCAAACCCCAAACGCCAACAGCATCGACGCAGCAGCACCAAACACACCAGCTGCGATGATAATCGCGAGATTCTTCTTGCTTAACCCTCCACAGGTTGAAGACAGAGGACGTCCACAGAGACCTTTGTTCCCACTGAAACCATCAGAGGAATAGTTCGACGAGCTGAAGAAAGACGGAATGCGACCTGTTAGATCGTTGTTGGAGACAGAGAACTTCCCTAATCTACCCAAAGCCGAGAACTGAACCGGGATTTGACCAGATAACCGGTTATTGGACAGAATCAAAGCGTTCGCGTACTTGCAGCTTGCTAAATCAGGAGGAATCTCGCCGTTCAATTCGTTGTTGGACAGATCGAGAGAGACTAAGAAAGGTAGCCACTTGCATAGCTCTGGAGGGATGTTACCGGATAATCGATTGCCGGAGAGATCCAGTTTCTGTAAGCTCCCGCAGAATTGGAGAGATTCTGGGATTCGGCCGGACAAACCCATGTCTCGGAGCTCCAGATTGATGACCCTGTTCTCCTGATTGTTCCAGCAAGAGACGCCGACGAAATTACAGAGGAATCCGACGGTGGTGTTCGCGAAGTTCCATGATTTGAGCGCGTTTTGGGGATCGGTTAGTGAGGTTTTGACTCCTCGTAAGCATCTTATGTCGTCTTCATCAGCCGACGTCGCGGGACGAGGATAGAAGAGGAACACAGTGGTGATGATGATGAATAAAGGAAGCAGCTTTATGGGTTTTGAGACGATCTCCATGGATGATGATGAAGTGTTTTTAGAGGTTTTTTTCTGGGTTTGGATTGAAATAAAAGGTTTTTGTCTTTTGGTATCTCTGCCAATGGAGTTGCAGAGAGAAGAAGCCTTGCAAGTCAGACGCGTTGAACGGTCGTCGATTAGAAATTAGAATGGTACAGAGTAGTCGTCGACTTTTGATGTCTTATTTTATTTGATTTCTTCTCTTCTTTGTTCATCTCATATGACTGGAAAAAATAGTAATCTTTTAATTAGTTTTCAAAGCAATTAAAACATAAAATTCCTTCATTGTCGACCATTTTTGTCTTGTATTAAATTATTCGAATAGGGTTGATAAATCATAAATGGTTCCTTAAGTTGATCATTATACATAACTAAGAATGTAAAGAGCTTAATTCCATTTCTAAAGATATATAAACGCCATCATATTACTAGATTTGGTATTTTCTTAAACACTATTTGCAACTATTATTCCAAATGAAACTGCAGCAGACATGAGTCCAGCGCAATACATCTTTGTCTTATCCAATATCCACATTAATTTCAAGTTAATACATACATAATTTTGTAATTTAAGAGGTTCCTAATCTATATGTTTTAGAGAATGATACTATTAATTACTGTATATCGTGCGTTGGTGTTGTCACCGAAGACTTTTATGGCGATAGCAAATTGGGTCTAGGTATGTATGGGTTTGGTATGGTCAAATATGCACTTTTAAATTAAAACAAGTTGGAATTTTCATGATATCATTTTAAATAGTTTTTAACTAACCTACCTATTACACGAGCACAATTGCTGTGAAAATGATAGGACCACCCAAAAAGAAAATCTTAACAAATTGTCTCTCACTCACCCAATGGCCTTCGTTTTTTTTGGGTCAACTAAACTAAGTATTATGACTATGACTCGAGTGTTTTCACAGACAAACACGAATTTTATTACTATTTGATTAGGATTCGTATAACATGAATATGTAAGAGTCAATTAAAATTTGTTGATGTAAATAGTCGGATTATGTCAATTAAAAAAAAAAATAGTCGGATTATGATTGATAACCTGTGAAAATTGTAAAGTTGTCCCGAGAGTTTCTGAGGCTTTGAGACCCATTTCATTTCAATTAAAGCTAACCCATTTGACTAAAATGGCCCAGCCCGAATTTATGTTGGTTATAAGCTAAGCAAATCCAACGGACTATATCACATCACATATGATGCCTCGAATATTCAATTACTTTTTACAAAATGTAAGAAAACCGGGAAAATCTATTTCCCCCACTTCGAGTTTCGCGCGTGCAAAACTGGAAATGAAATTTTCATCATCTCCTAATCCGACGTCGTTTCATGCCTTCTGCGTAAACTGCAGTGACGTCGTTTTATGGTTTTTGGTCGTTTTACGAAGCGAAGGGCGAAATGGTAATTTACCATAAAACTTGTCAGTTCCTAACCGACCGGTGAAAGGCGAGCTCTTCCTCCTTTGCCAAGTTTCTGCTCTTCGGCGGGAGAAATTGAGACGATATTCGACTATGGAAGAGTCCGATGTACAATTTCTGATATATTTTCTGATTGGGTTTTTGTTTTGATATCTGGGTTGTTTGCCATTTTTCTGATTGCGAGTTTCGTTTTTGTTTTTTGGGTGGCAGAAAACGACGGCCTTGAAGAAAGCTTACGCGGAGATTATTCTAAACACGGCGAAGGAATCAGCGGCTAGGGTTATGGTTTCCGACAGAAAATCAGCTCGGTTTCATCACGATCTCTCCGGAACGAAGGAAGAAGCTCTTCGTTTGCTTGTTCGATTGAAAGAGATGATAGACGCTAAGGTACTAATGTTCTCCTCAAACATTCGAAAATTAGGTGTCAATTGGTTGCATTTCCAGGCTTGTGACTAATGGGTCTCATTTCGTTTGAGAAGATAAATATGTTAGCTTACTTTTGTTGTCTAGCTTTTAGAACGAGTATGATTTGAAAAATTGGAACTTTTATGCTTGTTGTTGTTCACTGATTGAGCTCTATCAACAGACTGTAGAAGCAGAGATTGAGTCATCAAACCAGCAACAACAGATTGATGTGCTTGAAGCTCAGCTGCAAGAGGCAGAAGAGATTATTACTGACCTGAGGTCAGAGTTGAGATGGGTGAGAGACAAATTGGAGAAAGCAAGGGTTAAAGAGCTGCAGGAACGTAATGTAGTGGTGAACAAGGAAGAGGAAGCAACAGTTTCTGCTCAGAAGGCTGATCCAGAGGTGGTTGCTGTTGGAAGTTTGCATCTTGATCTTGATGTTGCAGATTCTTGCTTCTCTGTGGTGAGTGACTCTCTTCCAAACGAGACCTCGTTGCATGATGATGAAAGCGGAAATGACGTAGAGAAGGTTGATGATGTGTTGAGTGTTGATACTTTGAAAGGATGTGATGCTTGTGAGTCTGAATCGAATGGCGATATCATAAGCGAAAAGCTTGAGCTGTCTAGAAATGGATGCACACAGAGGATCCATGCTTTGGAAAGGAAGGCTTCAGAGGCTAAATCATCTCCTTCTGCAAATGAAGAGGAGCAATGCACAACTGAAAAAGATAGTGAAGAAAACTTGAGCTCAGGAAAAGTGAACGGAGATGAAACTGGCACCTCGGGAAACACAAGAAGTATTGTTCTTGCTCTTAGAGCCAGTAGTGCAGAGGTGATAACAATTCCCTCAAACGCATTAGGAATCAAAAAACCTAGCAAGTCACGCAAATCACGAGAGAGGAGAAAGAGAAGGTGGGGCAAACAAAAGGCTAGGTCAGTTAGGCCTCAGAGTCAGCTTATAAAACCTTGTCAGACTCAGTCTGATCTTCCCTGTTCTAAGATATCAATGGAAGTTTCGGATGGTGGAGATTTGATGGAGACGCATATTTCGGTAGAGAGAGAGGACGTGGATGCTCTTAGTGCCTGTAAAGCTTTGGAAGAACATTTGCAGCATAAAAGAACCCTGTACAGTGGTGATATCAGTATCATCCGTAAAGGGAATAAGAGAAAGATTGTTGAAAATGTGGTGGAGGCCTGTGAAGAATCTGATTTAGTCCCTGTTAGTGTTGAGTATGGTGAAATAAAGGCAGGTATGCCTGAGAATGAGACTGAGATCAAGTCGCTTCCTCAGCTGCATCCCGAGTTAACTTCATTTAAATGTAATGTGGATGTGACTTCAGGATCCACAAATGCTACTGTCACCAGTGTGACTGCAACAAATCAACCAACAGCTGAAGACTTGAAACCATGGAAAGAAGACGTGTTAGTAAAGTGTGTAGGTGAAGAAGACATTGTGGCTCCATCTACCAAAATGAGTTCTGAGTTGGTCAATCTGCATTCTGTCTCAAAAGTTACTGAAGTAGCATCAGATCAGATCAGCGAGTCTGCGAGAGCACATGGAGGTCGACTTGTGAGGTTTACATTCCAAAGGAAACGAAAGAAGGGATCTTTAAATGCAAACAATGATAATAGTTCATTGCAGAAGAAAGAGGTAGACGAGAAGAAAAACAACGACCAAGATCTAACTGAATCCACTTTGAGTCATGAGTCATCTAGAGAAACCCCAAAATTAGCTGAGACTGCCACACAGGTGAGTCAGTATCTACTTTGTTCATGTTACATTATTGCAACGTTCTTCCATTTAGTAGAGAGACGATACATTTATCAAATCTCACCAACATGTTTCTGATATGACATTGCTTTCAACTGTGAAACTGTTAGTTTTATATCCAAAGCTGTGAATTTTCTCGTATACTATAAGTTTTAATTGACACACACAGCCTCAGGATTTGTTCAGTAAGATTGATGCTTTTTTTTTGCATGTGCAGCTTAAATCCTTGCCTGAAAGCTGATGGTGGTCGACTGGCAAATCTTTGTGCAGGGGAACTCTTGAGAACATATATATCAAGTAAAGTCTTATGCTAAGAAGTATGTATTTATCTATCTTGACATCTTATGGACTACATCAAGTAAAGTCACTTCAACGTATTGTGACAATCCAATGCTCTTGAGTCATTGGAACTTGGGGAATGTTTTTCTCAGGGAACCAAGTTTTTGTTGGCTCTTTAACTGTGGTAATTCATGTGACCAGGGAGAAAATCCACAATCAATCATGTGAGTTTGAAAGTGCTAACAAGTCGAACATATTGAAATGTCAAAACCTGACCAGTTGGGTGCAACTAAATTGGTGGATGAAAAGGGTAAAAACTTGACCGAATACTTTATAAGCGTGGTTCTGTTCATAATTTTACTCATTTCTTTTATCATCTATCAACATCAAATTGGTTTCAGAGAAATTTGTTTTGAGATTACAGTCTTAAAATTCCCACTAGTATATTATAAACTCAAGATTGAAATATTTAACTTTTTTTGCTGATTATATATGGATTCTCTTGAGTTCAATAACACACAACCATTAAATTCTGACATTTTTTTAACTTTTAGAATGGATCTAATCATAAAACAGATACTCAGTAAATATATGTTAAAATAATTTACTAATGCAATTCGAATAGTATAAGCATATAGATGGTATACATTGTACACTGTTTTTGGGGATTAGAACATTTGCTGCAAAACAGAAATGCATGTGTTTGGGAAAGAAGAACAATCATGGGGCCACACTGCTTTGAAAGAATTAACAAGACAGAGAGGAGCAGGCGTGTAATGTGTTTTAATTATTATTTTTATACTTCATACTTCATATTGTTTTTCAGTTCTTTTTTTCCTTTACTCATGATGAATATATTCAGTATTTCAACACAACAGTATATAGTATTTGGTTTACATATTCCCAGTATTATGTGAAAACTGTTCCCACCTCTGTGTTTAGCATGCGGTGTGTCCCATTGAACTTAACTTTGAGTAGCTAACACTTCTCTAATTTTCTTTCTTTCACTAAGGAAATAAAGCCCAATAGATTATAAATTACTTGATTTTTCCCGTTTTGAGATATTGCAAGCATCTATAATGAGGTCAGTATAATGAAGTCAAATTTTAATAATTACCATACTTTGTAAAAAGTTGTGCATAGAAAAACCAGATGGTGAATTAACCTGCATTGAAAACCCTTTAACAACAAAAAAAAAGAAAGAATTAACCTGCATAATATGAAAATCAGAAACTTAAAATATTAGAATCAAACAAAATGGATTTTATCTTCTTTTGATGTCTAAAATCAAACATGCATATAATGGAAGCTGAAAATGATTGTTTTAAGGAGAAACGGTCCCCAAAGGAAAAAAGGGAAACATATCAAAAAGAAAAGCAGAAAAACAGAGGAAACAGAGGAAATCAGAAAAGCCTGAGAAGAAAGTAATAATAAGATGTCTAGAATAAGAGCAGATATGAAAGGCATGCCTGTTCTTTGTCTCCTCCACTTTCTTCTTCTTCTCCTTCTCCTTCTCCTGTCTTTTCATTTTGTTCTTTCTGTTCGCCATTTGGTCTTCCACAATCGGACCCACCAAATTCTTGTTTTCGAATCTTGAAAACTTCGTATAAGACCAATCTCTAGGTTCACCGATCGGAGGAAGAAAGAAACATAGCAGAGCAGAGCAAGAACGAGAGAGAAAGACGATAATGGAGATGAAGAGAGAGCTTCGAGTAGAGAAGAAGGAGGCTGAGGAAGAGAACATGTGTACGGCGTTGTTGACTGCAGTTGTTGTGCTCTCGATGGCTTGCTTGAAACATTTCTCCTCTGTATCGTATTTGGTCGAGCAATGGCGTTCGTTGGTCTTTCTTTTACTCAACGTCGTTCTCTTAGCCGTTTACTTCACCTCGACCCGTCCTATTTCCGGCGAGACTCGTCACGATTTCAAGACTCGTCGAGGTGGTAGATTGAGGATGGTGCGAGGGAAGAAGATTAAAAAGACGAAGAAGACAAGGATGGTGGTGGAACCGGCTAGTTCCGAGAAAGGTTTTCTCGTCGTCGAGCCAAAGGAAGTGATCAAGGAATGTGTAGTGGAAGAGACCAAAAGGGTTTGTCCTGTATTAGAGGAAGCTGTGAAAGATTGCGTATCTCACAAGAAAGCTATGGACTTTGTTGGAGAAGAAGATGAGTTCGAGCCAGGGAGGTTGTCGAATGAGGAGCTGAACGAGAGAGTAGAGGCGTTCATCACAACGTTCAGACAGCATTTGGTGCTTGATGCGCGAAGAGGTAGAGACAGAGAAACTGACCAGAAGATGAGATCAAAAGACTCTGACATTAGCTTCTTAGGTCGGGAGGTCGCTTGTTCGGTTTAACAGTTTCTCTGCAATCTTCTTCTTTTTTTTTTGTTCTTTTTAAAGATTAGTTCGGTTTTGTTCGTTCTTTGGATTCGTTTCTCTTGTGGGTTTGAGCTAAATAGCTCAATATATCGCATCCTTTTTGGATATAATGTCATATATAAGAACACAAGACTATAATCAAAAATCTATATAAAAGAGCAAGAAACAGATAAATAAGTCTCCTTTTATGTTATTAAGTCAAACATTGAGAGAAACCGTAAAGATAAAGTTTAAGTCGTAGATTTATAAAGTGGGCTAAGTAAAATATGGAAAAATGTAGCTTTGAAGTAGAAGTTACAGGTCCACACTTAAGACAGCATTGCCCAAGTTCTCACTCACTCTCATGTTTCCAAGTCCATAAGACATGCGACCAACCATCTCATGGCATCAAAATGTAAAAAAACAGTGGCCTAGGCTGCGTATGGATATGACTCGAATCATGATGGAGAGAAATTCAAACTTTTTGTGTATATTTATATGATATGTATTTTTATTGTTATTATTCTTGAATTAAATTTTTTATTTCATCTATTATGAAAATACTGTTAACTGGCTTACAAAAGTTTTAGCAAAAAAATGTTTTAATTTTAGTTATGATGCAATGATGCATCCCTATTTTTTTCATACGACTTAAAAAAACTCTAGGCACGGTCTTGCATGTATACAGCCTATTATTTTAATTGTAGTGGGCACTGGTCAGTATTCAATATTTATTGATGTTTTATAATTCGAATCAGTACTCATACGATGTCCTTAAAGACAGCTAAAGTCAATGATAACTTTGATATCATCTCTGGTTAGAGTATGTTATTTGGTTTTAAATGATTTAGTTGGTCTTTCATTAATAGTAAAGATTGATGGCTATTCGAGAAAATAAATATATAGTATAGTAATGTTTTCCATAAAAAATATATAATTTTATTCACAAAGATAAATCATACCGTAGATTCCATTCTTCTGCCATTCAATTGAGTTTCTTGTTATCAAAATTTGGTCAGAAAACAGAAGTACAATCGAGGAGACACGAAAGCATGAGATATATTTTAGTAGAAATAACTAGTAGAGTACCCGCACGTTTGTGCGGTGTGACGTTGTTGTTTTGTGTAGAAAATTTAAACCCTAAATCCGAACCCGACAAAAAACCCTAATCAAAAAATTTAAAAACCCAAACTTTTTTAATAGGTCTAAACATGAAAATCCGAAATCAAAAAAATCCCGAAAACCCTGACTGAACAAAAAAAATCTGGAAACTTTTTCACCCGGAACCCGACCCCAATACCTAATCAAAATTTTAAAATACTCAATTTTTTTAATATATCTAAACCCGAAAACCAGAAATCTAAAAAATCCGGAAAACCCTAAACTGAAAAAAAAAATTGAACCTAACCCGAACAGAAATTTTCAAAGAAACCCGAACAATTTCTATATCTCTATATATATCTCTATAAAATTATGTCTCAGATTTTCACCCAAACCCGAACTTGTCTATAAAAACCCGAAAATCCAAAAAGCATATTCTATTGATTTGGAATTATCGTTAGATTATGTTAAGTTTTTTTTTTGCAGATTTTTAAGAGATGGAAAACGGAAGTTTTCTAAACCATCGGTTTATTTTAAGTTATTATTCTTGTATCCAAACAATTTTTTCCATTTATTCTTCTATCCAAATAGATTTTTCTCTTATTCTTATATCCAAACAACTTTTGTTTCCATTTATTCTTCTATCCAAATAGATGTTTCTCTAATTCTTGTATCCAAACATTAGAATGTACTTCTCAATTAATAATAAATATATAAAGATATTTTGATGCTGTTAGGAAATTTATTTTAGTGAGTCAATGCATTCTGAATATAGATACTGAATATAAACAAATTTATTCGAAGTTAAAAAAAATTAGTAACGGGTATAAACGAATTAAAATAGAGACTTTGATGCATGGTATCAAGTTAAAAAACTTTCATATATATTATAACGGCCAACGGTCACTCTCTGTCACGATCGGTAGTTGCTATATAAAACAATCAAGAAGGCGTACATGAACACATAACATTACACAAGAAAATCAAACACATTAAAAAAGAAGAAGATATGATTCCTCTTTAATATTACCGCAAGAAGTGAGAACCTTTTGGTCTTATATAGCAAAATAAAAAGGGAGAGAAGACTGTGAGCTGTCGTTTCCCTAAGGTCAATGTGCTGTTGTAGGATGTTTTCTCTGAAACAGTAAAGAAGAGAAGGAAAAGGAAGACGGATGAAGAAGATGAGAATGAAGAGTTGGGAAAGTACAAGATCGATATTCATGCACGCGGATGGTGTGGATTGGATGTTGATGGGATTAGGGTTCATCGGATCCATCGGTGATGGCTGCATCACTCCTACTGTATTTTTAATCATCGGATTAATACTGAACGACCTCGGTGGTACCTCATTTGGTGATGAAACCTTAATGCAATCCATATCGGAGGTCTTTTCTCTCTTCTTTGCTCTATGTTCTCTTTTTTGTGTGTCTCCATTCATTATTCCTAAGTAGACCAAACATGGCGTGATGTAAACAACTCGAGATATGTTAGGACATCGAAGTATAAAGGACCCAAATATAAGAGATGTAATCATCGATTTCAGTCATTACTAATTGGTTTTTGAGAAGTATACACATGTGAATCTTGACATGAAATGAGAGGAAGTATCTATGACGTGTAAGAGTATATATATTTCTTTCTTTTCTCCCAAGAAATTAAAAAAAGTACTAATATAATGTTATCTTCCGTTTTTTTGTACATGCTGGGTAATTAATAAACAGAAAGCGAGAGCTTTGCTTTATGTTGCTTGTGCATCTTGGGTGATATGTTTCACTGGTAAGTCTTTTAGGTGAAGAAAAAAAATCAAACTAAATAATATTTCATAAATTTTTACTTAAGTTTGTGGATGGTTTTGCAAATACAAACAAAACAGAAGCGTTTTGCTGGACAAGAACAGGGGAGAGACAAGCATCAAAAATGAGACAAAGGTACTTTAGGAGCAGTGTTAAGACAAGATGTGGGTTACTTTGATCTTAATGTCTCAAGCACTTCTGATGTTATCACAAGTGTCTCTAGTGACAGCCTCGTGATCCAAGACGTCCTTAGTGAAAAGGTCTCTCCACATTTATATATGTACCCTTTATTTACCATTCTAAACATGTTTTCTTGTCATTAATCATGTTTTGATGATTTTGATTTGGACCAGTTACCGAACTTTTTGATGAAAATGTCGACATTCTTCGCCAGCTACATGGTGTGTTTCATCATGCATGGAGACTCACAATCGTAGGCTTACCGTTTGCACGTCCTCCTTTTGATCCCTGGACTGATGTACGGACGAGTCCTCATCAACGTCTCGAAGGAAAATACGTGAAGAGTACAATGAGGCTGGTTCTATTGCCGAGCAAGCTATCTCACTGGTGAGAACCGTTTATGCATTTGGTAGTGAGAGGAAGATGATATCGAAATTCTCAGTTGCGCTTCAAAGCTCGGTTAAGCTAGGAGTGAGACAAGGACTAGCTAAAGGAATCGCACTTGGGAGCAATGGAATCACTTATGCCATTTGGGGGTTTATGGCTTGGTACGGAAGTCGAATGGTTATGGACCATGGTGCCAAAGGCGGTACCATCTTTGTAGTCATCATATGCATCACCTTGGGTGGCCAGTAAGTATATATGATTCAACAAAAAACAAACCATACAATATTCAAGTCTCCTTAGTTTTCTTGACTCAAAAACAAATATTTTTTTTTTCAGTTAAGGATTTAACACAAAATCAAACCATACTACAGTTTTGATCTTTGGTATCCTACATTTTTGCAGAGCACTTGGTGGAGCTTTATTAAATCTTAAATATTTCTCAGAGGCCATTGTAGTAGGGGAAAGGATTATCAAAGTTATGAAAAGAATTCCCGATATTGATTCAGACAACACAGAAGGTCAGACTCTAGAGGAAATTAAAGGTGAAGTCCAATTCATGCACGTGAAGTTCATGTACCCATCTAGACCTGAAACTCCAATATTTGACGATTTATGTCTAAAAATCCCCTCTGGTAAAACTGTGGCTCTGGTGGGTGCAAGCGGATCAGGAAAATCAACTGTGATATCGCTTTTGCAAAGGTTCTATGACCCAATCGCAGGAGAGATTCTTTTAGATGGTGTATCCATACGTGAGCTGCAAGTTAAGTGGCTGAGGTCGCAAATGGGTCTAGTTAGCCAAGAACCAGCGCTCTTCGCCACATCAATAGAAGAAAACATATTATTTGGTAAAGAGGACGCATCCATTGATGAAGTTGTTGAAGCTGCAAAGGCCTCAAATGCTCATGATTTCATTTCTCAGTTCCCACATGGTTACAAAACTCAGGTTAGATATATCCAATATTAAGAACATATTTTTAGTCAGGCTACAACATTTATTTGTTTTTTTTTTTCTTTTAAATAAAAAGGTTGGGGAGAGAGGAGTGCAAATGTCGGGAGGTCAGAAGCAAAGGATCGCAATTGCACGAGCGATAATCAAATCCCCGAAAATTCTTCTTCTAGATGAGGCAACGAGCGCGTTGGACTCAGAATCCGAAAGAGTAGTCCAAGAAGCTTTAGACAATGCCTCTCTTGGCCGTACAACTATTGTGATAGCCCATCGCCTCTCTACCATTCGTAATGCTGATGTTATTTATGTAGTTGATAATGGCCGTGTTGTAGAAACTGGATCACATGAAGAGCTCATGAAGAACTTAGATGGTCAATATACTTCTCTAGTCCGGTTACAACAGATGGAGGATGAAGAATCATATGGTGACAACAGCGTAAATGTGCCAGAGGGTCAAATCCCGATTTTGAGCAAAGATTTGAAGCACCCTATTCAAAACCAAGCTAACTTGTTAAAGACTTCAAGCGTTGATACAAATCTTTCAAGTTTGACACGCAAGGTTAAGAAGCCGCCTGTGCCATCATTTAAGAGAATGATGGCGCTGAACAGAACAGAGTGGAAACAAGCATTGTATGGTTGCATAAGTGCAGCTTTATTTGGGGCTGTAACACCAATTTATGCATATGCTTCGGGATCAATGGTGTCAGTTTATTTCCTAACGGATCATGACGAGATGAAGAAGAAAACGAGGATCTACGCGTTGTCTTTTCTTGGTCTATCTATCATGTGTTTCTTGATCAGTATTGTTCAACATTATAGTTTTGCTTACATGGGGGAAAACCTAACAAAACGTATCCGTGAAAAGATGCTCTCGAAGATATTGACCTTTGAAGTCAGTTGGTTCGATGAAGATGAGAACTCGAGTGGTGCAATTTGCTCTAGACTTGCAAAAGAAGCTAACTTCGTATGTCTTGATCACTTTACTAAATTAATTTCAGTGAACAATTTTTTTATATTCATCATCAGTTCTTGATAATCTAGTGTTTTGTGATAATAGGTGAGATCTCTGGTAGGTGAAAGGATGTCATTACTGATAGAAACCATATCAACAGTGAGCATAGCTTTCACACTTGGTTTGGTCATCGCATGGCGATTAGCCATAGTGATGATCGCTGTGCAACCAGTGATTATTATGTGTTTCTACACTCAACGTGTTCTGCTCAAGAGCATGTCAAAAAAAGCTCTTAAAGCCCAAGATGAGAGCAGCAAACTAGCCGCAGAAGCTGTCTCCAACATCCGAACCATTACAGCTTTCTCCTCACAAGAACGGATCTTGAAAATACTCAAAATGTTTCAAGAAGGTCCACGTAAAGAAAGTGTTCGCCAATCGTGGTTAGCCGGGATTGTGCTGGGAACTTCACGAAGTCTCATAACGTGCACTTCGGTCTTGAACTACTGGTACGGTGGAAGACTAATTTCTCAAGGGAAGATCACGTCAAAAGCATTCTTTGAGATGTTTAGCGTCTTTGTGAGCGCTGGTTGGGTTATTGCAGATGCTGGGGCCACGACGACGGATCTTGCCAAGGGCTCAGATGCAGTTGGGTCTGTTTTTGCAGTGTTAGATCGATGCACAACCATTGAGCCAGAAAACCCTAATGGATTTCTTGCAGAGAAAGTAAGTGGACAAATCGAGTTTCTCAACGTAGACTTCGCTTACCCAACAAGACCAAACATGCTTATATTCAAAGACTTCTCCATTGAGATAGAAGAGGGAAAGTCAACAGCAATTGTGGGTCCGAGTGGGTCAGGTAAATCCACAATAGTTGGCTTGATCGAGCGGTTCTATGATCCTTTAAAGGGTACTGTAAAAATAGATGGTCATGATATAAGATCGTATCATCTGAGATCGCTTCGTCAACACATTGCTTTAGTTAGCCAAGAGCCAACGTTGTTCTCCGGGACTATCCGAGAGAACATCATGTACGGAGGAGCATCTGACAAGATCGACGAGTCAGAGATCATCGAGGCGGCCAAGGCAGCGAACGCTCACGATTTCATCACATCACTATCCAACGGCTATGACACACATTGCGGGGACAGAGGAGAGCAATTGTCCGGTGGACAAAAACAGAGAATCGCGATCGCTCGAGCGGTGCTGAAGAACCCTTCGGTGTTGCTCCTCGACGAAGCTACGAGCGCTTTAGACAGTCAGTCGGAGCGCGTGGTTCAAGACGCACTCGAGCGCGTGATGGTGGGAAGGACGAGCGTTGTGATTGCACACAGGCTGAGCACGATCCAGAACTGCAACGCGATCGCAGTTTTGGACGAAGGAAAAATAATCGAACATGGGACCCACTCGTCTTTGTTGGCAAAGGGTCCCACGGGTGCTTATTTCTCATTGGTCAGTCTCCAGAACACTCTCTCTTGAAGTTGAAGGTCCATTTCTTTCTCATGTTTCTCGCTCCCTCTGCTGAAAACATAAAGCGAGCCTCAATGACAATGTGATTCAAATGTAACAACGATCAGAGTGTCTTAAAAAGAAAAATTAATAAAGCAAAGTGTATTGCTTCTAATTTTTGATAGTATAACACACATGATAAAGTTAAAATTTTCATATATATCAAAAGACCAACGATCACCCTCTGTCTCAGTAGTTGCTATATAAAACGATCAAGAAGACGTGAACAGATGTCACTACACGAGAAAATAAACCACTCATAAAAAAAAAAGATTTATGATTCGTCTTTAATATTACCGCAAGAATGAAAACCTTCCAGTCTTGAATTAAAAGAAAAAGAAGACACTTATCAAAAAAAAAGAAAAGAAAAGAGAAGACTGTGAGCTGTCGTCGTTTGCCTAAGGTCACGGGGTCGTTATAGGCTTTTTCTCTGAAACATTTAAGAAGAGAAGGAAAAAGGAGATGTGCAGGAATAAGATGAAAATGAAGAGTTGGGAAAGCCTAAGATCGATATTTATGCACGCAGACAGTGTGGATTGGATGTTGATGGGATTAGGGTTAATCGGAGCCGTAGGTGATGGCTGCATAACTCCAACTGTATTTTTAATCGTCGCCTTACTACTCAACGACCTTGGTGGTTCCTCATTCGGTGATGAATCCTTCATGCAATCCATCTCAGAGGTTTTTTGTCTCTTCATTACTCTATGTTCTCTGTTTTATTTTTTTTTGGTCTCCGTGCTTCCTAATATTTATAGCATATTAGACATAAGAATCATTCAATTTAGTCATTGCTAATTGGTTTTCAGATGGAAACACATGTGAATACGTAAAATGACAGGAAGAAAATCATTGATGCTTAAGACTAAGAGTATATAAATTAATTTTCTATTTTCCTACGGAAAGAGTACTAATGTATCTTCCTTTTTTGTACACATTGGCTAATTAATTTACAGAAAGCTAGAGCTTTGCTTTATGTCGCTTGTGCAGCTTGGGTGATTTGTTTCATTGGTAAGTTGTCCTGATAATAATTATTTCCCTTTCTTAGCTAAAATAAAAAATAAAACTCAAAGTAAATAAATTTGGTATATATCATTATAATTTATGTTTGTGGATGGCTTTGCAAATACAAACAAAACAGAAGCATATTGCTGGACAAGAACAGGGGAGAGACAAGCATCAAAAATGAGACAGAGGTACTTAAGAGCAGTGTTAAGACAAGATGTGGGTTACTTTGACCTTAATGTCTCAAGCACTTCCGATGTTATCACAAGTGTCTCTAGTGACAGCCTCGTGATCCAAGACGTTCTCAGTGAAAAGGTCTTTATCATTCTAGTAATGTTTTCTTGTTTTTAGTAAGCTTTAATATGATTATTTTATTTTGTACCAGTTGCCGAATTTTTTGATGAATGTGACCATGTTTCTCGCAAGCTACATCGTGAGTTTCATCATGATGTGGAGACTCACAATCGTAGGCTTACCTTTCATCGTCCTCCTTTTGATCCCTGGACTGATGTACGGAAGAGTCTCTCATCAACGTCTCCAGGAAAATACGTGAAGAGTACAATGAGGCTGGTTCTGTTGCCGAGCAAGCCATCTCACTTGTGAGAACTGTTTATGCATTTGGAAGTGAGAAGAAGATGATATCGAAATTCTCAGCTGCGCTTCAAATCTCGGTGGAGCTAGGGGTGAGACAAGGACTAGTTAAAGGAATTGCACTTGGGAGCCATGGTATTACTTATGCCAATTGGGGTTTTATGACTTGGTACGGAAGTCGGATGGTTATGGACCATGGTGCTAAAGGTGGTACCATCTTTGCAGTCATCGTATGCATCACCTTGGGTGGAATGTAAGTATATATTTTCAAGGCTCCTTACTTTCCTTGACACAAAAAAAACAAAACAAACCTTACTATAATTTTTAATTTTTCGTATCTTACATTTTTTCAGATCACTTGGTGGAGGTTTGTTAAATCTTAAATATTTCTCAGAAGCTGTTGTAGCAGGGGAAAGGATTATCAAAGTGATTGAAAGAGTTCCCGATATTGATTCAGAAAACACAGAAGGTCAGACTTTAGAGAATATTATAGGAGAGGTGCAATTTAACCATGTGAAATTTATGTACCCGTCTAGACCAGATACCCCAATCTTTGAAGATTTGTGTCTAACAATTCCATCTGGTAAAACTGTGGCTCTGGTGGGTGGAAGCGGATCAGGAAAATCTACTGTGATATCGCTTTTGCAAAGGTTCTATGACCCAATCGCTGGAGAGATTCTTTTAGATGGTGTTTCCATACGTGAGCTGCAAGTTAAGTGGTTGAGGTCGCAAATGGGTCTAGTTAGCCAAGAGCCAGCGCTATTCGCCACATCGATCGAAGAAAACATATTATTTGGTAAAGAGGATGCATCCATGGATGAAGTTGTGGAAGCTGCAAAATCCTCAAATGCTCATGATTTCATTTCTCAGTTCCCTCATGGTTACAAAACTCAGGTTAGATTCTACTTTTAAGAACAAGTTATATTATGTATTTTTTTTAGGTGGATCAAGACGTATATCCATGTTTTTTTTTTGCTTTTAATAATTCACAAAGGTTGGAGAGAGAGGAGTGCAAATGTCAGGAGGTCAGAAGCAGAGGATTGCGATTGCACGAGCGATAATCAAATCACCAAAAATTCTTCTTCTAGACGAAGCAACAAGCGCGTTGGACTCAGAATCCGAAAGAGTTGTCCAAGAAGCCTTAGACAATGCCACTCTTGGCCGCACAACTATTGTTATTGCTCACCGCCTCTCTACCATCCGCAATGCTGATATGATTTATGCAGTTCATAATGGTCTCATTGTAGAAACTGGAACACACGAAGAGCTCATGGAGAACAAAGATGGTCAATATTCTTCTCTAGTCCGTTTACAACATATGGAGAATGAAGAATCAAATGTTAACAAAACTGAATCAAATGGTAACATCAGCTCAAGTATTCCAGAGGGTCAATCCTTAAGTTTGAGTAAAGAGTTGAGGTCTAGTTCAATCCTCCCTGTTCAAAGTGGGGATGACTTCGTAAAGACTTTAAGAGATAAGAAGCTTATGCCATCGTTTAAGAGATTGTTGGCGATGAATAGACCAGAGTGGAAACATGCACTATATGGTTGCTTAAGTGCAGCCTTATATGGGGCCATATCGCCAATTTATTCATATGCTTCGGGATCAATGGTGTCAGTGTATTTCCTAACGAATCATGGCGAGATGAAGGATAAAACAAGGTTCTACGTGTTGTTACTTGTTGGTCTAGCTATCTTCTCTTTCTTTATCAATATCATTCAACATTACAGTTTTGCTTACATGGGGGAATACCTAACAAAACGTATCAGAGAAGAGATGCTCAAAAAGATTTTAACCTTTGAAGTCAACTGGTTCGATGAAGATGAGAACTCGAGTGGTGAAATTTGCTCTAGACTTGCAAAAGAAGCTAACTTGGTATGACTTTCACATTACTAATTTTAACTTCATTGAACAGATCTTTACCAGTTATTGATCTTGTAATGTTTTTTTTTCATGATAGGTGAGATCGTTGGTTGGTGAACGGATGTCATTAGTGGTACAAACTATATCAACAGTGATCATAGCTTGCACACTTGGTTTTGTCATCGCATGGCGATTAGCCATAGTGATGATTGCGGTGCAGCCAGTGATTATTATGTGCTTCTACACTCAACGTGTTCTGCTTAAGACCATGTCGAAAAAGGCTATTAAAGCCCAAGATGAGAGCAGCAAACTAGCCGCAGAAGCTGTCTCCAACATCCGAACCATCACAGCTTTCTCGTCGCAGGAACGAATC